TGGGCACTGGGACCGCAGACTCAAGTCGGGGGAATCTGCCAAAAGCGTCAAAAAGGCAAAAGCTGGGGTTCTTCTCTACCGCCCATGAGCAGTTCAGGGGCGCCTTCGAAACTTTGCCGCTCGGAACATGGCGCAAACGCAGCGCTGCATACACCTTCCTCTGTACAGCCCTCCTGGCGACAATTGGAGAGGAATGAAGCAGTGTACTGCTGGGAGGGCATACGGTCCAGAGCCCCTTCATCGCTTGTGCAGTCAGTCCTCCTTCCCCTCCTTCTCCAGGGCCTTTGCGCGCCACGTGTTTTGCTCGTGAGCTCAATCCTAAGGGCATTCGAAAACTTTGCTCGAGTTTATGTGAGAGCCGTTGCTCTGGAAATTACTCTTCCAAAGGGATTGAAGTTGGATTCTAAGCGTTCGATCATCGAACGCTTAGAATGGACCGGAATCTCTGTTAACTGCACTTGTATCAGTCAAGTTAGGAAATTTTTGTCATTAAGTCGATTATGTATGCTCTGCTCTTATGTTATCATTTTATCTGTTGTAGTGTCGGGTGTGTTTGTACATATTCTGATTTGTTGGTTATTGATGTTCGATTAAATTATAAATTTCATTGAAAGTCTCCATTTTCATACACTATTTAAATTCAACACTCCATGAATTGCTTTTCTATTATACGATTCTTTTCCTTCAAATTTTGTTTCATTTCGAAAAACAACTTTCTTTTCTAAAAAATTGCATAGTCTTTTGTTAGTTATTTTCCTAGATAAAAGTTTTTTCTTTACATAAACTATTGAAAGATTGTTTTATCTCTGTTGTTAGCTTTCACAAAAGCACATTTGAATTGTTCTGTAATTAATATAGCTTGTGAGATTTAAAAAATCAATTTTTGGTAAAAGTCATACAATCATCAGATTGAATCATTTAAATGAAAGAATTTATAAAAGAGACAAGAATAAAGGTCAATTCCTTTCTGATTTCTTTTGCACGATATTTCAAAATATTATTATTAAAAAAATGTTAAAATGAATTGGAATTAAAAAATTAAGATCATGTGATTTTTATATATAAGACATTGAAATCTATATTTTTTATATTTGATTTTTTTGACATCAGATGGTTGAATGATTGGAACTTCAAACAATGAAAAAACTAGCATACATATGTATGATAGTTTTTTCATTCTGTTCAAAAAAATATAATAAAATCTCACGTGGGGAAAGCAGTGTTTGGCTAGGCCGAACGTAAGAGATGGATTTTTCAATATCTTATTGTGTAAATGCCCAAATGGGACATTTTAATGGGGTAAATCAATGTAGTTAGAGGAATGAAGGCAAGTTAAAGAAATGAGTTGATGAAACTGCATGTAGGCTAGAGGAGGAAACATATCTACAAACAGTTTAAAGAAAGGAAACACTCTTCAGAATATACTTTTCAATACATGATACACCTTTAAGCCTGGGAGCTTATTCCCGAGTCTTTTGACTCATTCCATATTTGGATATAGAGGTTTAAATTATCTAGCATTTCTTCATTGCCTTATTATTATTGAGATGTGCACATGCTGCAATGTTTTCAGTTCAACTGCTATCGTGTGTTGCTCAATAATGAATGGCTGGTAGGATATTGTTTTTCCCGCTAGAACATGTATAGGAAAATGAAAAACCGATCAGTTCGACCAACGGTTCGACAGCGTCGTGCTCCTTGGTATCTTCAAGTTCACAACCTGCCGCAATATGCTTCACCTCTCGTCACCCAAGGTTCTAGTGGAGTCAGTTCAGGATTCTCTGAACTCCAAGGAGAGTCGTGAAGCATATGTTGCCAAGCAAAAGCAAAAGGAAGTCAACAATCACACTGAGGCGCTGCTGAAAATACAAGAAGTACGTAGAAGGAGGCCTCGGGTATGTATTGTACGATAGCACTATATAATATAGTGCTATCGTACATATTAGTCTATATTCCATACTTCGGAAGATATGATTCACCGAAGCGATGTACCAAAGTCGGTACATTTGACCGGAGTTTCCTAACGCTTCCGCAGGCCGCCCTCGGACCACGGATGAAATTCATCGGGCGGCTCCAGTAATCTGGGGTTTCATGTAGCAGCATCGTGAGTCAATGTGGCAGTGGTGATGCTCAGCTATCCGAGGGTGAGATGTATACGAGAAGGCCCTGCAACGGATCGATGATGGCATTCTGATGTCATCGAGGGAAAGGATGTTCCGATGTATCAATACCCCTCGAGATTCGCCGTAGGCTGGGGTGGGCAGTGCAGACACAGTTGTGCACAACATCCATGACATGTCATGACATCCATGGAGATCATGTCCGTATCCGGTTCGACATGCATGCATGCGGAGCTCGGGCGCCTTTACAGGTCTCGTCTCCGGGCTCTTTGTGACTGCCTCGACCTGCCGAGCCTCAATAGCGCGAGGCTCACATACAAACCGTCGTCATGTCATGTCTTCTACTTTCGCCATTCCCGGTCGCTATATTACCGGGGACCGGGGAGGGAAGAGCCCATCGGGAGATCTCGTCCGCAGATGGAACCGACAGACAGGATCTCTGGGCTGGGCCTGAAAAGTGGATACCCGGAATATTTAGATTAACTCTCGCCGACTGTAGTCATCGATCGAGGACGACGGGATAGGGCTGGCAGGGCTGGAAAGGACTGTGCGCGAAAAGGCGGATGGGTGGGAACCTGGAGAGCGGGCCACCCAACATGATCGAGCGAGGGTCGACTCGAATGCGCGGATCCTGATCATGTGTGTTGCGATTTGTTGTGGACTCGTGCTCGAGCGAGTTAGAAGGTTGCGGCCTGTGGCGACAATGTACTCGAGTTGTGCTCCATGGGAAGGACGCATGCATGCCCGGAGGGTTTGTCAGCGCTTCTTCGGTTGGGCACCTTGATTCGAGTGCATATCCCGCGGCTGACGGTCTTCTTGGCATCGCGTTCCGTCTCTTCGGGCTCTCTGCGAGTTTATGACACTTTGTGACGAGGGAAGGGGATCCTCCTCTGTCCAAGTGTTGTTCATGAAACGTATGCGAGGAGGAGGAAGAGGAGGAAGAGCGTGAAATGGGAGAGGGCTCTTTTGTGGACAGTGTGCGCTCTAACGTATCCTAAGCGGGAAAGTGCCGGTAAAGTATCTCAACAGTAAGACAATAAAGATCGACAAGGGATGTGAGAATGTTCCCTTCCATGCCATCAGCAGCTTGGACATGCAATTTCGACTTGTTGAGCTTCTTCTAGTGGTGCGGTAAAGAGTCCGCGAGTGGGACGGAGGGGGGGGGGGAGGGAAGGAGGGAGAGATGTAACTCTCATCATCGTTAAACATCTGGAGATCGCAACAGCTTCCTGTGGTCAAATTCGTGTCTGTTTCGAGTTTCATAAGTAAAAAGGTTTGCCAAAAGCTGTCGTATGGTTGACAGACCTACAAGTGTATCATGATACTATCATCTACTGTGGCAGGGAACTTGATCATTGAATGCTGTGTACGACTAGTGTTGCGACACAACACGTTTCCTCGATTTTACCCTGGTCAGTTCTCATAGTCGAGGCCATACTCCCCAATTCTACGTGCAAGTAGGGCATAATCGACGGTAGGACTTGGAGGTGAAGTCATGAGACAAGGATCTTACCACCAAGGAAAGGACATTAACCGCCACAGTACGAAGACATCAACCGTCACCTTGATACAGATGGCTTCATCGATGATTGACAATTTGTTCTTCATACAAGATTCGTCTATAGTCTTATAATAAGGCGGGGAGAGCTGTGGACCGCTTGCCGCTTGTTTTAGCGCAATCATGCTGATGAATGCATTTGTCCTGATTTCATTTTATATGTTTGGCCCCGAAGTCCGACGTTGTCTGCCAATGTTTCTGGATGATATTAGTTTAATAATCAGCGGGAGTTCCTTTTCTGCGTGCCTCGCTTGCAGATTCTCGCCAAAAGCGTCGTCTTTCGACATGGTTTCCCGGGGAGTTACTGCTTTATGTCGCGGTGGCCTCATAAATCATTACTCCTTTTCCGTGCAAAATAATGCCCCGATGGTGAATCATTCCGGGCGGCATCACGTCGCCTTTTCTTTCTCGAGTGAAAGGACGAAAACAATGGTCGAAAAGAAACCACTTCCTGTCGCACTCGCCACAAAGCTCGGACGCCGGGGACGCCGGACCAGAATGGAAAGAGGCGCCGCGCCCTCGAAGCAGAAAGAGGCCGCAGCAGAACGACGACAGGAGCGCGAGCTGCAGGCAGGCGACGCCATGCGCTACATGCACAAGCGCGGGGCAAGGGCCTCGACGCGAGTCATGAAGGCGGAGGATAAAGTTGCGGATAACAGGTGCGGAAGCCGGTGAGCGAGCGTTCGAGAAGCCCGGCCGGAAGGACGCCGGGACCAGTTCGGCGGTGGGGGGGGGGAGGCTCTGCCCGAAGCGGCCGGGCGTCCGACGTGGCCGCGCGACACGGCGGAGGCGCCCTCGGCCGGCTGAGCTGGGCTGTGGTCTGTTGGAGGCGGCGAGGCGCCGGATTCTGACGGATTGAACCCGCCACGTTAGCTGAGGTAGCCAGCCCCGGATAGAGACGAATTTCGCAAAAGGCTGATGACAAGTCGATAGGCCCGGACAAACATGCCACTGCCGGTCTTCGGATATGAATTGCCGGTCTCGGCAGTTAAGACGCGCTGCCCTCACGGTGACACCGTCACCCCGAGACGGTAAACATTCTGCTCGCCAGCAGACTCGTGAAGCGGAGGCAGCGGCAGAAGCCAAATTTGTATGGAGTGACGTGGTTCTCTACTCTCCTTCGGATCGACCGATCTGGGACGATAAGCGGCTCGGACGTAGGTCGATGCGCCGTGAGGGTTATGGAAGGAACTCTGGCTCGCTTTACGTGAGTTCCTTTTCCCGGGCGGGCGGGCGGGCTGGCTGGCTGGCGCGGGGGCGGGCGCGGGGTGGCCAGAGCGGCAGAGGGAAGGCGAAAGACTCGGCGGGCGGAGGAGAGCTGCGAGAAAAGAAAGAGAGAGACGAGCGGCGTCAGGAAGGCGACTTTGAAACACGGCACGAGGAGCGCAGGCTGCACATCGACAGGACTAGAGGGCGCAAGAAGTGGCGCAAGGATTTCGAGGGGATGGGGAGGGAGTAGCAGTGCAGGCCGAGGCAGGCAGGAAGGAAGGAAGGAAGGGAGTCAGGAAGGCAGGGAGGGAGGCAGCCGACGGGATTGGACTCGCGGTTTTAGAAGGGAGGCCCGGCACTCCGAGACCGAATTCGAGCTCGTGTGAGTCACGCGGTAATTTCTGCGCACCGTGCGCCTGCGTCGTGGTGAGTTGGGACTTGGAAGTAGATCGACGAAGGCCTGGGGTCAGGACGGCGGAGGCTTGTTCGCTTGGTCTTCGAAGAGGAGTGGGATCCGATCGGGAAAGGAAAGAGGAGCTAGAGCAGGAAATCTGCCGCTGGAGTAGTCTCCAGCATCAGCCTTTTGCTAAGAGCCTGAAGAAGTCGTGTGCATGAGAGAGGGTAGGCCGAGAGCCATGTCAAGTCAAGTCGCGGCCGTCGTAGGAGTCGGGCCGGGCTTAGGACTTGCCATTGCTCGCAAATTTGCACGCCAGGGCTACACTGTCGCTATATTGGCACGCAATTACGGTTGGTCTCCACTTGACTAGAAGGTTTTTATATTTTTTATATTTTTTATTTGGGTGCTTCTATGAGAACTGCCGTCGAGATACTGCGTTTCTGGACTTTCTCGTCTTATGCTCGTTTGCGAATGTCGTACTATTTGTGGATACCCGAAAAGAGTTTTCTGTGCGAGAAGCTATGACCGTGTGTGGGATAGAAAGGTGAACGCATGGCCCTTGCGTTCAGGTTTCTATTCCTGCAATGTCTGCGGGACTTTTCTTGGAGGCGTTTGGAAGCGACTTCACGTGGATCTGGGACTGTTTTGCGCTAAGCTCTTTCGGGGTCTTGCAGCTTCGCATTCCCACTTCTGGGATACGAAAATCGATAATTCGTAGTGTTTGTGAAGCCCAGTATTCGCTGTTTTCAGTGAAATTTTCCTCACCTTTCCTGTCCACCGACTACCACGTGAAGTTTCGTGTCGGATGCTTGGAGCATTTGGCCATCACGTTTACCAAGTTACTGCAGCTGTTGAATTGCTGACGCTTAGCTCAACCATCCTGCCGATTAGCGCAATTCGGTACGAATTGAACACCATCTTGGGTTCTGTTGGCTCGCTCCTGCTGGGCTATCGGTTACGCTCTCACGCATGTGAGTATCTGCAGCCTGGAATTGGATTGCTTTGCATCGAGGTTGGGAGAGATACTAATGTGAAGAAGAGGCGAGTTCACTGGATGCACTAGCAGGAAAAGAGAAGGGAAAGGGAGTGGAGTTCTAAGTTGGGTACGAGCGACCACCATAACTAGTTTCGTTTTCGTCGAAGGGTCCTTGGCTTTGCGATGTGTTGCAGATCGTGTGGATTGTTTGCTATATGTGCTGAGTGCAGACTATGTCAAACACGGCTGTTGGTACTTTTCCTGTCAAATGTCAAGCCGATAAGGACTTTAGTTGACTGGCAGTAGGAATGTGTGTGTGTTTGAAGATGTTAAGTGGTGTTGCTTTACCGCCGTAGCATAAGCAGAACGATATCGATGAGGGTAGACTGCCTGATATGATCCGAGATTGGCGTGGAACTTATTACATGGGGAGAATGTAAAAAAACTGTAGAACCTTCGGCCAAGCACCAAAATCGTTTGCCTTTTTTCATTTAACTGTTCGCTTGAATACCCTTGCGATAGCCTGTAAATCTCTAAGTTTCTGTTGTCTGATTTCATTTCTTTTGTACTCTTAGGCAAACATCAGACGCTCATCCTGAGGGCTTTCCTACTGGCTCATTCTGACGGAGCATAAAGCACCGGTAATTCAAGCCTCTGTAGCGGCAACGTCTATGCTGTATCTTCCAAGTTCTCGAAGTTGGATCACGATACGGTCGATTCCCTAAAGCCTCTGCTTGATAGCCTATCAAAATGTGATGTCTATCAGAAATACATGTGGTGTTACGATATCCTTCCAGGATGATGAGAATCGAAAGAATTGACCTAATGTCAAGCGTTGCGGTCGTCATTCGGCTTGCAGAGGGTCGTTCCTCATACACGAATGTGTACCTACAGCGTTCTCTTCTGTTCGATTTTCTCTGTTCCAAGCGTCTTCATTCGAGCCAGTCTGTTGCGTTACTGGCGGGGTTTTTCGATGGATCCTGCATCAGCGCAACTGCATTTCGATGTACCAAGAGCAACGACTATGATAGTTGTTGAAAGAGAGTAACCCGTGTCAAATCCATTTCGCAATTTAGCAAACTCTGCTCGTTATGCGACGGCTCTTAATTCTGTCGGGCATCAGTTGTCCGACATATACTCTACGCTCGAGGAACCAGATGTCCTTAGCATTACATCTACAAGTACTTTGATACTAGAACACGACTAATTGAATGCGTTTTTTTTCAGAGACAAAGGTTCCTTTAACTTGTCCTCGGGACCTCAGTGTACCCTAGGCAGCTGAGAGCTGCTTAACAATGCTGATTTGATTTGAAGGAAAACTTCATATATGTTAACTTCCTTCTGGCCCAATGAGGCCTCTTAAGGCCCATTTCTGATCGGTCTAATTTCAGAGTTTTTGAATTAAGAACTCGTAGCATATTTCGCTGTTTCTCTACGCTTATCTACTACTCGGTTCATACGGACATTCAGGGAGATACATTCTGGTCAAAGTCATGAGGTTTAACGAAACTTTCGACTTGCATTTTACCACAAACACATTGCAGTCATCTCTGGGTGAATCAAAGGTTTCCTTACTGTTGCCAGACACTGTCTGAGATCATTGTTCGATGGATTGGAGAGTTACTTGCTGATTGATTCGCACTCATCCTGCCTCATAACTTGAGGTCGACAACTACTTTGCGAGTCCAGATTTTTGTGAAAGTATTGTTACAGCTGAACTAGACTATTCAGAAAGTTTTGTTGCTTGTGTTCCTCCCTTTGTTTTCTACAGATAAGCTGATGAAATTTGCCGAGCAGATCGTCGAGAAGGAAGCTTCAGGCCAAGTGGCAGCGATACGAATTGATTGTTCCGATTCTAAATCTATAAAAGACGCCTTTGAAGCTGTCAACTCTCTGGGCACAGTGGAAGTTCTGGTGAGGTTTCGAAAGTCTTGTCTCCGGATCACAAATCTGAAACGGAACATATCTCACCGTTCTGCTTCAATGGGCAAGAGAAAAGGAGTCGAGTGTTGTTGTCATCGCAGTTTTGGTGCTTCATGTGTTTCAGGTTTACAACACGAATACTCCGTTTCCATGGCCACGACCCAGGTTCTTGGACGTCAGTGCCGATTCGTTCGAGCGCAACATAAATGTTAGCTGTGTGGGAGCATTCCACTGTGTACAGCAGGTTCTATTCTCGTCTTTACTTCACCTAGTTTTCATCAAGTTGCGTAAAAACACTCTACACATTGTGTATACTGTCATCTTCACACCTGTTACCGGTACTCTTCGAGTATATAGAGATTTATTCTATTTTGTAAATTTCTGGTTTCTACCATGTACGTCTTGCAATGATCGTTCATCGAGTGCACCTCATTCCAGTTGACTCTTGTAGAATGTCCTGTTATCACCGAACTCCGCGATGTAACCTCAACGCCACAAATGGATACCGAGATCCCATATGCGTCGTAATTTTCATCATTAAGTTCTTTGTCATCATGAAATGGTAAATTGAGGTTTAAGAGTTCCACGTTCAAAAAATTGGGAAGTTCGCGTTTTCGACAATCTTCAGTTTCCCCTTTGGTGGACTTTAACAGCTCTTGGATGTTGCAGGTTCTGAAAGGAATGTTGGATAGGAAAAAGGGAACGATTCTTTTCACGGGTGCCACTGCATCAGTACGGGGAAGTGCAGGCTTTTCAGAACTTGGTTTGTTCATCAAACTTTTGAATTAATAACTACGTGCCAATTGCCCCACAAGGGATGGAAGGATGTTGTACTTTATCTCTGTTAAGGACGAGCTTGCTTTATTATTGTAGATCCATTTTTTCATGATCGAAACATACTTGGTAAAATTGAAGTGATTTTCCACCGAAGCTAATTAATGTTGGTCTTGCTACTGTGCATTTCACACTCTAGTTGTTGTTCGCCAGTATGTTTTCAAAAATCAATCCACGTAGCCTTCGCGTAAGGACAGAGTAAGAAATTCGAATTTTGTAAATGAATTCTTGGCTTACCCAGTGTTGTCTAAGTAGGACCCTCTGGTCTGGTCAGGAGAGTCTCAGGGTTATTTTAGCTTTTCTCTCTTTCAGTTTTTAAGGTGCTTATGTTGTATGTGATTTTCCAATTCATGTCAATCCCGGGTTCTCTCTAGAAGACATACGCATGTTCTTTTAACCCTTTTATCAACGAATCGATTGTGAACATGTAGAAGTCCATGCCAAATTGATGTACTTCTTTAGGTGAAATGGTGATCGGAAACGTTTTTATCAGGAAATTTATGAAATCATAGGTTTGAGTAAACTTTTTTGAACTTCACACCAACGTCATGATGTTCCTGTTGTGATCAAAAACTGATCACAGTTCCTAAGTATTTGATTGTAAGCATTGCTTCGGTCGATGCAGCGTGCGGAAAATTTGCTCTAAGAGGTCTTTCACAATCATTAGCTCGTGAACTGCATCCTCAAGGGATACACGTGGCACATATTATTATTGACGGAATGATCAGGTTTGTTTCTACCTTCTTCTCAGCTAACTGCATCCGTCAAGTATTAAACGAACACTCAGTTTATGACGCTAAATTTGGTTGTAATTGACATTTTGTCTGGATGATGCCTAACAGGACTAATGCCAGAGATAGCGGCGTTTCGTCCTCCGAAGACGAGAAGAGGATGAGCCCAGATGCTATTGCAGAGGCATACTGGCAGTTACATATCCAAGATAGAAGCGCATGGTCACAAGAGATTGACCTGCGTCCTTTCTGCGAGAAATTTTAGTTTGGTTATGATTGTGCAGGTTTTTAGTGCCTTCATTTTGGCTTCAGTCGTCTATGTAGTAGAGGGCATGATTTATTGTGTAGGACCCTGAATATAATTATATCAACGCAATTCAAATTTGTAAAGAGATTGTTCATAACATGGAAAGTCTGGAATCTTGATTTGGGTACGAGTGTCCTCTCATACCAGGCCCCTCTCAAGTCCTTTAGTGCCATTCCATGTGTTCAGTTTTTTCCACGAACCTGGTACGGTCACTTTGCGCCTTGACTTCGATGTAAGATTTATGCCCTCGAGGATTCATCGGGGGACTGTGGTACAAATTTGATTACTTCCATTTTGTGCTGGTCTGTAGAGCACTGTGTCTTCTGAGAAACCGAAATATTGGGGATTTGTGTAGGCGTGTTCTCCGTGCACCTTGTAGCAGTTTTCAACGTAGGTCACCGATCTCTAAACCGGCAGACTTCGCTCACTTTAAGGTCAAGGAAAACGTCTATTGCCACCTATTATATGCGAAACAAAAGTCACAGATTCATACTATTCTTCAAAATAACGCATGTGAAGAATAATATAAATTATTGAAATATACATAAATTTTCTATTTTCAAGATCCAAACCCATTTTTTTGAAATTTCATCATTTTCAAGTGATAATCCTGTCATATGTATCATCTAATAATATACATATATATATAATACTTTTTTAAAGTTATTCCACAGGTTAAATTGGAATTTTTATTTTATTTTATTTTTACTAATTTTATATGGATTGATTGGATTTTCACGTCTTTTGAATTTAAATAATGATTTTGAGCTTTGACTTTTAATATTTGAAAATAAAAGAATTTTTTATATCATGCAAGTATCTAAACTAACTTATATGATCAAATTTGAATTTGATAATATGTATACTTCACTAAATCTTCTTAATATTTTATGTTGAATATATTGGATCAATATATACTGGTTTATATTGGAAAATTTTTAATGAACTAAATTAAATATTTATTTATAAATATTAGAAATATATTTAAAATTTAAATCATTAAAAAATTAACCCGAAATGTATGTGATATATTTTAATATTACATTTATGTTTCTAATTACTCATGCCAATTTTTTAGATTAACGTTAATTTCTTATCTACATGATTTACTTGTTTAAGAATTTCAATTTTTCTATTTTCAAAATTAAAATATCATAGCAAGTTTTTTGCTATATTCATATACAAACACATGTCTCAATTTTATAAGTAACAACAAAGAAATCTGAAATATATTAGATGTAATAGTTGAAATATGCATTTTAGGTTTGTTATTTGAACAATCTATTTTATTCCAAATACACGTGAAGTAGATATGAGTATTGTTGCAATGAGTAACATTAGAAGTTTAAATAAAAAAATAATGAGTACACTAGTTTTTACAATTTTCACTTATAAATACATTTTGCACATATGTGTCGAAATTTTATATTATTATTACATATCTATCTTTCAAAATACGTAATAATACAATGTAATTTTGAAGTAATTCTTTGCTATTGCAAGTAAAACATCTCTAAAACTCTTTCAGAAAGATTCCAACTTCTCACAATAGCATTAAAAAATATTTCTTAATTTCATAAACATATACTGTCAACTTTTAACCCATGTTTATTCAATTATAATGTCTATGATGAATATTTTTGGCAAGATTTTGACACTTATGTAAACAAATTAAATATATTATGTACATTTTATGTTGCATAGTTTAAAGTAACGGCTAGTTATTTCTCACTTTTAGCTAATTATCTCTATCTAGCTGACTATCACTCTATTATACACTCTTCTGTGATTGGTCAAATGCATGGACAAGTCTCTATCATTGCCAGTTGCCCGTCAATGATAGAGCTGTATTTTTCACCATCCTACATCAAATACTCCGTTCACGTACGCCTCGCTTTGCGAGCCTCTCCTTGATTCTCTTCACACGAAGTGATTCTTGTTCTGCCGCAGTGCTTTGCGGATTGGTAGTGTATAAACAAGTCCTTGTACACATTTGCAGCAATTCGTAGTTGTGCGTCCGATTTGCACTTCCGCATTTCTCTTGGAGAAACTAGAGTTTGTCTCTTGCAAGACTGGAAGTTAAGAGAATTCTTCTCTAGGCGCGATTGTCAAAGAAACAAAAATGGGGATAATCCAAAAATCTTCGCTACATCGACGATACTAAAGGAAGGTGACGATGGTTCAGAAATTGCTCCATCGAGCGATGTCAAGACAAGAGATTCTGACAGCATCGAGTTGGAATTTTGCTGCAATTTGAGGTAGACAAGAGCTCACCGTTGGATGCTTGATGAGGTGGGGCTCTCCGATCCTCGATGGCAACGGAAATAGGAGAAGTAGGTGCCAAACTTACACTAGGGAGTGAGAAAGGCGGACAGACAAAGAATTAAAGGGTCAATTGTACTTATCTGGCAATTACGGAGATTCCATCCTTGCATTTGACCAATCATACTAAAAAGTATAGTAGGATGAGAGAAAATTAGCCAAAAGTGAGGGAAAATTAGCCGCTCCCTATTTTACATATTACTCAAATGATTCAATTTATAATCATCTTGTACATAAGTCACTTAATCTGAAAAAAAATAGTTGATATATGAAACTCAAAAAGGTCAAAAGTAATTTTTTTTATCTTCAACCAATTTTTAGAAAAATATTAAGATTTTTTGCATGTCTTTGCACTAATTCTATTCATATTATTTCTCAAGACTTTGATACTTCTATAACCTTTTTTTAAATTGTTGTGTTTCTTTCTTATTGTATTGAGCAAAAATTTATTTGACACACATCTTTATTACAGTCTTCATTTTTCTATGTATATTGACAATAAGTTAAAAAGAAGATGAAAAATAATACAAACTAGCTACTTGCTTTGTTTATATGATCCTTGATATATAGAAATTTGACTCTTAGTCATAGAACTATATTCTAAACTATGACCGTGGAGTTAGTGGCTTGTAGAGCTCCCTCATCTAATATTTCTAATGATATTTTTTTCAATGAATTATGTTATGAGAGACATTTTTTTCAATGTCTCGCGCACTCCATCTTGTTGCTACTCTCGTGATTTCATGAGTAGTTACCATTCTCTGATTTAAAGCTTACATTAGAAAAGAAAACAATTAAAATCACTTTTTCATATTTTCTTGATTTTTTTCTGTCATTGCTTCTACATATATAACAAACATTCCTCCACTTTTTCCCTTAAATAAATCTATGAAATCGTCAACAAGTTTCAGAAATTTATCTCAACTTTTGTTAAGTTAGAAAAAAGTTATACAGTGAATAGATACAAATTTTGATATAAAAAAATTACTAATGGATGTTACTATTTTTTTGTAAACAACCTAATTTTCTTGTTGATTCATATGATCAAATAGAATCCTTGTAATCTGATCCATCTATTTCACTTAAAATGTTGGCCCAACATCTTTGTCTGTATCATCACATCTCATAGATCAAATTGGGCGTGTGATGAATTGACTTCGAAAAAGTTCTTTGCAAATATTGGACATGGCTAACTATATCGACATGACAAGAACACCGAAGTGAATACATCTTTTAACATCCATCCGTCATCAGTATCAAAGATCTTACTCTTGACACTCATGAGAAGAATAGTACCCTTCAAATTATGCTTAGTCTTCAGTTCCTCGCTCATTATTTCTCTCGTAATGGTTTTTGAAATTTCGACCATTCAGATTTTTGTCTGAAGGTTATGTACTTGTTTGTTCGTGCAAAAAACTTAGTATCCCTTCCATCTTTGTACTTCGTTCATAGTTACCAGTTTCATCTTTATCGTGAGCCGAGTAGATTGAATAATGATATTTGTTCCAAAAGCATATTTGTTCGTAAAGATACAGTGCATACAATTTTTTTGAGTTGTGTCATCTCCAAAGTAGTCTGAATGCCATATTATATTTTCTGCTTTCGGTTCCACTCATCACTGACTTTGTAAATATCCCAAAATATTCTAAAGTAATAATAAATGAATCACTTTTACGGCTAAATCAAGATCAAGATCAATGAGAAATAAAAGATTAAATCATAGTGTGGAGAAACAGTCATTAATTTAGGCTAGTGCAAATTGGAGGATATACATTCAAATGTTGTATTCCTAAATATCACTTTCAATCTCAAATATGATCTGGCTTTCTATTTTGGTAGCAGGGGTTATGATGTTAGATGAACATTTTCAAAAAATTTACAGAATTTATGTTTCGAGAATAGATATCAAGCTAATCTCCAAAGGCACTAAATCTTCATCTTACAATATTTCGTAATGTGAAGTAATACATAAAACCTCACCCACATACTTTACTTCACTGGTTAATAATAACAGCACACATATGCCACGCGTCTTGCGTCATCCTTTGTAACTGACCCGCAAGTAAAGGTCAACAAAATTACGCTCCTTGTGAGAGGAGAGTTGCTAATATTCTAGTCACCGCAAGATAGAAAAAAGTGTCATTATCTGGAGAATAATGAGTGATGATATCTATGTGTGTCAAACAAAACAAATGAAAACCTTACATGATGAAGTCTAGAACTACACATGAGATGAGATGTCACCTACAACTTCAAAAGTTTATGGAGACAAACCAGCGCCCTAAAAGGATATAGATGATAACGAGAATGCTCATATAGGATACGAATGTGATGACGGATACTCCGAAAACAAACAAAGAGGGGTCTAGACAATGCTAATTTTTTAACTGTATACAAAGCTCGTGAAATGTATATTGAATGAAGTGCACATCTATCATCCTTTGATGCGTTTCCTTTATGAGTTGTCCACATTTTTTTTCCGTCTCGCGACGTTAAATTAATTTCAGGCCTCGGTGCTCTCTACGGGACTGGAGTCATTTTGACGAAAGCTCCATGTCGTGAAAACTGGAAAGTTGATCTCGTACCCAACATCCGAATATACGGCAGTCAACATATGGCTCGAATGCCGACGAGCGCCTAATCGAGCGCAAGCAAGGACTAATCAGTACTTTCGCGCGAGAGAGTGTGGGAGCCGAATGCTAATTGAAACTGCTAAAGCGGAGGATTAGCATGTTAAGTGCATGGGATTAAGGAAGGCGAGCGAGGTGGCGAGGAAGCGAGGGCAGGGGGCGAGAGGGAGGAAGGAGGAGAGCTGCGAGTGTGAGCGCGAGCACGAGCACGAGCACGGAATCGGAGAATTCCGGGGCACGGTGCATGAGGAGCTCAGCGGGTTGACAACTCCGAGGTCGAAAGAGGTGGGCGATGGCGGAACTGGCGGTTATCGACGACGCAGCCTTGGAGGCGAGCTTGAACAACGTGCTGCAGCAGGAGGAGCTGAAATGGATTTTCGTGGGCGGCAAGGGCGGCGTTGGGAAGACGACATGCAGCTCCATGTTGGCCGTGCAGTTGGCGAAAGTGCGCCCGTCCGTGCTCATCATCTCCACCGATCCTGCTCATAATCTCAGCGATGCTTTCCGGCAGAAATTCACTCGCTCGCCCACCGTCGTGCAGGGCTTCTCCAATCTCTATGCCATGGTTTGTAGAATCTCAATGCCCTCTCTGATTCCCGTTCTCCTTGCATGTGATGGCTGTGCTGATCATGCTGGGCCGATGGTCGGTGGAAACCTCTGAATTCTGTGTAGGACGGGGTTTGTCTTACTGCCTATGTATCCGAAACCTTGCAGGAGGTGGATCCGACAGTGGAGAGCGACGAGTTGGATCAGTTTGAGGGAATGGGGGGATTTGTTTCAGAACTCGCGAATGCTATTCCTGGAATCGATGAAGCTATGAGTTTTGCCGAGATGCTGAAGTTAGTTCTCCTGACTCTGTTGATACACTTATGCTCGTAATTCTTAGCATCAACTGGCAATTTGATTGACGGGTGCAGTGTCTGCAGACTTTTGCTTTCACAACACAATTTTTTCCGCCGATTTAAGAATATCGCCATAATTGACGCGTTGCAGCCATAAGAGTGTGTGAGGAAAGTTTTTTTTAGGGTGCTTCCTTCTCATACCTGGCAGTTAATCTGAGAAGGAGTGAAGGTTTCTTAAGAGCTACTAAAATTAGTTGCATACTTCTCATATCTCTAGTTCTCGATTTTCTTTTTTTTACTTGCTTACTTTTTCTGGGCTTTAATCTTTTATGACGTGTCGGGGATAAGCAAAGAACGTGAAAGAAGATTAGTTCTTGCATTTAGGGATCTGTCGATGTTTGCTTTGAGCTGTAAATACGTGAGTGGAATCCAGGCTCAAAATGTACTCTCACGAATTATCAGCAGACTTATGAGAGTCTCCAACCTGGAAAATATTCTTTGTACAATGCTATGAGCTTCTGGAATCCCGAGAGTGTTCATGTTTTTCAAAGCCCACTGCTGTATATGCAGGGAGGGACTAGAAGCATTCTGGGCAGCTTTTTTCCTATAAGTACAATTGTCTGTCCTCTGTAACTGACCTAATTTCAACAAACATTTAAGTTAGAAATCTTTGCCGACGTGTTACTTTTTGTGTTCTCTATGTAGAACTGAAACAATATCTGTCTGGCGAACTTTGTCAATGACTGACCTGAGAATTTGATTATCGGATGTTATCATGCAGGTTAGTGCAGACCTTGGATTATTCAGTCGTAGTGTTTGATACTGCTCCCACTGGTCACACTTTAAGATTGCTGCAATTTCCTTCGACACTAGAGAAAGGGCTTGGTAAGATGATGGGCCTGAAGAACAAGTTCGGAGGCTTGATCAGCCAGGTAAGTTTTTATTTCCTTATCATCACACGTGCGTTCAAACTGAAATTTTGTGCTGTGATGAAGGATGACCTCATGGGAAATAGTCTGAAAGCTGGTGAGGCTTGCAACTATCATTTATTACGTTTATATAGTTTCGACTGCGCAATAAGTTTCTAGTCATGACTTAAAAAGATACACCAAAAATACATATCTAAGCGAGGGCTTGAATACGTATTATTATCTGTTCTTTATTTTCTAATTGCTGGAGAGTAGGCCAGAGGAGGCCATGTTAGTACCAACGTCGTATCACTTATCAAGTTCATCATATCATCACCGCCTGTCTCTCTTCTATCTACTAGAGAATTATGAAAGTTTTTAGAGCAGTCTGTTCATGAAGGTGCTCTTTATGCCATGGGGGTGGTGATGCAGTCATGACAGAGGAACTATGGTGGTCCAGGTATCACGGATGTTTGGCACAGGAGATGAATTCGGAGAGGAGAATATTATGGGGAAGTTGGAAAGCATGAAAGCCGTCATTGAACGGGTCAATGAACAGTTTCGTAATGCGGTATGCTATCTGTGACTCTTACTCAGTTGGCAAATTCCTCTTAGAGTTTCTTCTTTGACAAACTCTATGTGTCTCACTACTTAAGTAATCAGTAATTTTTTTTTGCAAGAATTCTGTTTGCTAGAATTTGCCACTTTGTCTTCTTGGAACTAGTGTACGAAGTGTTCTTATGTTTCGTAAAGTCTGCAGGCCAAATCTGTCGGACGCAATGTTCTTACTAAATTTGACCACTTTTTGCAGGACTTGACGACTTTTGTTTGCGTATGCATTCCCGAGTTCCTGTCATTGTATGAAACAGAGAGGCTGGTCCAAGAGCTTGCTCGCTTCGAAATTGATACTCATAACATCATCATCAATCAAGTTCTATTCAAGGAAGACGGTTAGTTGTCCGGACTGTCTTTACATGTTTATTGATGATAATCGATCTTGGCTTTCGTATCATTGTATGTCTAATGAGTTATGATGGTAAAGTTTTTGGCTTCATTTTCCGCAAGTGTCGATTCATATCCTCCATTTAGTTTTGAAGAATCTACCTAAGACATGCCTCCCGCTGCGAGGAATATTCACGTTTACGTAATCTCTGTTGGACTGGTACATAGCTCATCGTAAAAGTATCCTCATATTTGTTTCTGAAAACTTCATTTCTCTTGTACAGCCTCCGATTCGAAACTCCTGCAAGCGAGAATCAGAATGCAGCAAAAATATCTTGATCAGTTTCACGATCTTTATGAAGACTTTCACATTACAAAGCTACCACTTCTACCCGAAGAGGTATCTGGCTACCCCTCTTGATCACTACTGCCTTGTGCTTGTGTAGTATTGATTATATATGATTTATGGATTATAAGAAAATTTTAACCGTCAAAGGTGGTTTCCTCCAAGTACGCATACGATTCAGACCATTCAGAATTTCGATTCAAAATACGAATACGATTCAAAATTTCTGGATTTAATTTCCCTCTGTGTGCAGGTACGTGGAGTTGAGGCTTTAAAAGAATTCTCGAAGAATCTCCTTGAGCCTTATAAACCTTCTGTTGACGGTGCCGTTGGAGTTTTGTCCCTGAAGACCGTGGAGGATTGTGAAGCGGAAGTTGAGCGACTAAAGAGTGCACTATCAGAAACGGAAGCTTTGTTGGAACGATTGAGAAAGGGCAAGGATAAGAGTTGAGATTCACTGTCAAAGATTGATGTAATTCATCCGAAGCAGTCTTGGCTACCTTCCTATTCATGAATATGAATAGGATCAAAGCTTAAGAGTTTATTCTTGGCACGCGGCAGCCCGTAGCCAGCAATGGGATGGAATCGGTTTTGACCTTACAAGCCAGAGCTCAAAGATCGATGTTTGGAGCTGGATACGCAAAGCTGCACCAAGAAAAATGGTCAAGAATGATGTATAGATTCATAAATGCGATCTCTGTCAAGTTTTCTCCAAAACTGAAGGAACAGATGCGATGGAAGCCTTTGTCAGGTTTGGTGAAACTGCTATCTGAAACTCTCACTGTGCTGTGACGGAGAGTTTCCATGTCAAGATCCTACTGGTAGTCTGCGTTTCCCCTTTGGGTGAGTCAATGTAGAATGGAAAGCAATGAGTGGTCTTCTAGACAAGGCAAATGATTTGCGGTGACTTAATTCATTGACGGAGTTTCAGATACTATCGTACTTCAGTAGTCTAAATGTTTGAAAAAATGCGATCGTTCGCCGGAATTATTCAGTTGAATATGTTGAACATTCCAGAATGTGTATTGGCAGCGGCAATGAAACCTGTGTCTCATCTCTAGGATGGCGTTGTTGAATGACGAGTTTAGTACGAAGTTCTGTATTTGTGTTTATGCTACTTTCGAGCTCCTTCTCATTTGTTCACGTTGAAGTTTTCTCGTACCCCATTCCCTTCGAACATAAGAAGTGCCTATCAGAAATATGTGGATTCTCATGGTTGGTATTCGAAGGAGGGATTCTACGAGATAACCGAGTCACATCTTGCCAGACTTGACGGTCGTCTGAGATACAGTCAATTTTCCCTCCCATGTGCTCTTTCGATGTTCTCCGACCTGTATGTCCAATTGTTTTTGACCCACACTGCGAAGACATAGAGTCAATTAGCGGGAGCTTGGTTCACTTGATTTGAAGTTGGAGGTGTGGAACCTTGAAAGAGAGTCACAAAGATCACCAAAGCACACAACCACAAGACGCAAGAACGGACTTCTGAGGGCCGTGCCAACACCTGCTGGATCTAGTTTCCTGTCCCATTGAACTCAAGTTAAACTGCCCGTCGACTTCGTGTTCACTCTCCCCTCCGTCTTGTAGGTTTGGCTACATGACTCCTTGATGATGAGGCTCACATATACGCACTGGAATTAGAAAGAAATTCATGCATGGCTGACCTAGAGAGTACAAAGTGCAAACTGCCAGACCCAATCAGGATGCCGAGGAATTTGTATACACTCTCAATGTCTACAAATTACAACTGCACCCATTACAATGCATCTGCACCCAGCAGGAAGCACCGAAAGGAGATTGTCGGACGATCTTGCAACCAAACGTCAAACCGATGGCGGACAAGGTCAACGGACGGAGCACATGCAGGGCATCCATGTTTCTTGTGGAGGAGATGAGTGGCGGAAAAGGTCGGGGCCTTTGATGAACAGCATCTGTCAAGCTGCGGAGCTGCACAGACGCATCTTTTGGGTGAGATCTGAGATCGGGAGGAGCGAATTGTGGGACCTGATCGTTCCATCTGAACCTGTGCACAAGGAATTAAATTTCAAAGAATGATTAGCTTAGAAGCGTAACACTGTGAAAGCTCGGGCTAACCAATGAAATCCGGAGCCGAAGCATCGGATGAACGTGGAGATGGAGTACGACCGGGGTTAAATTAATTGCAGGAAAAGTAAAAGTTGCGCGGAGTAGAACTCTGTGCGCAGGATGCATCCCGCTTCTTCGGTACGAGCACCGAAGAAGTCAGCACGAAAAGCTCTCGAGATCCTTGACGAGGGCGAGTCCTGTTGAAAAGATCCTCGATGGGCCCGGATCATCAAATGTGGGAGTGAAAGCTGGTGGCTGCCGTGACTCAACAGTTCTCGGAGCCTGGAACGAGAGGAACGAGGGAGGCAGGGAGGCAGGGAGCGGCCGATGGAGTCGCCCGCCCCATAAGATCGGAGCGCGCAGGCAATTCGCGGGTTGGCAGGAGCTGGTGTGACGAGTACTTCCCTGTGGACTCGCCGGCAGGCAGGAGACGTCCTCGTCGATGTCGGCAGACTGAAGCCCGAGGTGAAGGAGCGTCCAGCAGCTGCTTGCCTCTGAGCCGCACCCACCAAGACGATTGCCGAATTATGGAAGATGTCGGCAGGGAGAATTTTCTAAGTAAAGTGCAAAAATACAGCGTCCGATGCTTGACGGTATGAGCCTTGGGAACGTGAATTTCTCGCTCTAAACGCTCGCAGAAGCTTAAGCCTAAGCCTTTACTTCCTAGTTCTTTGGGGTCCCGGGTTCAAATGGAACGTGGACGGCAGATTTTCCTGAGCAGAGTTCAGCCTAGTCTTCAACAATGTATGCTGGTACGTGCCTGCGGATTGTTGGAATTTCCGGTCGGTCGGTCGATTTTTGTCGAGAGTTTGAGTATGTGACCATGAAGGATTCGCCACTCGTGTAGCATGTGCTCGCAAATGTGAGAATTGGAAATCTGCCCATGCCCCAGTTTTGAGTGCCAGCTTTTTGTGATGTAAATCAACGCGAGGAAGCCACGGAGTCGGCCCTGAACGTCGCACGGCCGAACTCGCAAGCAAGCAAGCAAGCAAGGAGCGTGCTCAATTTTCTGTCGTAATGTTTTCGGATTCGTACACGAATTCGATAGCATGATCGAAGCTTTGAAAGTAGAATTACAGGATGCGTGCATTTGACTTGAGATCCAGCTAGACTGAATTGTCGCCCGTACGAGCAGTCTGGCAGAGGAACCAAGAGCAGTTCGACCCAAGCTCACTGCATTCGAGGAACTTGCTGTAGTCTAGTGATCGAGATTTGAAAGCCTCGTTTGATTGAGATGAAGAATCGAAGAGGATTGAGTCGAGGTGATTGAAGAAGTCCCAGCGGACGTCGTCAAGTTTGTCATGAATGTATTGGCAGTTCATTCGCAAAGTGTTATGTCAGAATTGAGAAGCATAAGAAGCGTAGATTCCAGAGGGGTTTCGGACACTTGATGCTGCGTATGGAAATCTAGGGTGCAAATATTTCTCCCCTTTCGAAGGAATGCAACCTTCATGCATGAACTTTAATCCAGTATCCTGTATTTTATTGTTGAACTCTGCAGTATGAAGACCCTGATGCTCAAGAAGCTGCCAGGAGGACGGTCAATCGCGATGCGCTTGACGAAAAGGCTCTGATATCATTAGCCAAGGTAGAGTTCATTAAGCAAGCGCATTCATCTCCTCTGCTGGTTTGAGTTTGTCCTTTGTAGCTTGCTCAGAAGACCTGGCAAAGGTTATATTTTCGGGTTTTGTTCGTAGATCATTATCACCGTGCCTGTTTTTTTTTTGAGAACTATCGTCACATTCAGGATTATATCTCTACCTCGTCTCAACTTTCAATGTTTTACCTCATGTTTGATCTGCAGGAGGGTAAGTTTACACCTACCAAGGACGAGATCGAACATGCATTCCTGTACCAACTATTATTGTGGTTCAAGAAATCTTTCAGGTACGAGAATTTGTTGGTCGTTGAATCTCGTCGTTGCGGAGATTTGTTCGAGACTTGTTATTCCAGATTATTCGCACAATTTTCTTGTGATCGGTGGATGCCGTGACACTTTCGGAACCTTGAGTCGAGACAGTAATGATAAATTTATGCCCATCATTATTCTTGACAATTTTTACAGCCAGTCACATGATCATGGAGATACGTAGATACACATCCTCTCCGATACGAACTCTTGAATCATCACCAATGTAGAAAATTCTTTCAAGCGTAGATCTTTCTAAGATTGCTCCTTCTCGAATTGTAGATGGGTCAATCAACCAGAGTGCTCAAACTGCGGGTCTCCCACGATTGGAACTGGAGGCACCGTCCCAAATGCTGAGGAGAGTCGATATATGTGTGACAAGGTGGAGCTCTTCAGGTAAAAACTGTTTCTTTCTAGAGCTAGTGCAGATTCTTAGGATCTGCTGGGAAACAAGTTAATAGTAGGACATATAGGGCTTCATACTGAATGCATCGAGAGTTGTTTTTTAGCTATGTGTGCGCTGATATATTGCTAGTTTTACCCCGGTCTGTGGAAGTAAACTCTGCAATTGGGATCAGGAATGCTTATAATTTTCTGACACATAATTAATCAGTCTCCCTATAGCTGACTTTGGCTTCTGCTTATGGATGATTTTTGTGCTCAAACACGAGGATGGTTGTTATGCAGATGTCCAAGTTGCTACAAAGATACTCGCTTTCCAAGATACAATGATCCCAGAAAGGTACTTCCACAGTTATCAAAGTGGCAATATTTTCAAATATTGCGACGTTGAGTTTCATCGTCATTACTATCTTTTTACGTATATTACTATTACTGCTCGATAGGCTCAGATACGCTGCAGTGTTTATGATCTTCAGGCTACTACAGTTCCATTATCATGATTATGACTATTCAAGTGTTTGATTGTACAGCTCTTAGAGACGAGAAGTGGCCGATGTGGTGAATGGGCTAATTGCTTCACCCTATATTGTAGAGCATTTGGCTACAAATCTAGGCTGGTGAGTGTTGATTAGTAGGAAATTTTATTCAGATACTTTTTCAAGACGTTGCATTTTCTCGGCCATGAATAGAAGTACCGCAATACACGAGGTCAGCCTGAAAGAGTCGTAATCATAATTCACATGTTCGATCAATGTTCCAGTACTTCACGGACTAATTGCATATACTTGAATGACACAAGATTCCATCGCTCTTGCCTCTACGCATGTGTGAATCCTACATGAAGTTGGTGCTGAGAATGTACTGAATACACACAGGTACTCTCGTTTCAAGATCATGTCTGGACTGAGTGCTATGTGACATTATTTCAACGGTAAGTTTTGTTTTATTTCCTAGTAAGAACAACGTTCTCCTCTTCTGACTATGCATGTGAATTTAATAAACATAATCATGGTAAAGTTGACACTCACCTGTTTGTGATCAGGTGGGTGCATTTAGACCCATGCGAAGGTATTATGGACAGGCCACTGCTATATGAAGAGGGGTATGACCTACTTCTTGAGATCTTTTATACCGCTCCTTTTGATATCCTTGTTTGGTGTGACGACCTCACCATTTCTAGTTTACAAACATTAACATCAGCATTTTCACAGATGGAAGAAAATTATTGACTATATTATTGCGCTATCATACAACGGAGTTCATGACGTTACCCAGCGTTACACCAGAAAATGGCCTGAGGTAAACACAATTTGGAAGTAATTACATCATGTAGTGTTCTACTACATTTATAGCCTTGTTCCATTCGGAAGTGTTAGTGTATAGTCTGTTACATACTTGGAAGTATTGCTTTATGTTCATCAGTAGAGTAGTTTTTCACGATGGTAGTGTGGGCTTGGATCTCAGGTTCTTACCAGGAGAACTATCACAACAGAAGAAAACGTCAAGGAAGTTCTTATGTTTCTGACTATGCAATGTAGAGCTGATCTGCCTCCTGCCGAGTGGGAGGAACTCATGGCATTGGATCAGATAGAAGAGGAGGAGATTGCAAGATCTTCTAGAGCAGAACCTGCAGATGTAGAGAGCTTGCCAGGAAGACTTAGCGGTAATGAGGAGTGGCGTACTTTACGTGGGGAAATGGGAAACCTGCAACAACCTGCTCCTTTGACAAAGGAGTGTCCTGTGCGAAAGTGTTATGATGAACATGTGACATTGATCAAAGAATCAGTCGGTTCACTTTGTTCAGATATTATTGAAGCCGAGGACTCAGTTTTCAAAGTAGTGATCGGGTTGAAGGCATTGCATGCATTTCTTTTCAGGCTGCATTCCCAGCCCTTTCGCACGCGTGAACTTCAACTAAATTCAGCAGTCGAAATAGCATGGCTTGGTCATGCTAATGACGAAACAATCGCCTTACTACTTAAGTCCCTAGGTCTTGCATGGACTCTCAAAGAAGATGGACTGTTCTGGATATCTATAGATGGAAATCCAGTACACGCTGCAGTATCTTTACCAGTTGCGCTTGCGCTTCTAGATAAGTTAACCAAAGAGCACCCCAGTGAATTAACCGTAAAATGGCTTGTGCATGGTATCAGACTGTGCAAGGGAGAAGCTGTTGCAAGCGGAGAGGAGCTTCCTGCTGGTATTGTAAGCTCTCACGTAATCACTACATATGACCATGTCTACGAATTTTTTTTTCATATCTCAGAACTTGCATCACCTGGATATACATGAAGTTGACCTGCATCTGTGTATGCAGTCTTCTGCGGCCTTTGATGGTTTAATGTTAAGTAAATGGGAGGAACCAGAAGGAGCGAAAGGTATAACTTTGAATTTCTCTCGTTCTATATTCATGCAAAGAAGACTGCATCTTGAATCAATCTGAATTGCTATTGTCAAGAACGTGTTGCAAACGTATCCAGTACACATTGAATGTAGGAAGTGCGCGGTAAAATTTCTAAAACTCCTCTTGGGCTGGATGAGTGTATTTTACTAGGGAGGACGCTGGAACATGGCTTCGACTGTTTTTAACGCAAATGTAGTGATATTTCTAGGTGCCTGGATAATATATCATCTGCCGAAACAAATGTCTCATACACTTGCTGCATACGAAATCACATCAGCCGATGATTGTCCGGAAAGAGACCCTTATGACTGGTATGTTCGTCTTTCATATGTTTCTTATGTTTTAAATTGAACTTTTACTTTTAGAAACTCCCCGTGAGCAAATGTGCAGAAGAATGTTGAGATGTTTTTTGCAGTTTTCCATTGTTAACAAGGCATCACTTGTAACTTCAGGGTATTGGAAGGGAGCAACGACAATGGAATATCGTGGAAGGAACTCAATTCACAACAAGGTCAAATTTTTGAGGAGCGCTTTCTCAGTAAAACATTTGAGATCCTCCCACAAAATCATTTTCTCTGTAACTCTTTCAGGTTCGTAAGATCTCACCAACTTTTATACCTGAGATCCATGTTTTGACTGGAACGACAGCAGAGTTTATTTGTCCCCTGTGTTTGTCAGTGCTGTGTTGGCGTTGGATTGACTTGGCTGATCTTGCAGACTACGAGTTACCGCAGTGAAGGACTCTAGTAAACAAAATCGGTTGCAGATCGCATGCATTGATTTCATAGCTTTGAAGCCTTGAAAAGTCAATGACGTCGGATGCCCTTTACTTACAACTGAAGTTCTATTGGAGTCGCACGGATTTTAGAGTAGTTCATCCAGCCTCGGTGCTTAGAAGGACATAGGAAACCCAGAGTTTATCATATCCTCACTCATCCACTGATCCATGGGTCACACGTCTTCGTGATCTATCACATATTATGGGACCTTACCTTTAGTACGATGTACAGAGTGAACATGTGTTGGTTGGAGGAGGAGCTTGCTTTCTGTATGCAATTTCAATTCGACTGGAAGATGGAGAGAAAAGTATTATAGAGTAGGATCAGAAGACAACGTTTACACTCCTCCGGTGTCCTACTCTGTTGAAAGCCTTCAGCAATGAAGTGATCGCACTGTGGATTTTCTTTGTATGATCTTCTATAAAACGATGTGAGGAATTAATGGAAATAGTAAAGTTTCATGCTAATCAGCAGTCACCGACTCGTCGCACTTTGGAAACAACAATGTGAGGATGGTCGATTTTGGACCATTTTGGATATTTCCTGGGATGTTGACTCTGAGAGTATGGCATGCCATGGCTATAAACAGCTTAAGAAGTCCTTACCTTTTCCTGTTTCCTCAGTAAGTGGCCACGAAGTCTTCCGACAGTAACAGCATATGAAGTTGTGCCGTGATGAGAGTCATGCATTTCTGTCTGTCCTTCTGAGCATTTCATGTCACGGAATGGGCTGATGGAACGAGGCTCGGGAGTTTGTTCCATCCGGTCGGAAATTCCGCTTTGCTAGTATGAGATGCCGTACATCCACACTTGCAGATAACATATCTGGAGCTGGCTGAACTGAGACCCGGTTGCCACCACCGCATAGGACCCCCAACTTCATTGGAGAATTCGCTGGCAAAATATACATGCTACTCACATCCTTGTGGATCGAAAACTATTGACGTTTCGTGATTGGCTGAATGCGGTTTAGAGAATGCTCTCAACCGCTTTTGTTCACAAAATAATGTCTGCATCCATCACTTGTATGGTTAAGATACTTTTAGAATACATGACTAAGACACTAATGTATGTAATACGATCAAACTTGGTTTAGTGTAAACAAGTTGGATATTATATTCTTGTGATAATTTCCATGAATCCAATCCAAACCGTTCAAATAGTGTGAGATGTTTTAGATTTCACCTACCGTATACATTCGGTTACGGTTGAGTACGCCTTTTGATCTCTGAAGGTTAGTGTGGTCTTATTTGGAATGAAGACTTCGTTAATATTATGGGCTTCTCCATATAATAAATAGTATTTAAGGCATGAAGGAAGTTCTGATTAGTTCATTTCGTACAATGAACACCAGCTAACTTCTCACCGTAAGTGCAAAGATCAAAGTTTTAATGAACGTTATCTTATGGAAATCATCAATTTATTAGAGTATCAAAACCGCTATCCATGCGTAGCATAGATCAAAAGTTATGTGTTGATGAAAAAGTTATTCCAAAGATAAAGTGTAGCAAAGATGAAATTTGTTAAAGAGTGTAAATCAAGTCACTCAAGAGTAAATATTCCGTGCTTCTCGGTCAATGTTTCCTCATGTTGAGAACAAGCTTCTTGAATGGATTGATGTAATATGCAAAGCTTGGCTTGTTTTGCTTCCCAATATTATTTGCCACAAAGCAAAACACATTGAGACCGTAATGGAAATTGCTTGTGATAAATTTAGGACATAGTGCGGTTGCTTTGCAAGATATCGATATCGACACAATTAAACGGCGTATATTTGTTTAGAAAAGTTGGCGAGGTTGACAAAAATAAATTAAGACGTTGAAAGCTTTGGAAGTCTTGTCTCCTCTGATTGAATAACATGATCTTGAATGCGTTTACAACATAGACGAAGCTCGATTGTTCTTCCGAGTTGTTCCACCATACACTGTGCTTATGGCTCATGAAAACTTGTCCACTGTTGGGGGCAAAAAACAATAAGAAGTGTGATATTGATGGTGTGTTGCAACGCTAGTGAAACAAATTGAGTTTTGATCACAATGATTGGAAAGAAAAAATAGTCTACTAGCATTGCAGTATACACTTGATCCATTACTTATTTTTATATGGATGTATTGCTTGTATTGATGTTTCAACATTCAATTAGTAATTGATGAGGAAAAAACCTGTGTTAGGAGAGAAATTGAGAAATGTTTGAAAGCTTGGTAACAACGATGATTCGCAAATGTACTAGGAAAATATGCTTGAAAAAGTTAAAAACGATTTGAATGTTGTTGTTTTGGATTAAATTGTTGAATACGAGGTGTATGAATCTGAACCTGGCTACAGCAATCATGATATGGATCAGCGTGATGTGATTTCTCACACAATGATAAGTGTTATCAAGCTTGAGGTTGAAATGAGCAAGTTGAGATGTTACTCTTATCTTATCTGTCATTGGAACAAATTAATCCGGCTAAGGGGCTCTTTTTATACTTTGTCGCGTTACATAGCACGAATGGTTCATCATCAACAACAAACAAGTTGAAATTGCCATTAGACTATGTTTGAGTTAAACTAACAATAAAGCTCAAAAACTTTAATCCTTAAATTTTGTCTGAAAAATGCGGACTTAGGCGGCATGCAGATTTATATGAGTGCTGACTTAAGCGAGTGTATATTATACTTACAAGAACAAATTTTTATTGAGTGATGATGTTGAAGGGAAGATTGATCATTATGTATTAAATGATATGACATGCGAAGAAGATCTAGTAAAGTAACAAAAATTATTTAACAAATGGAGTGGCAGATTACATAAGGTGAGTTTCAAATAATTACACCATGCGATAAAGATAACTAGAATTCTTTATTATCAAAAAATCATCAAGTCAAATTAATAAATTTATGAAGTTTGGACTATGAATTAATATATATAATTATTTTTTAAATCATGAGATTGATTTGAAAAAAATCAATCTCATGTATGATAATGACATTATTTTGATCTTGGAAAAAAAATTCTTTCCATAGGAAAGCTCAGATTTTTATGAATAAACTTGAATGAAACATTTCCATGTATCTATTATCACTGTTAGTTGTTAATCATTTAACAAGACATGAAAATTGATGAAGCTTTAAAAAATCAAGCATTGATTAATAGCAAGCTGATATACAAATTCATAAAGTTATGATCCATTAAATGATAAGGTTAAAATCTTCAAAGAAATTATGGTGGTTAAAGTTTTCACATAAGGAAAACTATAGACTACAATATAATTCTTTCACTTGTAACAAAATATAGTACAATTCAACAGATACATGCATTTTTTGCTGCAATATTTAGTATGATTATGGATCAAAATGATGTAGTTATAACATTTTTATATAGGTATTGAAATAGAAAATCTACATGAGACTACTAGTTGATTTTCATAATAAAGATGAAGATAAGTTGATTTGTAGATAATTGAAATCATTGTATGGATTGAAACAAGTTCTTTGACAATTGTACACAATGTTAAATGAATTCATGAAAGCACAAAAATTTTCACAAACTGTGTGTGATCCATGAATATATACATGTATCACCTAAATGTTATTATCAATTTTTTTTGAAAAAAGTGGATAATGAAAATTAAAATTTCATTATTCTAATTTTTAACTTGGATGACATGTTCATTTTGGCATAAAATCAATTTGTCATTGATTCGTGCAAGAACCATCTAAATTTTAGATTTAAAATGAGAAATTTGAATAAGTCTAAGAGTATATTGAAATTGAATGTTTATAATAAGTTTGGAAAAAAATCTATGATTGAATCAAGACAACTACATTTAATTACGCTTGACAAATTTAATATTATGGATTGAAAAATAATATTGATCACTTTTGCCACACATTTCAAACTTTTCACAATTCAATGTTCAATAGTTTTCATTAAGTAAAAAAATATATTATTAATATCATATGACAAAGTTCTGAGCAACATCATGTATTTGATGGTTTGCACAACACATGATACTGTTTTAGCTATGGACAAGATGAACAAGCATATGTCATATATAGAAAATGTGCATTGAGAAGCCATCAAATGATTACTAAATTGAAAGAATTAAGTTTTTGTTTGATAACTTAATTAAACAATCACAAATCCTTGCTAATTTATGATGATACCTATTTGAACAAGATTACAAAAATATATCTATAATTAGATATGTGTTGACACTTGATGATGGATGCATTAGTTTGAATCTATTTTGTAAAAGTGTGTAGTTAACATAAGCTAAATATATTGCCACAGCAAAAACAACAATGTAGGTTTTATAATGTATAGATTTATCTTTGAAATATGAGGTTATGAATCTTCGTATAATCTTAATGTAAATCAAATGATAAACAACAATAAAAAAACATCATATATCATTTTATCACAAATTTAATTTTTGTTCAAATGATTGAATCAATCATTATTGATGTTAAATTCAATCTAGATGATGCGACGACCAAAGTTATTTCTTTTATCAATCTTTAAAAAATATTGTTTTACAAAGTAGCACAATATATATTAGTATGCAAGTTTCACATGAGGAGCACAAGTAAACATTGCGAAAAATTTTAACTACAACTTCGTTTCAATTAGCTTTAATTTAAGTAGATGTCTATATCAGGTTTTTTCCTTAAAGTTATTGCAAAATAACTATATAGATGATGGAGTATACAAACTCACAACTTGAATTAAAGGAAATATTGTTAGTAATTAATCCATGTATATTTTCAACTTAGATTAGTTTTATTACTAGTTAGAATTTGGATTATGTTGTTATCATACAGGAGTGCTAGCAAAATATTTCTATAAACACCTAGTATTTTACTACCAAAGCTTTTTCAAATTCCGTAATGTAACTCACATTGACTAACTATTTATTTGATTATCATCATGTTGAAATGTTGGCATTTCAATGTGTATGCTTGTGATTTTCATGTTCTTGTTGTTTTTCTTGTAAAGTCACACAACAAAAACATCAAGCCCAAATTTTTTTTCAATTTGATATTAATCACATCTTTTGTTATATTTTCATTAACACCATATTGAATTGATTAAAATTTAAAATGTACTATCTAAAAGTTCATAAACTTCTTTTCAAACTAACATGTTAAATCATACCTTTGTTATTATTTTTTATTATTATGTTTTATGTTTTAATATTTAATATTTTTTACATCAAAAATAGTAAGCAAACATACAAATGATTTCATAAACTCATTGCAACTTGCATTTCATTGACTAGAAGTTTATTCACATCATAAAAAATTTATGAATATATAAATTAATATTTTTTATTGAAAATATTAAATTAGTTACTTATCAAAATTTTATTTTTTTTGTCATAATATTAAACTTATTTTTAGTTACAAAAATTATTGCAACATATTCATATATCGATCAAATTTTTATAATTCATAATTTCTTTAACAAAATTGCAGTTTAACGATCTCAATTTAAGATTAAAATAATTTTATCATTCATTAGATTTTTAGGATTTATAACTTATGTACAAAACCAAAAGTGAAACTATGAAAGTGCAATTAATTGTCAAGTTTATTTATTTTAAATGGTAAATGGTAAATGGTATTTATCAACTGATGATTCACTATCTATAATATCAATATATTTATGTTTGTTAAAAAAAACTTAGGCTTATTCATCAGAATGATATAATATTATTAAAAAAAAATTTCTATAATCAATGCATTTATACCGTCATGTTTCATTTTTCACTTTACATTCAAAAATAATTGAGTCAATTTATATTTCATTTCTTACAAATATATTTGTTATTTCAATTTTATGATTATATAGAAGTAGACTATGATTAATATTCATTTTTTTATGCATGATCTTGTGTAGCACATTATTTATTGATTTGTATTGTACAAAAATTATTATTTTAAAGATTTTTTGCCTTGTATCAATAAATTTTAATCATTTTCAATCTTATTTTCAACTATCTTCATTGATGGATTTTTTCTTCAATATATATGAAACTTGAGATTTTTGGTACTTATTATCGGGTGGTATGGCAGTGGAGATGAGGGAAGCCACGAGAGGAAACAGTTCGTTCATGGAGGTGAGCAATAAATCCGTAGACCCGAATCCGCCCCTGCAGGCCATGCGAGTATTCGATCCACAGGCCCTAAGAGTGGCGATATTGCTTCATGCCATGACTGCGCAGAGAAGATTCAATGGCGTTTCTTACTGCTTATGTGGGCCCGTGTCTTTCAGACCTGCTTCGATGGGTGTCACTGATTTTGCTGGACTCGAGTTGGAAGCGACCAGCTTCCTCCACCAACTGGAGACGTAAGTCGCCGAGGCTTTACAACTGGTGCCGCATCAGTTTGGCTCTCCAGCTAGAGGCGGCCGGCTAGCTTCATCCGAAGGTGCCGGGCTCGATAGAATCTTTGCAAAGTGGAGGCGATCATGTCCCACTCTGCGCACGAGCTCGATCCATGCCATCCATGTCTGCAACGCCCCTACAGCGAAATGCTCAGCTCAGAGTGATTCCAACCCCCATGAAACAACTTGCAAAGCCTTGGACGATCGGATCAGAAGGTTTAGCGGACCAGCGGCGTGGCTTCCACTCCCCGGACTAATGGCCGTAACACCAACAGTTCTCTCATGGGGATCTGTAACGATCCACATGTCAAGCTCGCAATTACTCATCGCGTTCGTCGAGTCTCAGAGTAAATTCCTCCTCATTCTTCTGGCAAGCTTTATCTTGAACAGTCGTGGAGAATTCCTTATGTTACAGCCTTTAGCTCGTGATCCAGCTGACAATCTTTAAGAATCGTTGTAAATTATTCTCTTGGTTTCCATCCAGCCAATCAAAATCCTCACGCCTTTTACATGGGAGTACACGAGATTTACCTCTTGTCATTACTGGAACGTCGTCGCATTCAAGAACGAGTAAACTGCCATAACATTACAGCCTGTAATATGCTGACATGTTCTCCCAGGAGACCATCTCGGAATGCTCACTTCGAGGCTCAAAACGCACGTAAATGCGAACACACACTTCTCCATATCTATCTATCTTTCTATCTCTATCTCTCTCTCTCTCGGGGCATCCATCATGTTCATCCTTCCCTGATTGAGAAGGCATGATGCCCACCGGAGGTACACCGACAATCTGAACTCCTCCTTTTCTCGTCGAACGATACTCACTCGCAGCACATGTTCTCGTTGACTCGGCTGCCTACATTCACGATTCGTCGTACACAATCCTCGATCCCATCGCATCTGCAAGGGCTCCGAGAGAGGACGTCAGCAGGCCATCCATCATGCAACTGCAACTGCACAGTTGAGAATATCGACCGCTGATTTCAGATTGAGGCCGTCGCAACTTGTTGGTTTAGCATGGCACACCGACGGTGTAAGAACAAGTTCATAGAAATGCTACAGCCTTAGAGCTTTGGTGTCAATGCTCCAGTTTGAAATAGATTTCGAATTAAAGGAACCCCATCGAACATGATAAGGATGAAACTAAATAGTACAGTATTGAGTACCATGCAATGATATATGTGTTATTGCATTTATGATATACGATTTATCATGTTGAAAAGATCTGGTGGATTGAGAATAGAAATAAAAATTTTCAAGTATCATTCACTAATGTTTTATGAGGAGTGATCAAGATATGTTTCTATAATAAATCCAAAATAATTAGAAACAGCATAATAAAATTATTTTTTTATTTTCAAACCAATACTACAGTAACAATATGACATTTGTCATTTGTTAAAATATTTATAGAGAAAATGTACTTAAAATTAATGATTGTAAAAGGTTAGTTGATACTAAAGTGACAAGGTTTGGAAAAATTTTAGATGATAGTTTGACTCCAAATGGTTAGATATTATTACATGTAGAGTATGATTCAGATTTAAATATTTATAGGATTAGAATGGAGGTAAAATTTAAAATAAAAAACTATAGAAACTTTATAGGTGATTTTTAATAATTATTAAATACCAATATTTGAAACTATTTCAAAAGTAGCTTCAAACTTAGTTCATATATCTATTTGATAATAATTTAATGCAGAAAAAGATGAATTCTTTAAATTTCTTTATTTTGTTCATTATTTGATGCGCTAGAATTTGAATCAAAAAATATATATCTTGCTTTTGTGTTGAACCCTACTTCCTTCCGTGTTCCCATGGATTTCGACCAGGCCGCTCCCAGCATACCTGCTTGAATCAGATACGCCGTGACTTTGTGAGGACCGGTCTGGTTCATAGAAGAGATTTGAATGTGCCAATTATTACATTTTTTTAAAGTAAATTTTAATAATACAATTTCTGCTATTTATATAAATATTTACAGGAATTTTTTTAAGTTTCGTGGAAAAAAGTAATCCTTTTGAGTATCAATTTATCAATTGATTTTGTAATAACAATTATACTTGATTGGACTAGAATTCTGTTTTTAATTTTTATTAAATTGAACTTTTAGCTTTACATTAGGATTAAGTGATGTGTTTTAATTAGAATTTGAAGTCTACATCAAGTTGGATATAAGTTTTTGATTCACAAATCAAAATCTACATTCTTCAATCCATCGATAAACAAATTTTGAACAATGCAATCTCTTTGACAACTTTTATGGAGTTTTAGTAATAAAAATTTGAGCTTTTAACAATTTCTTGCTCTAATGAAAATTTAAGCAGCTAATTTTTAAATTAATAACGCCTTAGATTTTTTTTTATTCACATTAAGTACTTTACAAACATCAATAAAATTTATTTCAATTTAAATTGATTCATCAATTTGTATCTCTATTGTTCACATAGTAGTTGAAATCACTCTACTTTTTGTTGAAGGTCACATGAATCAGACTTCATTCAAAGTATATATATTGAGTATATTGATGTTTACATGCTCAATTCGATATGATTTGCATCAAAGAAGAATAGGAAAAATTCTTTGAGGGTATAAAATTATGAGTAACATAAACATGATTATCAATCACACATATAATGGCTTTTGAAATAATGTTAACACATCTTTATGGCGGATGATAATTGTGACGGTAGCAAACAAGTTACTCAAATCTTAAAATATGTAGAATATCCACTTTTAAATGGAGCTATGGATATGAATTTTGATAAATTTATGATGGATAGTCTATTCAACAATATTGTGCAAAAGCCTATCATACTAGAAAATCTAAGTGTCAATTTTCCAAGCTCATCTTGTATAAGATGTTCTCATTTTATTGCTTTATGAAGATTTCTATCATCATTCCACACAAATCACATAACATTTGAAAGTCATTAAATCTTATGTTCTTGTCATTATACGGATTTTTCATAAATAATTTGATATTTTACGTTATATAAAACATATCCCTAATCATGATTCTGATAGTTCTTGGACCCTGATTCACAAACCCTCTTGTTGACTTGACGGAATCTCCCCATCTCTATATCACTCCACTCGGCCCATTTTTCTCTAACCAACTCGACTCTGAAATCACTTCCCAATCCCAAATCCCCTTAATATTAAACTGCATCACCTCAATCAAGCAAGCAACAGCTCGATTACGTCAAGATCACGTCCTGTCCCATGGGACAGGACGTGATCTTCTCCCGGAGCTTTGAGGCGTTCGCTTTTTATCACGTAGACGATTTGGAAAGTTCCGTGACAAGTTTGCCTGACACCGGAAAACCGGTGGCCCTCCGGATGAGGCTTTTCTAAATACGTGTATACATAACTGGAAAGCGTATAGTACGTCACCGTACAGTACAAGAAGGACGGGAGGTACAGTCGAGCAGGTGAGACGGGGGACGGTCGGATTTGGGGATTCCTCGGTCCGGGAGCAGGTCAACTAAAACCCTTCGGATCAACGGAAACCTTCTGAATTTGAATAGAGCGCAGAACGAGCCCCAATGGCGAGCAGATCGGCTTCCAACGTTCGCAGCCAGCCCTCGAGATGTCGAAGGGTCGCGCGCAGATTTTCCTTCTGACTCTCGCTCGGTACAGCTTCGGACTGCGAAATTCCCTGCAGCGCCTGCAAGGCCCAATCACTCCCTCGCTCGATCTCTCTCTCTCTCCGGAGTTTCAGCGTGGCCGGTCGTCCTTGCGGCCCGAATTTTTCTTCGGAACGGAAGGAGGGAGAGCTCCCGTGAAGTCTCGTCGCGTTTCAGTGCTCTACTCTCGTTTTTGGTGGCACAATTTTTTTTTGGTGGAGTTCGGAATGTTCCTGGGTCCAGATTTGCGAGACCTTCGATTGCCGTCCGCAGCTGGGCCGTGAAACATGTTTGCATGCCGTCTCGTATGTGAAAGTAATGGCATGCAATTAAGGCAGCTCCGTTTTCGATGCGTCCTTTCCTTCACGGGAAAGCAGCAGTCGTTCTGGGTTTCAAGAGATCGATTCGACGCTCAAGAGATCCACACACTCGGTTCATCAAAGGCTCGTGAGCGAATTGGGCACGGTACAACAAGAGGATGATGTGCTAGGAATGACGTCAAAACGCTGGAAGCTCTGAAGTGAAGTGATCGAAGCGAAGCCCGAAAACCTAACTAAAAGAGCCATTAGAAAGGTACTGTACATGTATTTGCTTTCGAGTACGGTGCAAAATTAGCTGAGATCGGTCAAAATGGTCGGAGAGCAGGACGATGAGGATTATGCACTCGGACAATCTGGAACGACGGACCTCCCGAGCCGAGCAGTTCTCTCTTTCTCTCTCTCGTGGAAGGATGTAACCCAAAATCTCCACATGTTGCCTCCCGGCAGCTGAGAGATATCAATGCATGATCGCATGTTGGATCACAATGACAACGACATGGAAAAAGGCCCTGAATCTCTGCCGGGGCCTGCATGGTGTCATTGCTGTGTGGTCTCGTGGGTCAGGAACTGGTAAACAGCAAGAGCAGCCTGCCACTGTCACAGAGAAAAGAGGAGAATCCCATGAAATGTAGGTACGAATAAACATCTGGAGCCCGAGGAAACGATTTATCAACCAAACGGTCGTTCTTCATAGACCATGAGATCCATGGCAGGCGTTCAAAAAGTTGGGAGGAGGTGGCGGGCGGTTGGTCAGTGGATCCAAGCCATGTTGGGCCAGATTGAGATGGGGGTGGGGGTGGGGGGCAGCCTTGACGCTGTTCCAAACACACCTGGAGATGGTGAACGGTCAGCTTGTCCGCTGATTCTGTGCAGAGGAAAAAGGTTCAATTTGGTACGTAGAGGTCGTGGACTGACAAACTCCGGGCACGACTCGGAATAAAAGGAACGGCCATCGTGCCGCACCGACATGCACATGACTTCCGTCACATCGTCTGGCACGAAGAAAACCTCCTCGCCCTCAACACTCCTGCAATGAGCAGCAAGTCACAACTTTACGTGACAGCAGCAGCAGCAGCAGCCGAAGCATTTTCATGAAATTTCTCCGTGGCATTTATGAGCCTCGTCTCTGACCTTTGACTTCTCCTCGAATACAACCTTTTCTTTGTTCACATACGAATACTCGTTCGTCCTCGCAGGAATCCATTCCTCGTAAGAATTTTGACCTAAAAATTCTTTCGCAGGGACTCTCGAGTTCCATCGACACCACGTCGGTTCAGGCTTCATACTCTCGTCAATCCTCGTAGGGTTTGATTCATAAGGCTTCCGGACCAACCGAGAGGAGTATGCTCTTGCATTCTCTCCCCATCAGCTTCATTCCCCAATTGTTCCCCAATTGTTCTTGCTAATAGTCTTGGCTCCATTGTCTGTTGGTCGTCCTAGCCTGCTCGCTGAGACTCCTTCCACTCTCTTCACGCCAGCGAAGGCGAAGGATTTTTTCTGGCTCGTGAGAAGTTGGTGTACTCTTTAGAATTTCATTCATTGCTAAAAGGGAAGATATCACATGCATGCTGCTGGCAGTAAAGGCGCACGCAATTCACTGGGTCGGAGTTTTGATGTTTGCCACCACCATCGCACAGTCGCGCAATCTTCCTCGTCGTCGTCGTTTGTATCTTACATGATTGGTTTCGTAACGTATGATAATCGTATAATGAATTTGGTGCTTTTACGGTACGTACAGTGATCAATATCTCCAATATCTCTAAGGGAAGCTGACCTCATACTCTTTTCTCAACTGCTCAATACATGTATACGATACGATATGTACTTCTGGAACACTGTAACACACAGTAGAGTATTATCGTGAGGCGTAAAATCTATTCAGAGACCACGTGAAATTATGTGTTGCATACTGTACTCCATTCTCTTACGTGGGCTCCATGAGAAAATACTGTGAGGTTCATACCTCATGGTTCTACTCTTTCCCCTTCTCATTTGGACCAGTTTAAAGGTCGTATTTTCTGCTGCAATACAGCAGTTGATTGGATAATCTAGAAATGCCTTTAGCCATGTTATGGTTCTGGCTCCAAAAAAACTATGAAGTAAGTTCACTCGAGTTTCTTGCGAACAGAGTTACTGGCTATGGTGCTCATTAGTAGCTTGTGCAATTTAAATGCTTTTCACAAAATACAAGTCATTTATAATTCTAATAATTTAACTCCCTCAGAATACAAGAGTAAATCAACAAGAGGTGCACGAGGTGCAACAGTTGGCCTGTTCATACTAGGAATACTTAAGTTCTATTGATAGCAAAAAGCAGCCATAAAACTCCCATCAGTGGAGGGAAATTAAAAGGCCCCAAAACGGCCAACAAAGTGCCAGAGAGAGCCGTGGGGAGAGTGACCATATGGAGAGCAGAGTCTGCACCATAAATCACGACTGGTGTTTATACAAAGTTTAAGCCTCACCACACAACTCTGGGAGATTATCCTGAAATTCCATAGGGACCACGCGTATCCCCGTAACCTGTACGATACCTGTAATGGCCCCCATTCAAGCCTTGTGCACACATGTATCTGCTAATAATGGTTCATAAGTGAGCACGCATAATTACGATGTGCCAACTATCGAATTCTCTTCTGAAGTATCGTTGACGAGTTTCCCTCTAACTTCTTCGCATCAAGTCACCTCATGCAAGCAGAATCCATGCGCTATGTCATGATACACGACTCTGCGCAGGATACGTTTCGTATGATTGATATTGCCATCGCCATGAAGGACAAAGTTTCATCGTCGTAACACTTGTGAGCTTTCGAAAGCAAAGATCAGGACTACTGCACGAAGTGCGACGCGATGGACCTTCGCCCGAGCACATAATGACACTTGAAACATCGAAATGATGAGTTTAACTCGCGCTGTGATCTTCATCGAATACTTGAGAAGTATATATGTCTCCTAATAACATCATGTAAGTACTGCAAGCCATCGAGTGTTATGCCTCGTTAAACAAAGCTTGAGGAGGATGATGATCTCAATTGTTCTTCAAAGTACAGTCTATCCTGTCACCTCTGCAGTGGTTTAAGATGTATTCCAGCAGCTATGGAAGTAAAGGAAACACGATGTAAATCTTTTTGGGTTCAAAACTGAAAATCGCACGTTATTTCTTTGTCATTCACCTATATAAATGCATATCTAGGAGTCAAATTGACCGTGAAAGTGAAAGACCTTCGTCTGTTTTTTTTATCTCATATATACCATGGGTATCACTTCTTTGATCTATTATATCTATTGATTTGACAAATGAAACTCTTTTGAATAAATTTATAACATCTATACATGTACTATTTGAATATCTAAGCTCCAAAATACCTATTTCTTTACGATTTCGTTGGCCCCCAACATATATTAACAATTTGATTTTCTTCCATATAAGGCTTGATGATGGGGTCTTCTGGTTCTGTTTGCTCTAACACTTGGTGCCATATTCGGGTGTCATAAAAAGCTCATCAAGGTACATCGTCTTTAAGCAGATTTTGTGAACCTTAACTTATGTAATAAGTTTCAAATAGGACACCATCAACTTGCAGTGCTTGGTTCGATTTACGTAACTCAGGTATATGTGGAGATCAATCACCTCTTCAGAGATTTACATAGATCAATAAAAGTTAATAAAAGTATCAATAAAACTTCCAGTTCAATCTAACCTGCGTAAGGGTTTCAATAGAGAATGCAGAATATCCGAAGAATCTTTCATCCTGACGTAAAAAGCTTAGACGGCAGACTGTTCTGTAAAGTGGACCCATTGATTGCACCATCCGTCGCACGCACGAACGAGGGAGGGAGGGAGGGTGGAAGGTGTCGTGAGTCACAAGAAGAAAGGAGCTCGTGGACAGTGGTCACTGGAGAGATACTCGTAAATCTTACTCCTACTCTCTTGGAGGAATATCGTTCCAAGATGTACGCAATTCGTCACACCCGCAGTACAATCTTCGGATGTTGTGGTTTGTCTTTTTGTCGATCATTAGCTTCTACCGTACTTCCTTCCGGGGACTTTGTCTGTTCTCACTATCGGTCAGTAGTAAATTAGATTTCCTTCCTCTCTTTCCAAGCTCGTTGTTACCACAGCCACTTTGCTGTTCCTCCGATCCTTAGAAATCTTGTCATTTTCGACTTTTTTAGTAACGTTAACGAGGAAAAGCAGTGATGATTGAATTCGAACAGTGCTATCGGAATCCCTTAGCACTGTCATAGTGGTGTTCTTAGTAATATTTGAGGTTTTTAAGTATTCTATTTCCTTAAAAGTTCATCTTGAACAATCCATCTGGGTATTCATTTTTCAGATTACTGGTACACTTTTGACCATACCAGCGATGAAAGGTGATACTAATTAATGTAGTGGTTCTGATATGGGAGGGACGAAATGAATGATTGTTTCCCACATTCGGAAATAGTCTAATTTTGAAACCTCGTAGATTGGAGGACTCGAGACACTCAAGACTTGGATTCAACGCTGCCACTCCCATGATCATGATGTTTTGTTTCCTACAGCTTCGACCCCAATCCGGTCCACCTCCAATTTTTTCCCGACATGCAGTCGTTAATCCTCAGCCAGTAGAGTATGGAGTTTTCTGGAGGATGGTGGTCGCTACTTCAGGTGAAGTTTTGCCTACCTAGTGTAGATGATGAATATTAATCATGATGGCACCGTTGCGCCATTGGAGTCTACAATACAGTACAAACGTCCATATAGTCAACAAGAGGATGTCCCAGACTTTGGTCGACATATGTATGACAAGCATGGTTCAAGCTGTACTCAGCTTGGGTCTGACAGACGGACAGGCAGACATGGCTAGCTAAGCGATGAAATGCTCTCCTTCAAATCATTACAGTTTGTCCCCCAGTAGTGAATGGTTTCCTCAAGACGAGTTGAGGGTCTTTAAATGTGGACATTAGACGAGACCTCTCTCCCACGTCCTTAAGTCAAACACCTTACGTGACGCATTCCACTGCACTCTTAGAATCCTGTCTTATAATAGGAACATGGAAATCTTCTCCCGTTCAGAGGGATAAAAGGGATACAGAATCAAATTTAACTTTCATCATGTATCCAACTTCCAGTGCATTATTCGAACAAGCAAACAAAAGCTTAGATGTGCAATTAACAAAAAGATGAGTACTACTAAAAGGCCTTTCTGCCTGCAGATGACTCTGGAGTGAGAACCTCAAATTACGGTGTCGGCCACTTCATGGCTACGTTTTTGTTCGCTCGTCGCTATGGTTGTAGTTATCGGATGTTAAGCCAAAAGTGGCTCCATTTCAGACACACTGCATATGCACTCCGTCTGCAAGATAGGAGTGCACTCGTAGTCCTCCAGCAGCTCCATGTGGAGCAGCATATGGGCAGCTCCTGTGACATTCATGACCGCCTTCTGAGCATCAAAAAGGAAACTAAATCGGATGCACAAGTGGAAAACCAGCCTAGCAAATCATTAAATGTTCATGCGAATCATGATATCAAGTTATCTAACAGTATTTCCAAGCTTTTCAGCGGCCTCTCTTCTGCTCGCGTGTGCAGATGAATGTGGCCTAGGCCTGTTCCTTCCCGCTCCAGGATTTCTCAAAGATTCTCCAAGTGACAGGTCAAACATACAGTATTTGATTCATAGGAAAGTCAAAACTGCAATTTTTCAGAGGATCGATGTGGCAGTTACTGAGATGATCCCTGTAGAAGATCTTTATCCACGACATTAACTGATGATGAAGATTGGATCCTTATTCGTGTTCAGAGGGAAAAAATCAATGTCATATGTCTAATATATTCTGTATTTCACCAACGGAACATCGAGTGTTTACATCCTCGAAATTATTGTATGTTATAAGTGAACAACTGGTTTTTAGCGTTCATCATCATCAGCCAGCTAAGGACAATTCGAATGGATATTGGGAAGATGAACAGAAACACACTCATTTCATATTGTAAGAAGCATCCATTTGATCTTCAACTAAGATGTAGGATGACACGGAGATTGGGGGTAGTTGGATTGACCAGAAGTGACTTCAGTCCATGATCATCTTCTTTGGGAGAATATATCTTTTTCAGACCTCGTCTGAATGGACAGAATGGCAAGCTTACTCACAAATGAACAATCACTGAAAAGTCGGCAACACTTTCTGGCTCACAAGCAAAAATATATGCAGATTCAGAGGAGCGAAACATAGATAATATTCACATATGACTTTGACCCTCCAGATATGTGAAATCCAGCTCAAGTATTCCTTCATTCCCGTCAATGAACAACGTCGGAAACGTAAAAACTTTTGCCCCACGCGCGACTCGGGAGGCAAGCATTTAGGGAGTTCATTAAAGCTGGAGACACTATGATGAAACACACCATCTTCTTCATCCCACCAGCAGCAGTGTGGGAACATTATCAACATGTGTTGGCCCACATGTAAGCTATGAAGAAAGAGTCCACACACAGTCCAAAACCTCGACTCGTAGTCCGCATGATGCACACAATCCTTGATGCTGGAAATTCCACTGAAAGCTATAGACAAATTGTGTAGGCCCGAGAGAAAGGCACAGATGCAATAAAGCCCAGAATGATACTCGCATGATAGATGCAAGCGATCTTCATTCCGATCAGATAAGAGTTTAGGAAGGACTGCATCATTTGGCATCACCTTATAGACAGTTGTAGTCTCCCCCGTGTTTGGATGGAGACTGGAATGATTACGTGCACTAGATCGGCAGATGGAACAGCAGCTTTACATCGTAAAGCGTTTGGCGTGAATAGATTGCATTCGAGGAGTGATGCAGTATTCGAGATGGATACAATGGGACCTCTTAGAACAAACATCTGGAAGACCTACGTCCAAAAGTGCCCAGCCAGGTATTACGAAAAAGACTCTTTGTTCTACAGAGCCTTTTTGACGCAGATGTTCAGATTAGTGTCGATCTGGAAAGGATGCCAGTACTTATGTCTTTCTCCCCCATGTGCCCACCTCCGCTGCCTCTGGAGAATGAAGAGTTCATCGGCCCAGATCGTCAGCCTCTGCGGTATTGTAAGAGAGAGAATGAGAGACCGACGGGAGTCCAATACTGCAGTTTCATTCATCACACTCGCGTGTGCTATAGTTGCTAGTACTGTGGTACTGGAGGAGTTAGCCTCATGAAGGCACTTCATGTGTATCTGTTTGCGCTAGATTTCTGACAGACATGGGTACACCTTTGGATCCGGAACTATTGTTCATCCCAGGGTGAGTATTAGATGCCATTGATGTAAACCTCGTCGTTGGACGATAATCCACCTTGCCAACAACTACTACTCAGGCAGGCACAGACAACAGAGCAGTATAGCAAGAAGGGATGGGAAGATACCATCTACTAGTAGTAAGTAGCACAGAGATGCAACCAAACGGGTAACACGGGGCTAGGCCACTCGCCAACAACTATTTGCGTCTATTATATGGACCGAAAAAGGGTGCAGCACCACGGCGAAAGCCTGCAACAGTTACTCTGGTGCGATCGATATCAGAAGATCAAGTACTGCCTTCATGTGTAGAGGTACAGTAGTAGTATCTGCAACTGGTGCTCATGCTATGGTGGCAAGGCATGGCAACATTGATTCTGTGCACCTTCTCACTAGGTAGCTTCTGCAGCACATGTCCTTCTCAGCTTTGCAGCAGGGATCTTCGGCATAGAAATTGACTCCACGCATTGGGTCCGTTCTTATCCACAGTGGTGATGGTGGTGCTAGACAAAGGCCATGCTTATTTTTATGAGCCGAGCTCTCTGGCGACGCTGGGCTGGGCGCATTAGTAGATCCCATGCTCAAGGTTCTCTTGTAGCGGCAGCAGTATAACAGAAGGGAGAGGAGAGATGCGAAAGTGTATGACATCGAGTCAAGAAAGAAGTAAGCGGTCCTGACTGGGCCATACCATGGCCCCCGGGTCGTCCTGACACCGTCTTGTCTCGAGGCTGGCCATGTGGTTGCAAGCAGCCAGCAGCCAGCAGCCGGCAGCAGTAAGTGGGAGGGCGGATAGAGAGAGAAACAAATAATCAAATTTCAGAGCAGATTCAAGCAGCCAGCAACGAAACGAACAACGTCGGGATGGTCATCACCACATGCTCATTTATCTCCACCGGTAGTCAGAGCCAATAGTGCAGTCTGTTGAACTGCCACCACCCTAGTCACCCCGGCGGGGAGAAACCAGCCCATGGCCAGGCCGCGAGCAATCCCCGGTTCGTTCACAACAGTGCGCTCGAGTAAAGTAAGATGCCGGAATCCACCACGCTCTCGCGAAGGTGGATTCCATTGCCATTATGACTAATCTGGGCCTGAGGCGGAGGCCGGGGTCGCAGGAACCTTCGCCGCTGCCAGACGGAGGCTCGTGAGTCGATCTCAATTACGACCGTGAATGTCGAGTAAGTCACAGACCGCGATGCCAGAGCAGCTGAGCTCGAGGTGGATTCCGCTCGGCGCAGCAGGCTGGGCTCGCAGATTTCGAGCAAGATGAGGCCCAGTGGGGAAAAGCTCCCCGCTCTGCTCCAGTTCTCAGTCGGTTTCAGTCACCAATTGTGGATTTGAGACGGAAAAGCAATCTGCGATGGCAGAGCCCATTGAGTTCCAGGTGGATTCCAATTGCGGAGACAGGCAGAGCAGAGCATGTCCTGCTGGGTATCGGGAGAAAAGTCTGCTCTACGAGCACGTCCCGTCCCCGCCTCGCGCAGGCCTCCACGTTTCCATTAGTCGTATCGTAGAGACAAACGCTGAACCTCAAATCTCGTTTATGCACGCTGTCCCTACGCTGGCTCCCGAATTGGGCCCATAAATGCTCCCGAGTTTAACCAATTGTACTTCGCCCTCATTTTTAATGCCATTACCACTGCGTCTTTTCGACCGTATTTCCACCCTCCTTACGAAAATCTTTGTCTGCACGATCCGAGCAGCTTCTTCTTTTCGCTGTACGGTATCTCACAAGAACAGTCGGGAACCTCGATGCTCGTGGGCGACGAGCGTCGAATCTGAGAATGGCGTTTCTCAAATCCCCCCCGCGAATGAATTGGAATCACTTCGTTCATTCCACGACCACAGATTGGACGACGGATGGCTTTCTGTGCTAAATAAGAGAATTTCTGGTGGATTGAATCGTCACGTATGCTTGTCCCCAGTGAAATAATCGAGCCATTCGATATCGTCTCTGAATTTTGTCTCGTTTTGAACTCAAAATACTTGTAAACTCTATATTACATGGAAGTATATTTATTCATTTTTGTCCAACAATGGCCAAGTGGATGGGAATCTTCTCAACCTTCACAAGAAATGTAACTATGAATTAAGTCGGCAACTGGGTCCTATTAATCATGATGAGATATTATCTATAGCAATTACAATATTCGATTCGCCCAAATTAGAATATATATAAACAACATAAAAAGTAATGTGATTATTTTGTCCATGTAGCTACTGTCAGTGCTAATAATTTTTACAAATCCTAATAATAGTTTCATGTGTGGTTTTGACCTCATGCGCCGTTGCATACACCACATCAATGACATTATCATTGATAGTTCTACTATATAGTACTCTTCACATGGGCATCTAAATATCTATTGCATCTAAAGCACCACAGGATAATTTTTATTTTTTTCATTGCTATTGAAAAGTAACTAATGCATGCTCGAGCCACAATCTAATGGCATGCATTCTTCTTGGTGTTGTGTTGTAATCCGTTTACTTGAAGATAACAATATCACCCTTTGCAAGCCCGTCGGTTAAATCTAATCTAAAAGAAATGTTTATTAGTTGTTGAGCATAGTGGCACATGTACATACTTAATGGCCTCAAACTTACAATCAATACAACCAATAACGAAGCTCACATTGAGAGCATCACTGAGCACATATCGGAAACCATGAACCTGTAATTGAGATATTTATGTAAGAACTTGTAGAAAATAAAAGATAAATGAGTTTTATATTATGCAACAAGCTAGATGTTGAAATATCAGGCTAGCAGCTTATAATCTTGGTTCGATGGGTTGTGTGAGAAGGCAGTAGAATCATATATCAATGGCTAAGCAAATCAAAGTGATCTATTTGAATATAACCAGTTAATATTTGATATAAGTCTTCTGCTAAGTGAGTGAGGATCAAGGGGTCAACATGTAAACAAAGTATTGAGTGGAAAAATGGTTAAACTAAGCGTGGCGAAAATCACTAAAAGAATTTCCAATGATGATTAAACAATCAAATGCGAGAGCAAAGAGTCGGTGTGAGTTTGGATTTGTGCGTTAGCTCTTATAAATACCTCTTTCACAAAATCAAGAGGGGATATTCTAAAAGACAAAAAAGTATCAGATTCTACATTTTATACAATCAATTTATCAATGAGAGGAATATGGAGGACAATGGTTCAGTCGTAGATCAAATTGGCAGGCACACAGGCTGCGGAAAAGCAAAAATACTAATGTATGGACACAAGTAAGGAATTAATCAATTTGTTTGTACAGAACTACAGTTTGTTTTCCTGATTTTGCAACAAGGAAGAAGAAATCTAATCATTGGCACAAGTCGACAAGTTTTCTCAAAATAAAAATTTTCAGGTTTAACAAAATTCTAGGATGGTATCTCTAGTTTTGTTTCTAGCAACAAGAAGAACCATGATGACTTTTGAGTTACACAAAACCTTCTAAACTAACTTTGTAGTGGAAATTTTGTACGTTTTCAAAGCGTAGTAGTTTCTAGGCGACACCTGATCAAGAACACACTCAAAATTTGTAATATAATAAATGGTTTGATTATTTAAGCATGAAGGAAAAAAATCAAAGGGTCAAGTCAATCAAGTCTACAAGATGACAGTCTTAACTGTCAAAAAGAAGAAGAAGAAGATGTCATGTCTAATGACGTTAGCATGATGTAATATGTATAATTCATGATAAACTCAAAAACAATCATAGCCAAAGAAACAAACATGAAAGCTATATATGAAATAATTTTGTATTTTAAAATGCACTTTCAGGATATGCTTATTGAGCACCAGAAGAGCTTAGTACAGTAAGTAGTTTCTCTGAAAAACTGTGGTGAAAAAACCTAGATATGAAATATGAAAAGACCCTACGATATTGATCATTTACAACTAACGTTAACTAGCTGCATTGAGCTTTTTACAAATATATGCATGTAAGACATTGTCAAATGCGTTTTGAAAATACACATGTAACACAAACCATTGCTGATAAAAAATTTTCAATCGCAAATTACTGACTGTTTTAAATTAACTTATTTCATTTGTCAAAATTACCTTCCTTTTGTAATTAGTCTTGACCGTCACAAGTTCGATCATTCTTGAACTTTTCATGCTCACAATTACTAATATTTTTCAATTGAAGCATGGGAGGAGCTTAGTCTTTAAATTATGCGGGAATGGAAAATCTAGTCAATCTGATACATCGAGTTGTACGTCGAATTTTTCCCAGTTGAATTCTTTGCAAAGGAATTAACTTGGAAGAAGATTTTATTGTACTTCTAAATATGCGTATATATATAATATATTTTATGAGATATATGTAGGGCATATTTGATTCACTTCAATTATGTGCAGACAAAATATGATTTGCATTTTATTTTTCTTATATAAACAAGGCGAATCAATACGTTAGTCATTTTCAAAATTTCTAACATTATGTAAGAGCTTGAAAGATTATTGAAACTCAAATTTGGATTTTATCCCCTTTTTGGAAAAATATGAAAATAATGAACAATCAGAGCTAGTCTGCAAATAATTACTCCTCCCTTTATGCCGATCGGACAAAGAAAACGAAATGGACCAATGGTTTAAGGACATCAAATATCTAATCTTAAGAGAGTTATTACGTGGTACACAGTAGTTACATCGATATATGCGTTAAAGAAGATATATTTGTCAACATTGCAGCGGAAAAGGGAACAATACGATAAAACAAAATGAACTTTAGAGCATGATACCGCTGTTCTCATCTGCTGTAACACTTTTATGCCTGATGAGAGCTTTACAAAGAAACTGCGAAGATTAATTTAGGTTCTCTATATCCTCTATAGGAAGTTGGAATTCACGGCTTTACCTCCGATTATACTAAACATTTTTTATTATGCTTTATTAACAGGATTTATGAAATCCCTTGTACTTCTTCATCTCATTTTTCAATAGTTTTGATCTGTCAAACCTTTACTCCCACATTAGAACTGCTCTAGTAAGTATTCAAAATTCAATAAATTGGCAACTAGTTCTGCTTAGATGATACACCCGCAATATATTATTCGGTATATTACACAACAAACACTTTCCTATTATCCGAAATTTCTATCTTCTTGAGATTAATAGATTTTGCGCTATTGCATTCATAGTCTTTTTTAATCATATTGTTGATTCTTTTCTCTCTTGTCCACTCAATTTCATATAAAAGAACCTAATAAGATTGGTTGGTAGAAAATCATTTTCCAATTTGCTCTATCTTCAAGAAACATTATGCTCCTTCTTTTGAAAACCATTCAGGACAGAAGTGTGCAATACAAAGAGGAAAACATCAACTCTTATAATATTGACTTCCCCATCAATGATCCTCGCTCCCGTCACGTTGCATATATGGAAACGTGAGGCTGACAAATTTGTATTTACATTTAACTGCAAGGTATAATGATGAGTGGAGGCACAAAACTCAACATTCGTGATGCCTACCTCTTCAATGAAGAAGATAAAAGAATAAGCATAAGAATTTTTCATAGTAAAGAATGCTTATGCACATATGTAAGCTAGTCACCGAAAACCTGCACACAAATCTTAGAATTGAAGGGACTTAAAATTTCAGCAAAAGTACCATGGGAATTTGAACCCTGCACATCTTGTCCTCTAATTTTATAGTTCTCTATTCTTACTTCCGTTAACGAACTCTTTCTTTATTGAACTCAAGTTGTGTGAGTATTCATCTTTGTCTACTTATTTATTTCATATATAAGGTATGTTATTTGCAGAAAGATAAACACTTAGATAATATTGAGAACTCTAATTACAAATTTTGGATTGCAGAGTATACATCACAAACTTTGTAAAAGAATCTGGTAATAGACCTATTTCAAGATGAAGATAGATGATTCGTGCTGGACTTTAAGAGAAATAAAAACTTATCAAATTTTTTGATATATAATTTCAAATATCGTATATTAAAGAAATATTTAATTAACATAGAATATGAAACTTGAACTCCATTACAAAACTTTTTAAAAATTAAACTCCATTATATCTTTCATTCGATTATTCATCTAAGAAGAGTTTGTCTATAATATTAAAATTTGTATTTTTAGTATATTAGAAATAGTTTCAAAAGCTTGACATTTGACTTTTTTCTGGAAGAAAAAATTTCTGAATTCATAAGATTCAATAGAAAAAAAATCATATCAAATTTATTCACTCTTGTAATCATATTTCATGTCAAATTTATTTTTTCAAGAAAATTATATGTTTTATGTTTGCTAATTCACCAAATTAGTCAGATATATATACACACAATATTAGAAATATTTTCATGAAGATGAATTGCAAGGATTGTGTTTTTTTCCAAGATTGAACGTATGTTGAAGCTTCTTACATATTCTTAAAACATATCCTACCTGATATAATATAATTGACTCCGTCGGATTTGAATCCAGTAAAGTGCTCTAAGATTGTTTCAAAAAGTAAATTATTTCAATGTAAAAAACTTGAAAATCATATTTTAAATCTAAAATATTTACCTTTTGTGTTCAAGTGCTTTATTTATGTTCAATTTATAATACGCATATTATTGATTTTGCAATAATCTGCAACAAATTCACGTGGTTTGATGATGTACCATAAGAGTGCATGAATCAAGTAATGGGAAATGAACCAATTACCGCAACATGTACACATGAAATGTGTACATGTTTCACTTGCAGTGTCATTAACAATAATATTGATTGCATGTGGATTGTGACTATTTTCATCTTCGAGATAAAATCATACTGATAGAAATCATAAAACATTGTATTAATTAGTAAGCTTTGATGGTGCCAACAACAAATTTGAGTACAACGGACCCTTCTATCTCAGCGATTTCGAGGTATGAAATGGGGCTCTACTTCTTTCATTAAGAAATCTACTGGTTAAACTATCACACATCTCTAGACATTTTCTATAGAGAGCTTTACATTCTTACATGTTTATTTGCAATCCAAATATGGTAAAAGGTAAAACTGAACAACCCCTCAGTTAAACAAATGACCTCTCCCAGCTTGCATCTGAGTTTGACATCTTACGTCTAGTGTGCATAAAATTCACATCCGTAATTTTCATGCTCACTGCGTTTGAAAGCAGCTCTAGTCCAATTCTACTGCTATATGATCTTCAAAGTCAACATATTTACATGTATTGACCAGAACCACTTGCTCTATATTCATGACAAATAAAATGCTAAGCGACAATCACGACATAGCTAAAACCCAATGCTAAATTTGGCTGCCAGAACTGGATTTGCAACGGAAATTTCCGTATGCATCGAATTACTGTAAGAAAAACTCCTCCTCTCTAGTAGTAGGGCAAAAGAGAAATTCCATAATTCTTCGATACTGCCATACAACCGTAGGGAGAGTGACGAGCGCGGGGCTAGAGTACAAGCCGTGAAATTAATCCTGCTCTGCTCGAAAAGTTGTATGTTATCCACAGTAGTGCCTATCTCCACAGGGAGACTCGGATGCCTCTGTCGAGCAGCAGAGCAGCCGTGGGCTGAGCATGTTACCAGCTAAATTCGGCAACTGAGCCAAATTTGGAACTGAAGCAATCCCGGAGTAGAATAATGAAACTGCTGGACATCATAGCTCATGGATCTGACGAGGCATGGAGCCCCAGGAATTGGCAAGGCCAACTTGTAGTGGACTCTAAGCACTCCTCCGTCACAGTCTGGCAGGTTACAGCCATCCATCCTCTCTGTAACGTACCTAACGGAAAACAGTGGGTGATCGGGAGACGTAAGAAACCAAGCGACGGTGGAAAATCCCGTTTCTTGCGTGAGCAATTTAAAGAATGCAGATGAAATTGGAGATGGTGTGATGCTTTCACAATCGGTCGTGATCTAATTAGGTCAAACTGTTCTGGTTTGGGAGTTTTATCAAAGATATGAAGAAATGGTTGCGGAGAGACTAAAAATTAAAATGCTATTCTCAAGCTTCACGCAGAAAAAGCTCGAGAAGTTTGTTGAAATTATAGTCGATGCATAATTTAGAGTAGTTTCAAGACTGAATCAAATTTTGCCGATGCCTTTTTTTCATAGTGTTACTGAATATCGTTTTGAGATTACAAAATGGAGGGAAATCTGGAGTCCAAAAAGTGGAGACTTGAGATGACCGGAGTCAACCCTAAGATACAGAGAAGCCATCCATGGGAAAGATTTTCTATCATCATTCGCAAATTTTGCGACAGATGCAAAGGGCAACGAGAAATTTCTGGCATCATTTCGGTAGGTTTCATACTTTAGCTCCATCATTCTACGATAGCTTTCCGGGATTAAAAAGTCTAAATGGTCAATGTGAGATTTGCTATAGAAAGCTTATTCAAGCTTATGACTCTTGCTAGGCTGCTACTAGTGGTGGATGCACCAGTAGTACAGTTCTGGTACTGATCGTGATTGGAATTTGGTTCAGTTGCAGATATCAACTTCTAGACCTAACCGCGCCCGACCTAGAGAAGTAGGTCATCGGTTCCACGAGTCGAGCTCGGCTCACCAAGGTGGTACGGTCGATGCAAGAGGCAGGACAAGACGCGGTCATGAATTCTTGGATCCTTAAAGCGGTGCGGAAGAATGTACATATGCTGTCCAAGTTTTCATTTTGAGATAATGAAAGCTCACAAGGATGCATCTCCAGTCTGCAGCGGCGGAAGATCAATGCGGTATAAAAATATTGTCAAAATCGCAGAGTCGAAATTTCGATCGAGGCATCAAACGAGTCCCGAGATTACGCTTGAAGATGCACCAAGTACAATGTCTGCAATCCCTACATGTTTTTCGGTGTGCGTCATTGTTGTGAACAGCTTATTTTGTGTTTTACCTTTCTTTGTAACCATCACCTCAAGTCTTTAGAGTAATGCTAAAAAGCCTAATCCAGAACAAGAACAGTATGACGTAAGGAGGCTACAGAACAAAGGATGAATATATGGGACTCATGGCCCATGTTCCTGGCAAGACATGACTCCGGAGCGAAAATCGAGGCAGCCTAGTGCTACTGATAGTGCCCTAGTGACATTTGATGACAGACATGGATGATTATTACACCCATGGCGAGCCAGCGAGCGGGCCAGCCTTTTGCCTGCTCGCTGCAGTGGGCGACGACGACGGTGGACCGGTGGCCATGGGCTGCGCTGAGGTGAAGGGGTTGGAAGGAGGTCGGACAGTCCCTGTCCGACTTTCTTTCACCTCAGACGACGCCATGGGCTGAGTCTGGAGGCCGGAATCTCTCCAGATGTGGAGAGAGGAGAGATGCGAGTTCTGCCTCGCCTTCTTCTTCTCTCTCTTCGACATCTCGTCGCCTTCTCTTGCACGGGCACGACGGGCGTGGGCGAGAGAGAGAGAGAGAGAGGCGCGTCTGGGACCCGCCGGCCAGCCTCGTCGTGCACTTTCGCTCGGCCCTGCGTCTAGAGCTGTGAAAAGACGAGAGGGCTTCAACTGCGAAGCAACTGGGACGGTGGATGCGATGGACCGCGGTCATGATCAGTCAGCAGCAGAGCGGACACAGCAGCCTTCCTCGTCCCTGTCCTTGCACAGCACCGCTCGCTCGCTCGCCCTCCCTCAGGGGCTGATCATGACGGGCCCAGCCGAGCCAGCTCTCGGCCGGAGTCCCGTCCCTTGTGCCCTATACGAGGCTGCTCGACCGTAGACTACTCGAGTTGTCTCCATGGCACACGCTGGCGCTCGAATGCGTCGATCCAGATACGCAATTCGTCTTGCGGGTCGGTAATTATTTACAGCACGCAGACAAAGGTCTGGCCGCATTGACCACTCGGGCCTGCACTCTGCGCGGCCTGAATTCCTGTTGTGGAAATTGGGAACTTGACGGCAGCAGTTTGGTTTGCACGGATTGTGGTCTTGTCTGCTTGCCCAATCAATCGCTGAATCGATCGGTGAGTATCAGATTTGCGCGAGCGAGCCAGGAAGTGTAAGTGTGCGTGTTGGGAGTCGGGAGTCGGGAGTCATGCACTGTTGGTCTGGTGTTTGTGGGCTCTTTATGAGGTCCCCGGGCTGGCCACCGTGTGGGCGAAGGAGAGGCCCGAGGATTCGTTGGTTTGCCTCGTTGGGTAGTAAGTAGTTTGGTCGAGCTCGGACTCTCGGATTAGCAGTTCAAAGATCCATTTTTCGTTCACTCGAGCATTCAATCAAAATCTGCCTCCACAATCGCCCTTTTCGATCCACACAGTGAGGCTGGACTGCTGCTGCTGCTGCCCTCGGCGTCGTGGTCGCTTAAAGTGTGGCAAGCTTGTCTCCGCACTCCTCGGAATTAGCGCGCGCTCGATTCACCATAATTCCTCGTCCATCGAGTAAACCCGAGCTCCGCACTGGCTTTGATCCCCTCACTACTCCGCCATTCATCTTCCCCACGCGACCAGCACGAGTTTCGAGATCTGCGCTCCGTGAAATCGCAGTACTGTCTGAATTCTCGAACGCAGAAATTGTTGTCACGACGGTACGCTCGAGCCATCGGAAGAGTGCGCTGCATGCCGATAGCAACCAAATACTTCACGTGTTCGATGCCATAACCAGATCACGATATCCTTGCAGCTTTGTCTCTCTCGCTCCAGATCGAGCTGCTAAAAGCGAAATTTAAGTGTCTCGAAGAAATGCAAAATTACGACGAGAATGCGGCGTGAAGGTCGTAAATTATCGATGTAATACGCTGGTCACGCGTCATGTCCGCTGGATAAGAGGCTGACCATAATCGACGTCAGAGTCTTCGTGAAGTGGCGTAGGGGTTAGGAAGTGGTGGATTTGATACAACGGTCGCGCGTTCTGTCCGCGAGATAATAGGGTCAGTGTAACCAACGCCCGTCCGGAGGCAGGGAAGGGCACGTCAGTCCATGTGCCTTGCTTGCTGCACAAGGCACGATGCTCGACCGAGAGCATGCTCTGCCATTGCCACTCTCTGTCTCTCGCTCAGCGCAAGAGCGTGCGGTCGTACTCTTGGCGTCCGATGGTGAGCCACTTTTGCGAGTGGCGTGGCGTGGAATGGTGGGCTTCGACACACACAGACAACGACTCTGGCCCGACGTACACACAAACACACACACGACGACGACGACGACGATGTCGTATCGAGATGAGGACCATCATCACCTTTGAGCCGCTTCCATGAGGACACTGTCTGAGCCGGACAGATGGCGCATTCGCGTGCATATTCCGTTCGATGCCCAAGATGCGACGCGAAGCCAGATGAAATCAATAGACATATTTGACAGACGGGGACATTACAGACATTGAAGTGGGGCGGAGCACGAATGCATTGGGGGAGGGAGAGGGAGGTCGAGTCCAACAACAAATGAAGAAGCTGGAGATGGAAAACATATAAAATTTTACCAGGGAGCCAGAAATAATAGGTTCATTACCCAAAAACAAGACCACTCCAGTCCTACACCTCCCTGTCCCGAGAGAGCCTGCTTCACGGATAAACGATGGAGCTGATGCTAAATTACAAGGACGTACTCGGAACTTTGTGGAAACACAATAAATTATACACAACAATCTACAGCTTACTGCGCTTCGACATCAACAAGCTTGTCCAGTCTCTGTCTGTCTGTCTGTTCTAGTGTCATAGAACCATAGGAGAGGCTTCATAAGGATCTGGTATCAAAATTGCTACCCGTAACTGATTGATCTCATGGCACGTCACTCTAGCGGGCGCCTTCAGCTCGTGGAAGATGGTGTGCCCTGCCATTCCACCGATGAAACCTCGTCTTCTGCGATGACGAGGATGATGTTGATGATGATGAGACGATGGCGAGATTCGAGTGACTCCGTCTGGGCAACATTGAGTAGGAAATTCCCTACAGGGCATGTGGGTTACGCGTATGGTACAAGTCCTCCGAGTTCTGGATGTTCTCCGCTCCCACTGAGCAACGCTGCGCCTCTCGTGTCGGTCGGTCGGTCGAGAGTTGCAGAGAGAGGAGCTCCCACCCAGCGAGAGAGACACAGAGAGAGGAGAGAAAGGAGAAATTAAAAAGAAAAACGAGCATAAAAATGGTATCCACTGTCTGGCATAAGTCAGTCGTCGAGTCTTCGACGAGCGAATCTTGCTTCCCTCAATCTTCGATGAGCCCGTGAAGTTTCAGCGTTTTCCGTAGCCTCTGTACAAGCTCCTCGTAGAACTCGATTACCACGCCGGGATCCCTCTGGACCAGCATGTTGTAGTCGCTTCTCGACAGAAACGCTTCGTAGTTGATCGCTATGAGCTTCGTCGTCGCGTCCTTGATGGGCTTGGAATTGCACAGGCTCCCGAGCTCGAGAAACGAGACGGCGTTCTCCTGCGTGATCAGATTCTCCACGATGTACTTCTCCGCCAAAGTCTTGAGCGGCGGGATGTCGAACTTGTGAGCTGCGGCCAGCAGATGGCCTCCGTGAAGCTTTAGGTCCGCATCGCTCGCCGTGGCGAAGTAGAGGAAGTTGAGAAATGCGCGCAGTGCGCCGGCCGGCATGTCGTCCAAATGCAGAACTCCCGACCTCCCGTCCTTGAGGTCGGCCAAAAGCATCGACTTGAACACGGGAGACTTGCTCATCTGCCACACATCATCAAAGCCCAAGGCGTCAGCCTCCACGCATCCTATCGAGACCGTGACCATGACCACAATAGCCCCACCCTTCCTTCCATCGCCCTCTGGCTTAAATGGACAAGTCGAATCAAGCATGCGACTCTCCCCTCCTCTCCTCTCGACAACGGACTCACTCACGGACTAGAAATCGTGTCGTCCGTGAGAAATTCCGCTTCCGGTGGACAACCAACGCTGAGCTCTCCTCGGGGCCATTCGACGAATTGACATCGACCGAATGAGCAACATGCAACATTTGCAATTGATTTCCACTAAACCAGGAGCTGGTTACTCGGAGACTCGCGCACAGAAGTGGCCAGAAAATCAGAAGAAATTCTGAGAATCCTCCCGACTCTGCGGAAAGCTCGAGCTTCCAAATGTCAGGACCCTTCGGAGGCCCCGAGCATGACGGGTGCTCGAGGAGAATTGCCAGGACGAGGACGATACTCAACGCCGTCCGAGCATTGGCGAGAGTGGATCGCAGAGACATCTTCAAGCAAACGGACGAAGAGCATGAGGATTCGACGTACCAGGATAGCGCGATGGGCGTGGAGGGTCTCGCCCTCGGCGCTGTAGAACACAATCTCGGCGTGCGGATCTTGCAGAGGGTTCTCCCAAGTGCGCAGGAATCCGAGCTCGACTTGCATTTGTTCCATCTGTTCACGCAGGGAGACGATCTCCTGGTCCTTGTCGACAATCTCCTGTTTCGCCTCCGCGAGGGCTCCCTCGGCAATGTATCGGCCTGTGGCTTCTTGCTCGAAGCAGTCCACGCAAACCACAACCGGCAAATTGTGGCCCTGTCGTTGGCAACTCAGTTCTCTATCGCAGGTACCGGAGCTATTGTACCTATCGAGAGACTTGCACTTTAGAGTTCGTTGACAGCCTACACACGGAGAAGGCATGAGTGCTGGCTTGCTTGCCCTCTCGTCCGCCCGCCCGTCGCTCGCTCGCTCGTTCACTTGCTCGTTCACTTGCCCTGGATGCGCCGGAATCGACTGGCCTCCGCCCGAAGGACTCACCAGAAAGGGAGGAGCACTAATGTATCAGAAGCAGCAGAGAGCCGACGCGAACATCGTTCGGGTCCACAGCTCATCGAGACGTGATCGGACGCGTGTCGTCAGTGGAAGCTCGACTGATTCGATCGGCTGATGCGACGAGCAGCTCGACCATCTTGGTGTAAACGATGCTCGTCGAGTCCTCTTCTTGCACAGATTTGGCCTGGCTTTGATGAGCACTCGCGCATCAGTGCATGTGTGCGCTGCAGGGCCTGGGCGAGCGAAATCAGGAGACGGACTGGGCTCGACTGGACTGGAGGCAATCGGCCTGCGCGACCGAGTAAAGGCAGGAGGGAGCGGCAGGGAGAGCAGCGAGAGCAGCGAGAGGAGTTCCGAGGGCTGGGCTTTCGGGCTAGTCAATCAAACTTAAATGCGGATGAGGCAGATTCTGACATCGAGAACAAAAGAAGTAATACCGGTGGCATACAGATCAGGCGCAGTGAAAGCTTCGGGCAGGACTGTCTCTTTTCGTAGCCACCTCACACCGAGCGCGAGCGCGTCCGAGGCCGAGGCAATCAGCAGCTCGCTCCGCGGATAGGAAAGCTGGACGAGGAGCTGAGCTAAAACTATCGCCAGCCCGGCCCGGACGAATAATCAGCGGCTCCAGGAAAGCAGAAGGCAGGGAAAATTCGGCTCCGAAAGGTGAAAGATCGCTCTCTCTATCTCAGCCACGACGACGCTGCTGCGCTCTCAGCGCGGACGCATGTGTCCGGTCTGAACGCCAAAAGCGACTTTGGCATGGACCTCCGGTGCGGGGGCCCCGGGAGAACGAACAAGACGGATTCTTGAGCTCAAGGACAGCTCAGGCTCTCAGGGTGCAAGGACAACAGACAACAAAAGTACGAAGTGGTAGATAACAGAAGGGCGAAGGCCGTCGAGCTCAAAAGCGCCTCGTCTCCACTACCCACTACTCTCTCTCTCTCTCGTGCCCCCACCCCGAGCTTAACGAATCCTGCAGGAGAATCACCGATGAGGAGATAAATCACACACTGATGGATAGATAGAAAGATAGATTGATAGATTGACCTTCACATTTCCCCGGACCCAGCCACAGCCAGCAGCAGCAGCAGCAGTCGAGTTGAGAATCCTCGACGCTCGAGTGCGGGAGCAGATTAATCAACTCTCGTCGTTCGGTCGAGACCCGAGTTACCCGACTGCCCCCACCCAACCCAGCCCAACCCAACCCAACTCGCGTACGGGACCTGAGGCCTGAGTCAGGTCCTGACCCCTGGACCTCGTGGGACGGCTAGGAGTCCGAGACAGCTTGGGACGGGCAGACGCCACTGGGCCTTTCAGACAGCCCGGCCCAATCCGGAAGAGCTGCTTGATCCTACGATTCCTACGATCCTGTCGAGGCGAGGGCTAAAGCTGATGGCGGACTACGAAAGGGAGGAGGAGTACGAGGAGGAGGAGGAGGAGGAGGAGAAGAAGAAGAAGAAGCAGAAGTGGAGAGCACAATTCCATCTGAGCCTTCTGCTCAGAATCGCCCTGACTTCGCGTGGACTCTGTCGTCGCCTGTATTTACTACCGGTAGACTAGCCGAAGACGCGCCGCAGCGACTCTACCGAAATCTGCTCGTTACTGCCTCTGACTTTCTGCGCCTCCGTATCGTCGTCCCTCGCTCCTCGCTCGCCGCCGCTGGCGGTCCGTCCCTCTCCCTCCCGGTCCCGGACCCCAAACCTTCTTGTCTCCCGTCACCTCAGCTCCGCCATCCATCGGCTCTCTTCGTGCCGCCCCGGCCCTCCCCCTCCTTCTCCGTCCGTCGTCCATTATTACCGCGACCGGCTCGGCTCGGTAGCCGTCCCGTCCCCCATACTCTACACTCATCGTCCTCAATTCGGGATATTCAAATTTGAAACCGTCTCGCTACGCCGCGACGTCGTCTGGAGTTTCGCAGGCCCTCTCTGTACGGCGCCTGCGAGCCTCCGCGACGGACGGGGTTCTGCGCGACGAGTCCCTCGCTGAGCCCGGCCCTGCCCTGCCCTGCCCCACCCCGGTCATCATCACCAGGAGGGCCACAGCGCCTCCGACGCGGACACGGACACGGACACGAGTGCTGTGTGTCCCGGACACGCTTTCTCCACCGCCGCTAAGGGCCAGGGCGGAGCGCGAGAGGCGATAGATTGGCGGAAGGTTCGGATGCTGGGGTCTCGAGAGCCTCCAAATCTGGCGGACTAGTGAACGACCCGTCAGGTACTCGAGGCGGCCGAAATCTTCGGAAGGACGCTCTAGCTTCTCTGATCGAAAGGGCGAGACTCTACTGCTTCCGAGCCCTCCCACCGCGCCAAAAGCGTCGCCATGTGCAGATGTCAGTCACCCGCTCGTCAGACCGGCCCCCTCCCGCAGCGAGTCTTCTCCACGAACGCCAGTCAAAGATTGCGCCTGCTGGCCATAAAGCGGCCCCAAAGTAGCCGGAGCGAGCGAGCGAGCCCCATTTGGCGACGGTCGCTCGTGAGGGGTCCCGATCTGCACCGGCGCGACTCGGTCAAGGGCCTCTAACTTAGCAGGTCGGTCAAGTACGGTCCCGAAAGTCGAGCTCGCCATCGTTATGATCGACACTGCGAGTCCTTCTGCCAGAGGGCCGCTGTACACATGGCCCATCATTAATCGGTTCTCTAGAATCTCTAGCCATTGAAGGCGAAAGGGACTTATTATAGCCCTCGCCCTTCTTATTTGGCTCTATAAATTAATCGGTCTGAAGGACGCTCGCTCGCCCCCTTGAAATCCAAAAGCTCGGATCGGTCCGTTTGGGGCATCTTCTCAGCCCCTGTGCCCTTTATTGTCTCCACTCTTAGTAATAACGGTCTGAACCACGTACCACGATCACACAAACCCCCCGTAAGCCACATTGGCCCGCCGTGGTAGAAACGCTGGCGGTAACTTCCTTCGAGTAATCGCGGTAGAGATGTTGTGGTGAATGAATGAACCGCGTCCGAGTCTGTTACGGACTTGACGCTCGGACTAACGACGGAGAAGGGCTGTAACTTGTGACGCTTACATGGTAGAAGGTTGTCCCGGTCGGTCGGCACACTTCGTACCACTGCTTTGTGGAAGGAGTGACCGGCGAAGGGGGGGCAGGCCACCGAAAGGGAGACGGAAAAGCACACGGAGGTGCAAGAGGTCACAACAGATAGAAAAAAGGGATCGAGCCATTACGACGGACGGAAACTGGGCACGTCATAAATGGCTTTGGTAACGGCGACGGAGTGCTCGATCGGTCGTGTCTGGCGTCGGGGGAGACAATTTTCCCAATTTTCCCAATTTTCCCGATTTTTCGAGGTTTCTGAAGACATGATGCGCATGTGCGTGTCGAGCGTCCCTGCAAACAGGATTCGATCAGAAAAATTTGATGTCGCTGACACTCCTCGAGTCGGGGGTCTCCATGTGACACTTTGGAATTTTGAACTTGAATTCTTCAAATTGGACGTGAGCAAAAGAGGGCTTCGTACGAGGATGACAAAAGAAAAAGAGGCCGACCGACATCGACATGGATATCGAATGCCACGGAGTAAACCGTGCCAACTTGGGCATGGGGTAAGCTTTATGCTCGCTCGCCCGCCTGCCTGCTAGGTGAGCGGATGGATGGCGATCTGATTGATATTCTCCTCTCTCGACTCCCATTCGATTTTTAAAAATCACGAACGGGAACTTTTGCCCCATGATTTGGCAGAACTGCTAGCAGCCGCAACGACCGACATGCAGATGGCGAGCCCAGAGATTTCAAATATCTTGACAGCGAAACGAATCACCTTCTCCTGTTTGTTCGAGCTGACCGACTAACCTCCAATCTAGCACCGGTCCACGCTCGAGCCGAGCCCTTGCCGACTTAGAGATTGCATTGCATGGTCGTGCGCCAGTGAGGGCACTAGTGGCGCAGCCACTTCTGTCGTCAAGCAATGATACAGTCCGCTCTCTCTTCAGTGCATTCCGCTGTTTTCTCTCGATGCTTGCAAGCTCGGCAAAAATCTCCAGGCTAAGTGCAATTATCAGCTTTTTTCCATTACTACAACTCGTCCCCTTCCTCGTAAGGTCACTAAGGAAATCTTTCTAAGAGCAGTTGCATTTATTGACGTTTGCAAAGCATGAGGTTAATCAATAACTCGACTACGTGGCCAACCGGGTGCAATTGTTGGGTTCAATTGAGATACTAACTTTGGGTAATTGCGCTTCAAGAGGATTTCCCAAAACGATAAAATTCAATTTTGCGATTCTACAGTTCCAAAGGAGGCGCTGAAAACAAGCATGACCTCCATTAACTGCAAAAAGCGAGTCTAGTGTCCTCAGGTGTTGCACCCGGTGAAGGTCGACTTTCGTCTCAAGGGATGACTCTATTTGGCTCGAGTTCAGCACCGGGACCTGAGGGTTGTTTTGTGTCAACAAAAAAAATACTGCCATTGTCACAATGTAGTAGTCAACGACAAGGGGATGACAGAATGTATCCACATCTATCCAGAGAGACAAGACAAGCATGTCACAGCAGTGAACTACCTCGGACAGTTATACATCTCTTTCCATTTGTCCCTTTTTGGGCAATTAATCTAGACAGATCCACGTCAGCCAAGAGAGACGTACATGATTAATTAATTTATATAAATAAATATATATATGAAGTGACTGATTGTCGAGTGGCTTGAGCTAGGATTGATTTTACTATTTTTTTCCGTTGCAACTTGAGCAAGAGCAGAAGAACAATTGCCCGGCTCTGATTTTGGCATGAGTGAACCACTATCTGCAACCAATGATGAAGCTAAAAACAATGTACTGAACTTGTAAGGGCGGGCGACCACCACTTATGATCTCCTTGCATGTTTATCAAATTATTTTCGTATATTATCTTCCATCTATCATTCCTCATTACGACCCTATTTAATCCTTTCTTCTAAAGTCAAATTTAATATTATCGATTCGTAGCCATCAACATTCATTTCAATATCAGGAGGGCAGATCTGACCGACATTGACGTATGTCGTTATTAGGAAAGAGCATTAGTTGCAAGGGACTCTTAATACAAAATTAAGGAATGGGACAATCCAAGGAATGTGGTAAGAGCTGTGTTAGAGCCGCTGATTGTCTCTCAGAATCATGAGTCGATCTATCCATTTGTCCACTAATCACGTAGATTTGGCAGGACTCGACCACCACTTTCCGGATATTTCAGGACCTGTATTACTGAGCATGGAGTTGACGGGAGGTATATTAGGCCCATCATCAAACCTCGTCTAACAGGATTTCTGCCTAACCCTCTGTCTTACGCATCATTAGCAATTCAAAATGCGCAGGAGGAACTCATAATCCGGTCAAAAAATCGAGTGAACCCGTTCATCGAGATCCGCAATCAGGCAAACAATTGACCAGTCGTCGCCCCACACATGATGATGGCGAGCATCTTTCACATGATTCATATTCAAACTCAAAGAGGCGACTCGAAACTGAGCACCGCAGCTTTAAATCCACATGCTAGGACGAATTATGAACTGGAAGGAGAATCCTAACGCGAGTTGGTCTTTGCAGTCCACCCTATTACGAGTCCAAAACTGGTCCCATGCAGCTTACAAATACAGACTCTAAGAACCGAAATGAGAGACTCGTCGTGTAAGTCTTTACTCTATCGAGGTCCCAGCCACTGTGCCTGTTAATGATCAGTATTGGGAGTTGAGAGAGTCTAACTAAAAACGTAGACCGTCTCTGAACTCATAACCTGATCTGGTGATGTGAGAGTCAAAAAGGCCAATTTTGTGGGAAAGCTTCGGATAAAAAGTTCAGGTCAAAGAGACCCTACCAAGGGAATGTTGTTCGTTTCCGTTACAGAATTCCACGCTTGTTGATTTTCGTGGCAGATTCTCTTGAATGAAGAATCACTGCGACGACATTCAAGAAGTAGACGACAAGTCTCTCTCGGTGGGAAAGCTTAGAGGGAGATGATATTACTAATTTAGGCTCGAACTGAGAGTTGTGCAAGTTTGAAGCTCTAGAGCTGAATATCTATCTCTGCATTAAGCCCCAGGTCTCCGAATTTCGTACGAAGAAGAAAAGTATCTCAGACATGTCCTTACAGTACATCAGAAGGAAGTGAAAGAGTTGAATCCTACAAGGATACGGATGAGTCCCATGTGCACAAACAAGCTTCAAACATCTCCTCTCGATTTCAATAGCTAGAAAAATGTATCCACATTATTTTCTGATCGCCATCAAACCAAGGGTGGCAAGATTTATTGACGTGAATCTTATATCAATGAAACTATTGTTGATCACGATGTTGTATGTCAAAACCACTTGATACATTGAGAGTCGGTAAGATTACTATGCGTGTGATAAATTATGGGTAGTATCATTTAAATAGTCTCCCGGTAAAGTGGACTGTATACGTAATGTATTAAAATGTAAACTTAGAGAGATTTTGGCACGAGAGAAAACGATCAAAAGTATTGTGTTTACATATCTACGCTAAAGTTAGATTGTAAGCATAATACAAGAAATAATGGGTGCATGAGTATTCAAAAAGTGATAGTGATGATGCATCTAATAGATCATCATCAAAATCATGATCTAAATCAGTGCTAAAATCATCAGCTGAAACCACACAATTTAGGAGTTACAGTTGCAGGTTGTGGCACTGGAAAAACGGGTAGAGATTTGGTTTTTGGCCTACAGACTGGAGATATTATTATTTCTTTAACAGTATGAATTTTATTTTCCTGCGGCCATCCTCTGTAGCTTGAAAATGTATATGTGTAAAATCTATTTATTTGCAAAAAAGACGACATCTTTTTTATATAGAACTTGCGGGGAATCGGACTTTCCTGTAAAAATGCTGAGAACTTAGAGACTGCGGTCGGGTCCACTTTTAGCCCGAAAGGCTTCATTTAGAAAAAGCCTGACACATAAAGTCTAATTGTTTTTTTAAACGAACGTATTTAATTTATATAATGATTTTTTCCCCTCTTTTGCTTGCTACATGATGAGAATTATGGGGACCTCAAAGTTAATCAGGAAGGTAATAATGGAGTCTATACACGCAACCAATTAGCGCTGAGGAACTGAATATATCTCAAGTTTTAAATTTTTGATGGATTTTTTTAATCATTTTTTTAATATAAACTAATCATCAGAGCGCTACATCCCTGTATTATAGTTTGTATCAATTGTGAATGTTTCAAAAAGGTTTGAAATATCTGAAAGAATACGATCAAGCCTCATTTTCTTTCTGGTAATTTTGCATATATCTAAAAAAATGTATCCTACCTATAAGTTTCTACACACTTGCTAGATCAAAACTTAAAATGAGTAACTTTCCTTGTAAATTATACCTTTAAGGTCTGTATATGAAACTCACAAATTATTACAAATATTTTAAGTATTTTCTAGATGTAAAATATGGATCAACACATGAACACTTGATTTTGTGGATTAAACTCTGTCTTCCTGTGACGTTTCACCTCCTTCATCTCATTTCGCCAGCATAACCTACTTCTCTTACTTCAAATCCCAAATACTACTTCCGACCGGTAGGTGAATATTTCAATATATTAAACGCCATTAAAAAAAATCCAAAATCATCAAAATTTATATAATAACATCGAATCATATGGATCAAAGTGATTTGATCACATCACTTCTCTCGTATGAAATTAAAATAGAAATACTTCGCTGGCTTGGTAAATCTAGTATTTTAGCTCGCGATTTAAGGGTGGGAAAATCTTAGCTTGTGTTATTTTGAAATTATAGTCTCTTCACCAACAGCATAAATTGTTGAAGTTTGATAAATTAACAACGTTATGAAACTATGACCTCATAAAAGCGGAACTAAATCCATAAATGTTTGCATACAAGAGTCTTGATATTTTGCAGATTTTCGGGACTATTGACAAGAAAGGTCATCTTCGTTTACATTCGATAGTGGATTCATAGACCTCAATAATGAAAAATAGGTTGCGGGTACCGGCAAGACAGAAACTTCTGGCTACTATTAGGACAAACGATTATAGAGTCGATAGGCAGGCAGGCTCATTGCCCATAAACCGTCCTCTCCGTAACAAGGAAAAGGTCCAACCTTCTTGTACCTGATAGCATGAACTGGAGAAATGATCATGGCTGCCTGTAAAAGGTGTTCTGAACGAACAGGTTTATAATTGGTAAAAAGTTGTACAAGTATAAAATGGGAAAAAATACTGCAAGACGATGTCCACCCTCGTTCTCCACACCTGCTCGGAGCTTAGAAAGGGTCCACGTCTTAAATAGACCTACCATAAATCTGCAATTCAACGGTTTTGAGTTGACAAATTTTGCACTCATCATTCCTACTCCAGTACTTTTAGTTCCTCACCAGAGTCTATGTTTACGAGGTGATTTATTCATTTATTTATTCATGCATCACACCTTTAAAATATATGTATTTATTTATTTCTATTTCTATTTCTATTCAGACACAGCCACTAAAACAGTAGCCCATTTTGTAACAACAAGTAACGAGAGACGCCTGGCATAAAATTGCGACGCAAGCACATGTACAAAGATATTTGTAAGTAGATACATTAATGTCTGCATGGCCCTGGAGAGTTCATGGCTTGCTCATTCTTCGGGTGAAGTTAAATCTCACAACATTTCTTGTGTTGCTACCATGATCTCGAGGTTCGAGCACATGAATCTCGCATAAAATGGAATATGCCACCCTGCTCCAACTTATTATTATCAGGTGGACAAACATACATCACCTTCAGCTGAGGTCTTAATCTGAGCTCAACTTAATTTGACATGATGGGTCTTCCCATCCTGTCGGCTATATTACTCGCTCCTCGTTGTTCTGATATCAAGTCAGCAAAAAATCGTCCTCCATGGTACGTCCCAACTCACCAACCTGCAGGCAGAGCGAAGGAATCAGTGGAAAGGTCATCCCAGGCTGGGATTCCACCGTGACCGAAAGATTCTCATGAAGATTCAGACCCGCCCAGGACACCACCACCAACTACAAAGCCCGAGCGAAAGGCCCCAGGGCCCCGGGATTATGTAGTGTACCTCGAACGGACAACGGACCTCCGCACTCGAGTACAGGCATACGACGTACATGAGTCTACCGTGGTACGCGGAGCGCGCGTGCCATGTTGACGTGGCGAGCGGAGCGTGATTGGACCGGAGTCGCCGAGGCTGACAGGACGGACTGCGCTGTCCAGAGAGGGGAGGGAGAATCTGCTCGCTCGCAAGGTACGACGTTAATTAAGAGCTGGTGTTTATGGCTTAAGTGCAACATTACGGGCCTGAAGCCGCCTAATCCGAGAATCTTAATGTACATCTCGAGTGCCTCGCATGGCAGATGATTCTAGAAAAGATTCATCCGATCATCTCACCGTCTGATTACATCATTCGTCCGTGAGATAATCCTATCATGATGCAGTACTTAGCTACATGTAGCGGCTGGGCTGATCACGTACTTTGTCGATGCAACGTAATGGACAGTGGAGGCAGTGGAGCGTAGAGGCTTGTTGACGTATCTGAGACCCCATGCTTGCTTGCGGCGGTGTGAAATTCCTGTGAGGGCAGGGCAGGCAGGGCATGCATGGGAAAGTGGGAATTCGAAGAGGATGTTGGTCAAAGCGTCAGAGAATGTGGAGCTGTCAAGAGATGGAGTGAATTTGGCTCAGAATCCCGACATCAGATCGGATGCCGACGCCTAAATCAAAGTAGGATTTCCACACGTGCTAATTCGCCAGTAATCAACAAATTGATCATAATCATGTGCAGTACAACTCACTCGTCCGTGAGAAACGAACACCGAGAGACGAGAGTGCTCAGTTCTCTAGCTCGGGAACCACTTTCACTTAGAGGGCTGAGACTTCGCAACTAGACGAGAGGAAGTGTGTAGAAAAATCATAACGATGCAAAAACTAATCAAGTGAAACAATTACTTTTACTTTTTTCTTTGTTTTCGTAGCAACTGGGCATTTAATAATAGTTGAGAGGAGATAAGAAGAAAATTTGTGATTTTATAAATTTTGAATTTTGTTGAATTTCAAATTTTTCTTTAACATTCGCAATTTGGGACAAATTGTAGACATGGTAGACATGAATAGTCAAATTTTATTCGTGCCTGCTCAACTTATCGCGGTTCGACTAGTTTGAGAGGTTTTTTTCGTTGTTGATGAGATGAAGGTTCAAAGTCAATCACGTGTAACGCGTGCCACATGTCAGAATTTGATGAAGTGACTTGTGTCTTTTTGCTAGCTCTATTTTTATTTTCTCTCAGATAACCCTGTAAAATCATGTGTGATACACTATATCATCCTTTGTCAATAATTTTGTTTTGAGTAGACCGATCTAATTGGTAAAATGTTCAACATCTCAATTTAAATCTTTATTAGAGTTTTGTAAGACAATACATGTTTAATCAATAGCCTATGCAAAGCACTCCGCGATAACATTATACCATGGTTTTTATTTTGGTAAGTAGTTAAGCATGCAATCTGAGGGAAAAACAACTTAAATTTTTTTATAGTTTTTTCCATGATATTTCATTACGAAAAGTGAAGATGTATTGATATAAAAAGCGTAGAATTTTTTTGAAAGAATTTATTTCTTCTAGTTTCATAAAAATATTGAAATTATTTCTATTATAAATTATAAGTATCTACTTTGAATAAAAATATAAATTGCAGAAAGATTATATTCAAGTGTTACTTAGTCTCATATGAATTGGAAAAACGCTTCTTGAAATGTATAAAATCATAAAGAAACAACATCAAAATAACATCAAGTGGTTTAGTTGAAAAAATAAAGCATAAATAACATCAAATCGTTTAGTCAAAGTTTATTGCATATATATTAATGTAGTGTTTTTATACATATTTTTCATTTGATTTAAAAACATCATGTCCATGAAGATGTGCGGTAATATTAATATATGTTGTAACACTTTGTAACATATGTATATATTATTTTATTTTATAAATTAAAATTGACAATTTTGTAATAATGATAACTGAAATTTCTTAAAAAATATTTAGTACCTTTAATTTGATTTAATATTTATTAAATTTATTATTTTTTAATAAAATCAACATTACTGGATAGAACTATGAATACTTGCTATTTGTGGTAAATAATTTCTTTAGACCACTTGTGTGAATAGTCTTTGGCATTAATTTAAGTAGTGATGCGAAGTAGTCACATTCAGTAGTGAGGTTGTGCGTAGTGCTCTTATTGCCGACCTGCTCAAAAATCACCTTTGGAGAAAGAGAATACGCTATCATTTTTCAAGCGTGTGAAGTAGAAAGAGTATGACGAGAACGAAGCCAGTTATGCTTACTTGACAACTATACTAAAACACATCAGTTTCCACATGTATCCATTTGACTATTTCAAATTGTGCAAATTCCAACATTTAAAGCAAGTGACATGTAATAATCAGAATGTTGAATTTAATGTAAAATTTATCTGTAATATTGCACACAATGAAATGTGTAATATAACGGAGCTCATTGTGTTAATTAATTTCAGATTTTTTTTTCCAAAATTTTATTTTTATGAGAATTTTTTAATTTTTTATTGTATCATACGACAATATGCAAAATTTTTCACATACATTTATAAAATTTATCAAAGTATATTTAAATTTTTTTAATTCCAAATAATCAAAATTTATAGCTCAAAATCATTTTCATTGAAAAAGATTGTGCATGAAGAAAATTTTAGTTTGTGACAATCACTACGATCAAAATTTTCATTCCGTATAATACTCTTGAGCTAAAAATTAGTTTGATATATAATTGGAATTTGAAAAACATTTTGGACTAAATTAGTATGTTCAACGATACTTTAATACACTTTTATATTAATTATAGAAAATTAAAAAAAATTTAAAATTTTATTTCATTTTTCAATTACATAATAAGATAAGTAATTTCAATCCGTCGTCTCCTATTCTAATCTCATCAAAATTTTTATTTTTCTAAGTAAAAACCTTATTTTTTTTTAATTTAAATAAGAAATAAAAAAGAATCAGTTTGAAATTCTTATAAAATTTCATCAACTTGCAATTTTCTATGCAACTTCAATGACAAAAAATCATCATAAATGAATTAAAAGTATGACATAAAAAAATAAAACAATCCGAATTTGATAATAATTCAACATATTTTGAAATCAACACAAAATAATATTACTTGCTAATGATCTAAAAACAAAATGTATAGGAATTTGAACTCAATTGTTGAAAAACATCACTATCTTTAATCATTCAATTCTCTTCAATCATCAAAATAATGATAAGAGAAAAGTCTAAAATCTAAATTTTGTTTCTAAAAAATATATATAATTTTAAGTTTTTAATATTCTTTCATCATTTTTTTCATAAAATTTTTATACAAATTATCTGATGCACATTCATACAAAAAATTGGATGTTATCATAAATGTATTATATAGCAATAACATTATGACATTTTGTGATGTTATTTTTATACCGCACTAGGTTCATTTCAAGCACAAAATTTTGCAATCTATAAAATAATAGTATGATTATTTATTCTTTGTCTTGATGAAAATTTACATGTCATAAAATCTAACATACTTAATTTTATAGTTGCATATAAAATGCATGCAAGTTAAAGCATTTCATTTATATTTTTCATACATATTTTTCTTTTATTTTGAAATTTGTTTATTTTGAATTTGAAACTTTTTTTTTAATAATTTCAATGCAATAATAAATCTATTTTTATAAATATAAAGTGATATTAATGGTTTAAAAAATATGTCATCAAAATTATAATAATTTTTATAAATATACATAAATCTTGTATTTTGAATGATGATATAAAATTTGTCATCAATTATTATCAAATTTTTTTTATTATTTATCTATTTTTAATTTTTGTTTGTTATTTCATTATTTGAATCATAATGATTAAAACTGATTTTGTATTTAAAAACTTATCAGATATTTTATACAAAAATTTTAAAAATAGTAATCACGATATATATTTATGTATATTTATTTGTTTATTTATATTTATGTATGTATTTTACAAAGGCAGATGTAATTTTATTTACTTTGACAAAAGTCTTCAACGAATTAAACACAATATATATATGTATATATATTTATTTATTGTTAAAATTGGGTCGAAATAACTTTTTTTTTTCAAATTGTTATCTTCTAAAGTTGTTAGAATGCAAATTACTCCTCACTTCTTCTGGACCTTTAAACCATGTGCTAGTTATTAGGACTAAGATTATTAGTATTTAGGATGAATAACAACTAGGAATGCAACCCCTACATGGGTGCGTCCCATGACAAGGGTGTGTTCCATTGTCAGGGACATGTCGCTTCTAAGAGGTGCGATCCGTGTGACTCTCATGGACTTTGTTCCTATCCGGATTGAATATTTAAACCCAATCCGGGACACTTGTGTTTCATCCATCAATCAAGCTTCAATACTTCCTTAACTGTGTGATCTTTCACTTTCAATTGCTCATGTGATCGAACTTGGTATAAGAGCAGGTTATATTTTGATTCAAGGACGCTTGAATCCAGAAAGCCAAGGTACGCTTTTTGCTGTGAAGCATCTCTGTGACACTTGATAAAGCAATTACAAGTGATCATTTATCTCCATCAGGCTCCTAAATTTGACTCCGAATTCGAGCAAATGCGACTCACCGAACTTGTTTAATATTTTTCAGTGCTGATCTGAAGCATTGTGGAGTCCGAATTTCACAAATTCTTTAAAATTTGAGCAAAATTTTAGACTTTCTTGCAATTCAAACAAGAAATTTTACAAAAAATTTTGTTTTGCAAATTTTTTTGAAAGTGAAGTCAGTATCCTGCACCACACCGTGAAGAAGTTGTAGACAAGTAGACATTGCAAGGAAGATAATTACTCTAGGACCTCCCATCCGCTACCCATTTAAGAATCTTCCCAAAATTCGATGGGAAACACTTTCATGCCTGAAAAGACTAGATCAGCTGGCTCTTTTGAATGGAAGGATTGATGGAACTAATTGAAGGCACCGAGTTCCGGCCTACTACTCCCCCGGTTCTGCAACCGGCACAACTGCGTCCGGCGTAGGGAGTAAGAAGTCATGGGACTAAAAGAAATATACTTTCCTTGGCGATGTTGAACAATGCCATGGAACGGAAAAGACAACCTTTAATTGCATGCTTTCGGATAGTTGTCGAGGTCTGGAACGAGTTTGCAAGAGTATATGAATCGAAATTGAATCCAAATCAATTGCATTTGAGACAAACACTGCATTTTCTTAAAATGCAGCCAGACGAAGCTGTGTCAACCATCATCACAGTTTCAATACATTCTTGACCAACTGGTTGTGATAGGACATACAATATCAGATGGAGAAGCTTGCTCTAATACTAAATTAGATCAGATGATCAATAGAGAGTGATACATCAATCAAACTTTAATACTTACTCTAATGATTGATCTTTCACTCTCAATTGCTTATCTGATCTAACTCTATATTTATGTATATATTGTACGAAGGCAGATGTAATTTTATTTACTTTGACAAAATCTTCAATGAATGAAACTTAAAATATATGTATGGTTTATCTCTTGTTAGAATCGGTCGAATTTTTTTTTTTTCAAATTGTTGTCTTCTAAAGAGAAATTGTGCTAAACACTTCTTGTAAATATATCTTTTTTATAATAATACATCATAATCAAACAAATTTTTTTAATAATTTTCTAGATAAATTAAACAAATGTTGTATATATAATTTTCAAAAAATAAATTTGGATAAATATAAAGATCACATACTGAGTTGTCACAAACGGTCTAAGTCCAATTTAGATACCATTGGGCTTATATATATGGAAACAAGAGATGGTGTAATCCTTCTATGCACACAAATGGGCTTTTAGCCTTCACATACGTACCCGATTTTTCTCACCAATTTGTAGAATATGTCAGGGATTCGTTATATCTAGTTTGAAGGAAATGAAACAATAGGTTCACTTCAAAGAGAAAGAGCAAAACAAACCAAAAAAAACGTTCAATCAAAATAGTAAGGAATAAGAGCAAAAAGAAACACTTATGACAATAAAAACAAAAAATTCGTTCAATCAAAATAGTAACGAATGAGAGCAGAAAGAAACTCTTACCAAAAAAAAAACATCCTCTTCAACGATCTCTTTATATCACAAGACTGTGGTCCTCACTCCGAATGTACATGTTATGTTCCATGATGGCCCCTTATAAAGGTTTCATAGAAATAGAGGGAATGTAGAGCATTCTTCGAGGAGTAAATAGCTCATAGTCATGAAGCTTCGACTTGAAGTCAATTCCATCACATTATGAAAAATCATGATCTCACAATCATCATCCAAGTTTTCTATCTTGAGAAAAATAGGAATGTGTAATCGTTGATAACGTCCTCTGAAGGTTGGGCCCCATTGCATTTGAACCGACGAGAATCTTCGGGAGAAAGTTCGTGGAGTAGATGTGGTACAATGACTTGAAAAGCTATGACCATACGTTAGAATCGGTAAAGCTAAACCTCGAGTCAAAAGCGATCCCACTTTTGGGCTCCACATGCCCGAAAGAATTATTCTCTCCGTTCGACTCTATTACTTTGACAGGACGTGCCACCAACACTCACTTCTCCGTGTCCGGCATAAGCTCGTGACACTCGTCAGTCAAGCTTGCAACACGCAATGAATCTCCAAACGCATAATAATGGTTCTTTCGTTCCCAGAGTCTTCTAATCGTAAAACTTCTTGCTCGTAATTAATTACAGTGCAACATAGAAAAAAGGCCTGTTCGCGTTCGGGGTCGAATCGACAGGAAAAAGTTTTTAACATCTTATCAAACACAAGGATAAAGTTGAACGGGAAAACGAGGACGCGTAAGAGTATTTACTACAACAGCAGTAATAATATATCAATAATTTTATAATATTACGAATATCCCATGTCACATCACTTGATGTTACGATTTTATGATTTACAAGAAATACTAGTCTTTTTTAAAAAGAGTAGAAAGGAAATAAAAATCTTTTATAAAAGAAGAGTAACTAATAATTCCTAAAACAACAGATCACTGAAAGAAAAAAGGTACGCTGAATTCAACCTCAAAAAACCAGAAATCCAGAAAAGAAGAACTATGACAGTTGCTCAATTTTGATCATATAACATCATCCCTCATGTATTATCACCACGTTGGCTCCCACCTTATTCCCTTTAGAAGTAGTCTCAATTAATTGACCATCTGTAATGGTAAATGGTAACTGTGTATATATAAGAATGGAATGAAGTTGCAAAAACAATGGACAACAAATCTGATTAGCATACGTCCCTTGGAATATGGACATTCATGGACTTCAATCACAAGCACCTTCGATCAAACTCATGCAGTTCAAAGATTATTGACTTCTCGTCACATTGGCTGTTCCAGATGATGGGCAAGATCTTCCATCGAGTAAAATTCCAGAAAGCAGAAATTATTTTGTATCGAGCCTTTTTCTTACGATCAGGCAAAGATTGCTTGCACCCTCGACATGGCTCCGTATGGATGGATGGACTGCACGCACTCACTCATGAGCTGCCCTCACTCGTCCATGGTTAGGGCAGATGTACAATGTGCTAAAGCTGGAAAATTCTGTGGAACGCCATGGAAGCTCCAGAAACGCTGTGGAACTCCATGGAAGCCTTTTCGAAAGCGCTGACTGAACTTGCGGGCAAGAGCAGGTTCGATTTGCCGTCGTGGGCAATTCCTGAGACAGAAATTTGTCCACTTTGTTCCCCTCCAACGAGCAGATTTTGCGCTACGGCCATGGTGCCGAGCTTTTCCTTGCGGGTCACAACAATCGTCATCGAGGGGTCCATGAGTGCAAACAACGTCCAACTTTCAGCAATATGCAAGCAAGATGTGTCTCCCGTCCCACCCCATCGACCGAGCCGGCTCCTCGGGTCCACTGAGCCTGCGAATCTAACCTGCTTGGTCGCTTGTCCTCACCTGTTGCGAGCTCCGACATTCTGATATAGTCGAAGGAGTCGCGCGTTTGGCTTCACGAGAAAACAGTCTGGACTCCATGCACATGAAAAAGCTTGACTCCATGACACGTTGTTGACGAGGACCATGACGAGCATCTTCTCCGAAGCTCAAGAAATGCCAATCAGGGCACGACGATGAAACTCTCAACCTCACAAGCTACATCGATCATGCGAATGAGACAATGCCAAATCCGTGAACGTAAACGAGAAGGGTCGATGGAAGCTTAGATCGAGGACACAATTGATATCTGTAAAGGTGCATTTTGGAAGTGTGAAGGTCCACATTTGATAAAATTAGATTGTTTACGATGTAGAAAAAGTCCGCAGGCGACAGGAAGATGTGCCTGCGCACCGTGGAGCGTTTTTGAGGTTATAAACTACTCGCGGAACCTTGATTTCTCATAGCTTGAGCTCCGAATGTTCATGATGATGATGATGACGACTACGCGTAAAGGAGTGAAGCCAAATAATCATGAGGGAGACTGGATCAAACAGGAAAAATTCTTTGGATGGTAGAAGATATGGCCAAGGTTCATGTTCTCGCTACAACACACATTTCTAAACATGACGAGGAAGATTCTCACCTGGCCTCGGATTCGACCACCTCGACGGATATACTTCCACCACGACGTGGGCTCAAATACATCAGCACTGCATCATCTCTCCTGAAGATCAAACCGTCCTTCACTAAGGCATGAAGTGCGGTATCTTGTGACAACAAGATAGTACGAGAGTAATTTCACTGCTTAGCAATGCAATTAAAAAAAAATTTTGATGGAAGTTGTGATTCAACAGTGTCAAGATGAAATCATGAACAAGTATAAAAGTATTTGGTTCAACAAGGAAGTTTTCCTGAAGTATAGATGTTGGACTGAATGAAATACTTACAGTGCAACGAGACAACGACTTACTGACTTGTCTTTTGCTGAACTTTCATACGAAAGGCTGTGTCTGTGCATAGCAACAATTCGACACAAGAGGCAAAGGATCACGCACCTACCACAGAGCGTCTGTAATTCAGTGAGTTTCAAACCCACTGAATTAGCAGTTAGTTGATGCTGAGTAAATCGTTTCTCATGTCATTGTGATGGAATGCGTGTTTGAAAATTAGCTTCAAATAAATACTTACCATACATATGCATTCACTAGTTACTAATGCTAAAACTTCTTGATACTTCTGCTCAACATGCAATGAACTGAGATCAATGAGACGATCGGGATGACGTCCACGAAATTGCTCTATGAGTTATTTAACTCACTTGACCAGCCACAATACACTAGTGGAAAAATCTTCTCATAGTTCAAATGTAAATTTCTCGCGCGAAAGCTTATCGTTTCTTCCGTTTTGCTTATCCACCTTGGCAGCTTGATGAAGTTGACGAGGCTGTATTTTCTACTTGGTTTAGTGTGATGTTTAGCTTTAAAGGTCCGTATTTATGTGACGCCTAATGAATTATAAATCGGGGGCATAGTATATACATTTCAAAATTGAACTGGTGGCAGGTCAAGTTCTAGAAGATGCGTTGTAAGAAACTTTGTAGAGTTAATATTCTATCTATAACTGTAAATTCGTTAAGACATTATGCAGTCTTAAGGGTTAGTTCATGCTTTTAGCGCGGCCATCAATAATGCCTAACCTTGTAGTGCATTTCTTCTCTATTAAAAGGTTTGTGTCATATAAAGTGATTTTCATTACTACAAGACACATACATTTAAGCTTCAGGCATAACGTAATTACCTATATGATACAAACACATGAGATTGCAGGTTTTCCGATAGGAACTGCAGGACACAGTTCTCAATGAAGAAATGACTGCTGTATTGGAGACGACCGTGTCCCTTCTCTGGTGATTCTGTTGGCAGTCTCCATTCTCGCTAAGGGGAGGATAATCTTCTATGTTGGATTCTAAAATAACTACGGCAAAAATGGTCAGGTTTGAGTTGATTTCCGCTTTATGTAGACAATTTCTCAGCTACGTTGCAATATCTGCCATACCTACCCCACCTGAGAAGCATCAGGCCTCCAGCACGAGTTCTTGCAGTGTACTGTTCTGTGAGTATGTTTTACTAAGAGCCAAACCCACGCGCATCCCGTCCACTGCAGCACTTACTATACCTCCTGCATGACCTGCTCCCTCGCCGATTGGATAAAGACCCGGAAGAGAAATGGACTCGAAAGTTTCAAGATCCCTTTCAATTCTTACAGGTGCACTCGTCCGTGTCTGCAGCCAAAGGAAGCAAGAGAAAGTACAAATATTAGGCTCCTAGCACAACCTCGTGGTCTACAAACCTGCACATGAACACGTTTGCATGCAAAGATACGACATAGTACGACGATACGTTTGCCACCATCGAAAGTTGATGAACTACCTCGACTCCATGAAGAAGTGCACGTTTATCGATGAATCCAGGCAACTGTATTAAAAAAAGGAAAAACAAAAATTAGTACATAAACTTGAAGTCTGAACTTGGTCGTGCGAGCTAGAAATTCATTTTATGTGTTATATTCACTGCATATGTCTACCAAAAAACAAGGTGTGTTATTTTAAGTCCTGTTTTACTGAATTTGGAAATTTGGAACAAAAACAGTTTAGGCAGAAATCACAAAACGAGTACCTGTTTCTCAAAGACGAGTAAAGCACTTTTAAGAGAGGTAATCAAGTTCGACGGAAGGATATCATGAAGGCAAGCGGATTTGACACCCAATCGGTAACTTGAGGATGGAAGTTCATTCTCTGCAGACAAGAGAAGCCCTTGCGTAAACTTTCCCATAACCTCAAATTTATAACGCTTTCGTTACTGAATAGACTGGCCTCATAGAATTGACAAACGGATAGAAAACAAGAAGCTAACATCGATCAGACCTGACAATCGATCATCTAGAAAGTCTGTGACGGTTTGAACAGGAGCAACGAAATCGCCTCCCCCACGCCTTGCAGCTTCTTGTTCGATAGCTCTCTGCCACACAGTTTTAATAAGTGGTCAGACATGCTACGTAGCATGAACTCTAACTTTTTCTGATTTTTTACTTGTCTTCTAAGATTCCTTTTTCGTCAGAAAATCGGAGATCGGAAAGGAGCGTAGTCAACAGCAACACACTGTATGCTCAGTACAAGGAATAAAGAAAATGTGCCTACAAGCAGTGACGTACGAATGTAACATTGAACCTCTGATAACATGAAGTGATATTAACATATTAACAACACAGGAATTTCAATATCAAAATACATAGCTGGACCGATTACAAGTATTAAGTAAGGGCCTTGCGAGGCTGTGACTGAAATTAAAAGGTGTGACAGTACATTGTAGCCAAATTAAAGGACGTGACCGTAGATGGATGAAGCTTGAAGCAAGAAAACATCTAATACAGTTCACGTCAGCAAGAAACAACAAGCATAACTTGTGTATGGCAAATCAATTCCACGATCAACTCCACTGACAGATCGGAAAAATAAAACTGCAGGGTTGCCAGAGGATAACAAAGAAGGGAAGTGCTTGTACAGATCTTATCGATGCTGAAAAAGAATCCAGACATAAAATCCAAGAAAATGGGCGTGCATCACTCTGCTCTCTTTACTTCCGAGACCTCATTAACACCCTCTGAGAATCTCTTCTACGTGAGCAAGATTGTCCTCCTCAAGTTTCAATAGAAAATCGTCGTATATCGGCAAAGTCTACTAACCCATCAAAATTTGCTCACTATAGATACCTGAAAAGCAACCCCGGCAAGTGGTCCATCCTTGCAGCCATAGGTTGAGAAGTCGGAGGAATCGACAGACACGACCAAAGCAGCATTAGCCCACTTCGATGAGCGCTTAGAAAATGACATGCCGTTGATGCACAACTCAGATGGAGTAGTACTGGTTGGCACAACCTGGAAAACGATACATGATAGAAGATATCAATTTGGTCGTTGTCTTGTTAGTGACAGCTTCGGTGTTCACAAAATCCATATCTTGATGTAGTATAGCTTAGTGACTCTTTACTCATCGTTTGACTAGAACTTTCTCAGGGCAGTCATGTCATGGAAGGCATTGTTGTTCTCTCATTCCTAGCCTCCAGCACATCTACAAAAGGAAAAGCATCGACTGGAATCTTCTCAAAGCATTCATGTCGTAGAAGGCATTTTGGTTAGTCATACCTGGCCTCCGGGACACATACAGAAAGAAAAGCATCCACGGCGGTGACCGTCATTATCATCAATGACTTCCCCGTCGTTACTAATTCCATCTGCCGCGAGTTTATAATCAGCTACCGGAAGTCTTCCTTTACCTTTTTGTACCTCAGTCGCGAACCTGTGATACTGAGGAGTACAGAATGATGATCAATTGGATTGCATGCAACCAGAATTTGAAACGAAATATACAGAAAATATAACAACCTGAATATTTCCAACAAACTGGCTAGTTTGGTGCAGTCTTCCTCTCTTAACCGTTTGAAAAAAAGAGCAGTTCTTACTTCATAATCTAAGGGTAGAGCCAGAGCTTGTGGATTCTGAAGGATCACAACACAGTTTTGAAAAGAGATGAGGACTGACAAGAGACCAACTCTTACGAACTATGCGACGAAAACGAACCTGTAACTCATTGATGAGTTCTTGAGGATGCTCAATGCGAAAACCAACCTGCGTAAGATGAAGAAAGTTCAGTTAACAATACCATGTACAGAAGTGGTGAATCTCATCGCACATGCCATTGTAAAAGGAAGGGAAGCCACCAGCGCACGAACACAGTCAAGTCTCTACTTCGTATTTATGTCTCAATTATCAAGAAAGAGCAGAACAGTGCAAGAAAGAACGCTTTCGGCTGGTATCTTTCAGGTAGGCGACTCACAGCAAACGGTTTCGGCGTCAAAACAACGTTGTGACCCAAAAGCTTCTCGTAGACGTCACGTGCTGAGTGGCCGACGCCAAGCACCACAGCATCTGCTTCCAACAAATCAAATGTATGTAATGTGTTGTCCACTTTGGAAACACGAACGCCAGTAACTCTGCCGCCTTGAATCTCCAAGTCTTCCATCTTTGTTCCAAACATGATCTTTACCTGGCCAAGATAAGTATGAGGATGTTAGCTAGGTTGTAGAGAAGAAGTCTTGAACTTAAGCTCTCAAAATCTAGTTACGTGCAAAAGTTCCAAAAACTAAGAAACTATGGAATGGCAGATCCATTTGTCATATGTACTGCTCTGAAGTGGTTAGAGATAGGATGACGTGAGGTTACGTACACCAAGAGCTTCCAAGTGGTGCCGCAGATTTTGAAGGATCCGCACAAGTTTGTCTGTCCCAATGTGAGGTTTCCCATCCACCATTACGTGAGGAGGAGCACCGAACCGCACCAATGTGGCCAACACCTACAACCTTCTTCCAGTCAATAAAACACTCACAAACTAGATATGTAGTTATTCTGAAGTGATAACAAGCCGAACTAGCCTATGACATATCCAATTCCGTCTCTTGGAACAATAGCTACCAGATAAACTTTTTTGAGAGAAGACGCCAACTGCGTATCAAATTAGCAGGTTTATTCATGTTCAAAAGAATCTCGCTTTTCTAACCTGCAATTCCCACTTCGATGCGATTGCTAACCCGACACAAAAGGCACAGCTATGAGGTGCTCACTGTTTGAACGCTGCTGCTATTTTTTCCAATACGTGTTGTCAACTTTCCATCGCTCCACGTTCCTGCACCACCCTGCAGTCCCAACGGTGAAAAGGAAAACCTCGAATCTGCAAGATGCTTTTGCGTCACAAATATCTGTCCACTTATTACACACCGTTTAGATACCTTCCACACTGAAAGGTATCTACTGAGAGCTCGACACTAAGGCTGTTCAACACATAGAAAACCTTGATCGTGAGGAAATCGGCTGAACAAAAGAACTGGAATATGAAACGCACCTCGCCATAGCATAGATTGCTATTCGGATCCAGTATTTTTCTGACCATCAGCGCACCAATGTCACGACCCCTAGTTTCAACTGGTTGACCTCTCTCGACCAGTGTGACTTCCACACCAGTTTCTACCAGCGTAAGAGCTGCAAATAGACCAGCTGGTCCGCTCCCAACTACCACTACCTTCGCTCTATTTCCTCCTTTACGGACCGGGGCCGATGGACTGCTCGTGTTGTCAGGAATGCTAGGAATTTCAGATAATGATTTTCTCTCATCCACATTTGAGCTAGAACTGACCGCTTCGGTATCGTGCAAACGAGCTACAATATCTAAAGGAGCTCTTGAAGACAGTGAATACTCAGACTTCCCCGGGACAACCTTCAATATGGAGAGAATGCTGCTTGCATCTGTTTCGGTTTCCATAAACTTCCTCACGTCTATGTCTACAGTATATACGAACTTTGGCTCCTGGAACAAAAGCCGACATGATGGTTATGCAACATCAGAAAGTCACAAAGATTTCATTGGAAGTCAGTGGACACGCAGTCTTGACGACGTTCTCATTCGTGTATACCAGGAAGATAAAATGCAGTATTTGCAAAAGGTGAGATGCATCCGAATTGAACTTTCAAGTCAAAATTTCATAGCTCTGCGAGAAGATTCGAACCTTTCGAGCGTCCAATGATTTCCGCACCAGAGTGAAGGCACTCTTATGCAGCCGATTGGCCTATTCATTCGAAACGAAGTTGGTAAGATAAGTAAACTGTGGAAAGAATCGTCTAATCTTGAGCATGTACGAACCAAAATCAAATCAGCGTCCAGAATCTCCTCATTACTCCCAACCAGCACTAATGACCGGTTCTATTCGCGCAACATGACGGAAAATTCGAAGGTAAGAATCTTACGCGGCAGGATAATAGCAAAGCAATTGCGTCCATGAGAGGGCCGTTGAGACTGAAGTCATCTTTGCCCGGGTCCAGTTCGAAAGGAACATCGATATTGAAGAGTCTCCAGTGTCCATCGCCCGAGCGTTCATTCACAGAATTCGTTCCAGAATCCTTCTTCTCTCCTCGCCTTTTCTTCCGTCCGGAATCACCTCGTTTACTCTGAGCTCTGCGGGCCTCACTCGCACTGTATTTCACCTTCTCTCTCTCGACAATTCTCGTTTTGCTGAACACAGCGCCCACACTGCGCTCCTCCTGCCGAGTCTGTGCTGCCTTCCCTGACTCTGTCCCGGACCCGGACCCGGTCCGAAGAGCGCTACAAGGCAAAGGACATCGAGAAATTCTCAATCCCTCGAGCGAATTTTCCGAAATCTTTATCCTCAATTTTGAACATCCCGCCGCGCGCTTCGAAATCAAAATCCATGTGCAGGGCGAACGCTGCTGCTGCTGCGCAAATTCACGCACGACTGCCGATGCCCTCGTCGCCGAGCAGAATGCGCGCTGCTGCTGCTGCTGCATCGTCATTCCCGGCAGCGCGCTCCCTCCCTCTGCGGGAAATCTCGACAACATTGCCCGAGCCTCATGGACACACACTCGACATCGTCCCGCTCCCGTGGCGGTCCCTCACTACGCTTCCTTGCTTCCGCGGCCCGCTTATCACGAAGCATGCGCGCCACGGCGACCGGAGACCTGTCCATCCGGTCCGAGAACATCCTTGTCGGCTGAATGATCCACTGAGAGCTTCCCCCAGGCAGTGACCGAACACCGCCAGCCGAGAGCGGGAGGACTGACGACAGAGGCGGATGAAAGTTACGACGCTCCCCTCTTTCTGTTAAGTTCCGTCGCACCAGCCAGCGGACCACGGTCCATGTCCGTGAGTGCAATTGCATCATGGGTTACTAAGTTTTCCCCAAGTCCAGATTGGCCAGACTACAACTTTCGATCTAATTTGTCGAAAGGCGTGGCTATTTAATATTTAGAAATTTTACTACTGATTTCACACATTACATAAATCAGAGATATATATAGACGATAAGTGGAAATATAATAGAGTACATGAAACTGTTATATATATATATATAAATATAATTATATAAAGCATCATTCCTTGTCATATGTTTAATATTTCTTTCGATATGTATTATAATTAAAGAAAAGAAATCATATCTGTAGTTTTAAATGAGAATTATCTAAAGACATTGTTCTTTTTTTCTGTTGAATATTTTTTCAAAATATTCACTCTGTTCAAAAACTATTTGTATTTAACATTGTTAATAATAATAATATCAATATTTCCAATTTTGTGTTTTGTTTTGTCGTCCTTGTGAGGATTGAACGTCTGTTGTGTTGACGGGGAAAGACCGACGCAGGTTTTTCCCAAGCGCTTGTCACGATTCACGTCGAATAATGTGTTTCCCAAGCTGCGACGCGAAGTTGGATACGGCCGCGACTCGTGACGACCCTGGCTCCTGGTTCAGACGTGGAACAGCGGGAGGGAGGTGGTGGGGCGAGAACATATGCTTGGGCTGAGGACGAGAACGACCGAAAAGAGGAAAAACTTTTCGGCCGAATCGGGATGCATGGACTGTGTGTCGGATATACGGAGCGGAAGAAGGCCCGAATGGCCTTATCGCCAGTTCTTGACACTCGAACCCCCGAACGCAGAGTCGAGCGAGCCAGAGATTGAGAGTGAGAGTGAGAGCGGTGCACGAGAATCTGCCGCGGTCGTCGAAATGGCCAAGTGTCTGTGCAGCTCGCTGTCCATCGCGTCGTCCTCGTCCGCCTTCGTTCAAACGCCCGCCTTCCTTCTCCGCGCGGCTTCTGCATCGCCCTCCGCTGCTTCTGTTTCGGGCAAGTGCGCTTTCTCGTCCTCGTCCTCCGTGTCCAGGATCGTCGCCAAAGAATCGGCCGGAGTCGGCTCGGAAGCCCAGGCCGAGGTCAGCTCGAGGCGACGGATTTTGGGATTCGGCCTGCTCACGGCCACGGGCTTGGCAGCCGGACTCTCCGCTCCCTCTCAAGGCAATGCTGCTCCGGCAGGTGGACGGTGTGAAGAATTCACAGTTGCTCCTTCGGGATTAGCTTTTTGTGACACGAGTATCGGCTCGGGAATCGAAGCTCAAAAAGGCATGCTGATTAAGGTGTGTTCCTGCCTGATGAAAGCATTCCCTCTCGTAGTGGTATCTGGATTGTCTGACCGGCACGCTCGCGGAAATTCGAGTTGGAAACATGAGGTTCACACGGAGAGAGAATTGTTGCATAAAAACAGATGCCTCATCGAGAGCAACGAACGCTCACGATTATGCAAATAGCTCGCGAAGGAATCAATTTATTCGCTAGAAATTGCCAGTATGCTCCAATTTAAAGAAGTAATGGAATCAGTTTGTAGAGACGGGGTCTCATCACAATTGGAAGGATTGGTGGACTGTACTGAGCCACAGCAAGAAAAAATTCGACAGAGTTATATTTGAAGCAGTACCAGTTTTAATCGAGACCAGCTCCTCACTTGCTCTCTGTTTTGGATGTAGGCTCATTACACGGGGAAATTGGAGAATGGAACCGTCTTCGATAGCAGCTACAACCGCGGGAAGCCTTTGACGTTCCGTGTTGGCGTTGGAGAGGTGACCGACCCACATAGGCCCCTTCTCAGAACCTCCATAGCACTTGATGTACCGGCTGTTGTTGGTCGTTCTCGAAGAGAGTGATGTGAGGTATCAGAGGAGCAATTCTGGAGCAGTTCTTCGAGGAAGTTCTGAGATCACGAGTAACCGAAATGTGATTTGGACCTCTTGACAGGTGATCAGGGGCTGGGACCAAGGCATTCAAGGGGCGGAAGGCATTCCAGCCATGCTTGCAGGTGTGTTCTCTTCCACCACTATCACGAAGCCTGAATCGTTACATCGGCCTTCCGAAGGATGAATCCGAGTGAATTAGATCTCTTCAATCTTATTCTGCAGTAGCAGAGAAATGTTGTGCCAGACATTCATGCAAGTTTCGTCGTCTAACTCTGCTCCGATCATGAACCAGGCGGGAAGCGTACTTTGAGAATTCCCTCCAACTTAGCGTACGGTGAAAGGGGTGCCGGATGCAGGGGAGGTGAGGATTTCTTCTGCCTTTCTTGGAGACATGACAGCTCACTCTATCTCAAAATTGTCTAGAGCAGCAGTTTGATTGGCGTTTCATACTTTGGAAGAACTTCCAGCCATCAAGGAAAGCATTCAAAACTCGTAGCAATTGGTGCAACTTAGTGGCTGGTCCTGATGCTGTTTGTGTGGTCCTGGCAGGATCTTGCATTATTCCACCGAATTCGACCCTCATCTTCGACGTGGAGTTTGTAGGAAAGGCATAATTCTTCGGGGCGATCAACTCAGTCACATGATGTACTACTATTACTGTCTTAGCATGTGCGTAGAAGAAATCGGTCCCTTGGCACACTCCACTCTTTATTTGAACACTTAATGTTCCCACCTTCTCTACCTAAGTTGAATCACTGAATCTTTTGCCTGGAATCAAATACTTGTAACGTGTTTTTGGTTTCCAAGCTGTCCCCTTCTCAAGATGATGAAAGAGAATCTCAAGACAAGATCACCGGTACCCATCAATAAAACAAGTACATGCCTGGATTGTGAGGGTTCTGACAGAAGGAATTTAAGAGGTTGCTTAGTAGCGGACTAGGGTCCACCGCAGTTCATACGGAATGAGACGCAATTGAGAATGCGCACACTGTCTCTCAGAGTCCACAGTCTACCTCGTCGACCCTTTTAGGATTTTCTGTCACCTTTGCACGATGATTCCTTATTTCGATCAGATTCCTTCCTGCGCTTCGTTAAGGAGTGCGTCAACAGCCGTTGTGCACTCCCATGCGCGTACGGGATCGAAGAAGACGGCAGCCACTACAGACGATTGTGCTCTTTGTTTGAGTTCACATCACACGAGAATCAAATTAGTGCTACTCCTGGCGCGAGGAGTAAACTTCACAGGCACACGTCAAGCGGAAGTGCGTGCATTGCGTCAGAGATTTGTTGCATATTCTCAAGTTGTGGGCATCTGCGTCGTATCAAAGTGCCGGCCGCAACTACTCTCTACAGAGCAACTCCCTCAACCAAAGCCTTTCACTTTACCTTACCTGCAGACCACCTTTACGAAGCCCAATTACATGAAGTCTGAACTACCTGCCAGAATCGTTTACGTCACATCATTTGTTGAGATGGAGAATTGAGAAAGATGGTTTTGATCGTATGTGCATCCACGTCCACCGGTTGACCTGAGATAGAGGATGAGTAAGACGTCGTGTCTGCTTTAGCGGAATCAGATTTCAGACGCAAACAAGGCCATCGAGGTGAACAAACTCATCAATCGACAATATGAACGTCACCCACAGCTGATGCACATGGACTGGACTGATAGCGGCGCGGACCTCAGAAGTGGATCATAAAAAGCTAGTGCTTAGTGAAAGGTCACGCAAATTGGACAAAATCTGCGTCCGTGTAGTACCTATTTGACGGGCAACTTCCACCTGCTGATCTAATGCTAACATGGTATAGTGGCAAAGCAGCTCGCAGTCCACGATGTTATCGGGGCCAGGCCTGTGAGACATTCCGTCGCACTGAAACTGCCTAAATGCACGAGGATTTAAACCCCCAACGTGAGGAACTACATCTACTAGTTTCTTCTGTAAGGCTTGAACTCTGCGGAATGTCAACTCGTCTAGTGGGGCAAGGAAGTCAATACTGCCATCGAGAGTGCCAAAAAGGACTGCAAACCTATTGGACCGATTGCATGTTGCTGTGGGGAGCATTTGCAGACGTAGGAACTTGGTCACGTGAGCCCCTAAGTGAAACTCGGCCCTCGGTAGCAGCTTCTGTCCTCTCCAGCTCTCCATACTTTTGGGAGCATAGGAGAAGATCTGTATGTTCTTCCGACTATCGGACACTAGAAGACTGAGAGTGGTACCATCGATGAGGAACTCGGTAGTGAAGCAATCCAGTGATGAGAAATCTTTGGCCAGGCAAATCAACTGGGCTCCTTCCTCCTTCCAATTCAAGAAGTAAATGCTCTTATGTATATCTCCAAACAACACAAAGTTCTTGACAATATTCAGGCTCACTACAAATAACGGTGCATCAAAGAAAGCGGCACCATTGAGTTCCGAACCATTCCAAGTGTGAAGTATGATCTTAGCACCGATCGCCAGAAGAAGATTTCCTTGAAGGGATGCTATGGCTGAAATACACCCTTTCATTTCTTTCGAATACACTTCTTTGACAGACACGTTTGATTCAGTCGAATCTCCCCCGACCGAAACCAGGATGATGCGGCCCTTGGCCGGTATATCCTCGCCTTGAGCGTACGCAGTCCCGATCGCCAGTAAGGTCTGCGTCTGTTCCGTCCCGGTGGTTTTGATGGTCACAATTCTCACCGTCAGAGCATTTTCTAGCTGGTGCATGGGGAGCGAGCCTTTGGTTTCCCACAAGCCGCCAACTTTAGCTGGCCCGATCATGCGCACCTCAAACTCTTCGGCGCACAGCAGATTCTGCGAATCGTCACCCCCACCATTGTCGTAGTGGTGGTCTCCACCATGACCTCCGCGATGGTCATTCGACCCTTGCACATCAGGAGCAGGTAACATGACAGTTGAGGAGATAATCAGGGCGTACAGACCGACGTCGGCATGATAAGTAACTTGGTGCGGAGTACTCTTCAGAGGAATCTTCTGGAGGGGCCAGTCGTTGTCGAAGTTCAGAAGGCTTGGCAACTGACAGATTTTGAGGACACCCTCATTTGTAGCATAGATCAGACCGTGACTGCAGTTCACGTTGTGCAAGGGTGTGAATGCAAGTATGGCCCCATCACAATACTGCGGATGCACTCGAATCCGCTCTCGACACACCATCAGCCACGCCGGCCTGGCCCCGGTCACAAAAAGTCCCTGCACGTTTCCGACATTTGAAAACCGCACAAACTTCGGGGTGATCCTCGGGCTCGGAGCTCCATCCTCCTGGTCATCTTCACTAACCCAATCCACAGCTGTCCTTACAAACCGCAAGTTCTTCGATGAAGGAAAGGACTCCTCATTGTTGACAGTGACCGAATCCAGCTCATTGCCCTCGGTGTCCTCGTAACTGTAAGCATGATAGCACAACATTGTTCCATCGCTCAACATGGCAAACAGAAATGGCCTGCCGAACTTCTTCCCCCAAGTTTCCATACAGACGTCTGTTACAAAATGCTTCGACTCATCCTGCAACAAGCTTTCCACTTCGACAACGCTCTCTGGCTCAGCTGCCTTGGCGGCCTCTTGCGCGCTGGGCAGAAAGTAGTTAGAGAGAATCATATTACCGTAGGTGAATCTCTTGACTCGAAATACACAGTCAAATCCAGGAAGATCATGGATCTCGAGATTACCATTTTCCCTACACAGGATACAGTACACACGGCCTTGATCCGTATTCTTCGATGACCACGTGGGATCGCTCGTTCTTTGCATCCAGCAACCGGGGGCCTTATCCGCGAACAGCGTGCATGCTGTAATGACACCCGCCGAGCTTTCCAGAATCGAAGGAGATATAATGTTTAGGCTACAGGAGTCCGGGTCCCCAACCACGAGCTGAGCACCACCGTTACTCATCTTGAGCAGGACGAAAGGATCGGCTATGGATGCCGAGACGACTTTCACCTCATCAGTTCCGAGCTCTGAGACCTTTGTAATGACAGGCAATTCCTGAGTCTTCACGACCCCATCCATAAGACGAACTCCATCCGCGTACACTTGAATGACCCGCCTCCTGCCGAAGAGGTTTCCTGCCACGATAGTCGGTCCCTGGGTGTAATACTCTGCCGATTCTGTCACCTCCCCTAAAGTCTCCCCGGTCTCCAGAATCATGGTTCGAACGTCCAAGCTGATGATCAGGTACGCGTGATACTCTTCTTCTTCGACCGGAGTGGTCTGGCCTTCTTTCAAGTGGTAGACAGTCCACACCCCCGAGCAGCCAGGCAGATTGACGTCCGTGATGAGATCCGGTCGGATGGACTGATGCAGCACCGAAACACTTCCATTCTTCCCGTGGCCCGAGCACGTGACCAGCTCATAGTTGCTTTGCTTGGCGACACCCGTGGCTGCCATATCTGCGTTCATCCGCAAGCCCTGGGCCAAGTCTCTGAGGGGACCGACATTCACAAGAGAGTCTCGAACAGCGAAGGAAAAGGTTTTCCTCGTGTTCTGCGAGTCCAGCTTCTCGGGAGAGTACAGCAGGAGCTCTTCGGCCGCATCTTGGGAGTCCGAGAGGGACTGCCGCTGTCTCTTGGCGGGGGGAACCTCGGACTCGATGTCCCCTTCCTTGGAGGCCTTTCCGCCACCATTCAGCCCGGCGACCGTGGGCGAATACTGCACCAGAAGGCTGTCCCCGAGCCTGCTTCCCAGGAAGAAAAACGTCCCTCCGACCATGCACATGCACGAGGCCAGAACGGAGGCTCTGGATTTCGAGAGCTCCAGCTTCTGCACCGTCCGCCCATCGTAAACCAGATACAGAAGCAGCAGGTTGCCGTTTTTCGTGGAGAAGAGGGCGACGTCGTGCGATATCCAAGTGACCTGAGCTGCGTCGAGCTCCACGCTGAGATTCGACTTCGGCATCTCGGGACTTCCTTCAGCTGCTGCGGCGAACTCGTTGAGAGCCAGTGAGCAGGACGAGGACTGATTGTAGTAGTGAAGGGTGTTGCCGCAGAGCACGAGCACGCCTTCGATGGGCGATGGCACAGCTATGAGCTTGTACGCGTCGTAAGGTAGATTCGAGGCCGACCAGAAGATGGTGTGCTGCATGAGAGTGGTGTTGATGCTGAGAGCTGTGATTGCACAAGTGTGCCGCTTCAATGCCACCCGCCCAGCCCAAGTGGGTTCCTTCTCGTGCAGGGACAGAATCACTGGTTCATTGTAGCCGTGCAGGAACACGAAATCTTTGACATGTTTCATGTCCAATTCCCGCAGGCTCACGACGTAGGACGAGGCAATGTGGGCACAGACGGAGGCACCTGGAGGCCCTGCTCCATCATCCTCGTCGCCCAGGCAATAGCCGACCTGCGCAGCTTTCATGAGCACCATCTGGCAATTGTACACCAGCATCCCTGCGCATCTGCCGATGGGTTCAGCCCGCACCAGGGGGCCACGGGAGAAGCGTTCGCGGCCCCTCTTCAGACTGTCCCACTCGGGCCCTTCGAAGTAGTGCAAAGAACTGGTGCGCAGATTGTGAGTGGAGTCATCGAACTCGAGGACGGAAATCTTGGCATCACGAAAAGCCAAAATCACCGCATCCCTGCGTCGACGGCCTTCGTCCTGGCGATGCGAGAGCACGGCCATGCTCTCGACGTTGCCGTGCAGCCTGTAGTGGCACACGAGCTCGAGCCACGCTGCGGAAATCCCGTCCATGTTGCCACCGCGGCGCCCCGGCTGCCCGATGGCAGAGATGGGCACGGCTGCATCGCCGTTGCTGCGCTCGTGGTCCTCTTGGCAGCGAATGTAGTAAACCTCGAGCACATTCGCCTTGCTGATCACCAGATTGGGCAGCGAGCTCACCACCGCCGGGCCCCCCTCGTCCACCCCATGGAGCCTCGCGTACTGCGACCTCACATCCTGGCTGATCACTTCTCCCTCCGCCCCCACGGGGCAGTGCGTCAAAAATGCCGATGCACACGTCTCCACTCCCGTGGGCGCGTGCACCATTTTGAATGCCGCATAGCTCATTGAATCGATTCGTCGCGCCCCGGAGCTCCGACTAGGTCTGCTCGAGCCCACGATGAAGCTTTCGCACAAAAATTGCAATCCCTACTCCTCCTAAACTCCTAAACCCTCGCCTTTCCTCGACGGCCCGATATCGCAATGGGCGCACATTCCAGCGAGCAGGTCGAAACCCCACGACGGGACCCTCGTGCTTCAACTGTAAGGCTCGGATTGGAGCACCGCGTGCTGGTGGGGTGGGAAAATCTCCATGCCGCTACTGGCCTCGGAGTGATTTGTGGGAGAGCTGGCTTCTACACCGAGCATACTAGGGTCTGCGACTGCCATGCCTGTGTCCTGGGGCACCGACGGTGTGAGCCAGACGTAGCTTGTCTCTGTGCTGCTTGCCAAAGAAACTGAATGCGGGACTCCTCGGCGAGCAAGAGAAGGGCCTCGCTGCACGAGCGTGCCTGGCCTTCATGTCGGAGGTCGGTCTGCTCACTTTTCCGTCATTCCGATTCCAAACTTGTGATCTGCCCAAGACGAGGAACCCGAGCGTTGGTCCATAATCTGCGTTCCCGCCGCCGCTGCTGCTGCAGAGGAGAAATGCTGAATTTACTAAAGCAGGTTCAAAACAACTAGGAGCGAAAAGAAGGAACTTCTGGAAGCAACTGATAGCACACAAGCACTGAACAAGCATCGAAAATGCCTATGCATCGAATCGAACATGCGGTTCATTACGAAACAAATCTTCACACTCGCGCTTCCCGCTCAACGAAGCACAAACGCTAGGGCTACAGCATTCAACGAGGAAAACTCCTCGAGGGCAATTCAGAAGCCTTTCCAATTTTGAACGCACAACAGCCGAAGCTAAGGACGATCGAATACACAATCCGAGGAGCTCAGCCGGAGCTTCAGCTTCGAGTCCGACCCTCCAAAAATCACAAGCTCAAACGATCGAGGACCTGAAAATCTGACAAATCCACGAAATCCAAAACCTCAAATCCACAGCGCATGAAAGTACCTGGGAAATTTCAGACTCTCATTCCGCAGTCCTTCGTTTCGAGCGACGCCCGCGTCTCGGTTCACTCGAACGCAGCTCCTGCTCCGACGAGCCGAGGTCGCTTCCAGCACGCATGGCGACCGAGGGGGACGGGAGGCGACGAGGACGCGAAGAGCCGCAGCACTGGCACCTGCTGCTGCTGCTGACATCCGCCACCGCACGAGACGCCACGAGACGGAGATGGTGAGCGAGAGCGAGCCCGAGGCCCGACGTCGTCGTCCGTACTCTCCCCTCGAAGCCGCGGTCGCTGGCTTTGCCGGTCCGTTATCGGAGTCTAATTCCCGTCCGTCCGTACATCGGATGGTAGAAAATTGCACTCTGCCATTGCTTCTATAATTGCACCAATAAATTCTTTCTTTTTTCAATTCATGTGTTAATTTTGTTTGTTATGTCTCGTTATCAGAGGTTTTCAGTGTTTCTAGGTAATCGAATGTATATTTCTTGTAAAGATAGAAGAATAATTTTTATGATAAATCTGTTTTAATATATCTCTATTGTTGACTTGAAGTGAAACATGACTATGTGAATACGTAAAGGAGATAAGATTCTTATTTCATGTCATGATATAAAGTTATCACATAAAGAAATTAGAGTAGATACTTCAATCTCCTCAAGTATTATGGATAACAAGGATACCAAGTAATTAGAGCAAATACAAATAATCACAAACAAATAAAGTGAGGAACTGATCTCAACCTTAGTTCACACACTTTTACAACACATCCAATATTTTCCTAATCTTGTTTAGGTTTATTTTCATAACTATGATTCATGCTCGAGAGAGTTATAAATGACTGCTATAGAAGGAAGAGTTAGCGTGCTATATTGTGGTTTTAGTACAGATCACAAGTAGTATAGCAGCTCAAAAGTCTAATTCGAAGACCAAAGACATTAGCATTCCACCGAAGGATAAGAACTAAGCGTGATTACATGTTTCTCAAATCTATTTTCAGTATGTGCTAACTGTGGAGTTAGGAGTAAAATTTTAAGAATTCACACTACCGTTGTGACATTTGTCAATGATGCTCTACAGTAATAGCGTTAATGGGACCGACTTCAGATAAAATTCTACGCGCACTACTCGACAATGTACCCTCTTTACTATTGTAATCGTTCTTCCCATTAAAGCTGTTCATGATCAGTTCCCGTACCTTAGACTCAGTGACCCCAGAGTAACGATGTTTTCGGCAGGCGGCTCGTAGCCGTTGAGGAGCCTTCATGGTCCCAAGTTTCACTGGTCTGCCACGTGGCGAATGAGAGCTAGGACTGCGTGGACAATGCCACTTGTCTCCAGTTTCCACGGATTTGGATAGACTGAAACATCGTGTTTTCGGTAACCTATATTCACAAATCGGATGTGTATGATGAAGCATTGCATCTGATACATGCACTGGAACCTAGTACCTGGGCTTACAATTCAGGGTTAGAATATTTGTATGTGTTCACAGACAAGTGACAAATGTTTCGGAAGTAGTCAGATCGTGGAGGTGGAGAGATGCAATATGAAGAGAAGAAGAGCAACAAGCATCACAGGTGTAAACGAGGATTGGAAACTCTGGGTCGGAAACCAAACTGATCATGCAGTGGGTGGCTGTGTTGGAGTCATTGATCCTCGGACGTTTCAAAAGGGGTGCAGCGAATTAATAAGAAGCGGAAAATGAATTGTCTCTCGCTAGCTTCTTCGTTGACGTGGTCTAGGGAGACCTGCCCATTATAATGTACAGATTGAGGTTACAGAGCTCGGATGGGTTTCCACTAATACTGAACTGAACTGACAAATCCACAACCGCAGTCCTTTCAAATTACAGTATGAACAATAAATACTCTTTGGTCACAACTCCGGCACCAGGACTGGGAAGAATGCGACAACATGTCACGCGCCTCGAAGGAAGCCCACATTCCAGCAGAAATTGCATCGTAGACCCCTGGCGACGAGACACAAGGAGAGGACAGCCTGCAGAAGGAGGAAGGAAGCAGCAGCAGCCTCGGAAGGTTCGACCCCAGCCTCGTTCTCAAGACTTGCGAATCTGTCAACGATCACGTCTTTTACTCAAGCATTGATTGATTGATTGATTGTTTCGGTCACATGTCCACTTGCCAACACTTGCGGATTGCCATTAGGATCTGCCTTCTCAGAGAGAATCATCCCAATTGTACCTTCCTCGGTCTGACTGCAAAGCAAGGCCTCGGCCGTGTCCAGCTTTCCAGTGTGCTAACAACCGAGCAGTGCACCCTTGCTCGCTTGAGTAGCCTGCCTGCCTGATCGCCTGCCTATAATCTGCAATGCTGAGCTGCTGGAGAGAAGCTTTCAATGAGCCACGGTACAGCTACCAGCTGAAGCCAGCCTGCCTGCCACTGCGCCATCGACCTTAGTGCAGCAAGTGCATGAATCTCAACATAGGTGAACAACATCACGATGCAGCCAACAAACTCATCAAAAGCTGGGACGGAGCCTCGGGATCTCCCATCCCATCGTCTGTGCTTGAGCTTCGATTCGACCTTGCATCCCCTCGTGCTCTCTGGTGCCTCGAGGAACTAGATTCGACAGAAGAGCCTCCAGACAGGGCACATGAACTGCACCGCAGAGACGACGATGCTTCTTGCTTTCCCAAGCAGTGCAAACAAACTCCGTTGGACACGAGGAAGTTAAGTCCTCGTCTATGGCTCTGCGGGGCCATGGGTGGTTGGTCAGCAAACCATAAGGCTTGGATGATTGAGATTCTAAGTCGAGCAAATTCAGAATTTGATGTTACATGGAATAAGACACAGCCACTTTGGCAGACGAATCTATGCAAACCTTCTACGAACTTGATTTTACCATCTAAAATGCCCACAAAATTGAGGTGCTGCCCTGCGTATCCGGCAGCAAGCAACCCAGTAAATTTTATGATAGAATAGAATTGAATTAGGAACTTCTATGTTGCCGAAGATTTCTATTGAATTGGGGTTGCATGAGGCGGGCATAGAGGCCGAGCTTGGTCATAAGCGTATCGTGGCTGCCTTCCTCCACAATCTGTCCGTCATGTAACAAAGCAACCGTATCGACCCGGCGTAAAAGGGCGAGGCGGTGGGCGACAACGATGGTGGTTCTGCTGCCCATGATCAGCTGGTCCAGAGCTTCCTGAACCACTCGGTTGGAATCGGCTTCGACCGCAGAGGAGGCCTCGTCGATCAGAAGAATAGGCGGATTCTTCAGAACCACTCTGGCAATGACGATTCGAAGCCTTTGCCCGGGAGATAATTGCAAGCCCCTCATTCCGATGTGTGTGTCGTATCCGTGTGGCAGACTGCAAATAAAATGATGAGCGTTGGCAATTCTCGCAGCCTCTGTCATCTCCGCTTCCGTTGCATTCGGTCGGGCGTACATGATGTTCTCTCTAATGGTCGTCGAGAAGAGCACGGGCTCCTGCTGGACGAGCCCCATGTGACTCCGGAGCCACCTCACGTTGAGAAGCTTCAAATCCTTGCCGTCCAGAAGGATGCGACCGTACTGGGGCTCGTAAAATCGCTCCATGAGCGAAAGCACGGAAGTCTTTCCTGATCCGGCGGTCCCCACGATGGCTACAGTTTGTCCCGCTTCCACCTTCAGATTGAAATTGTGTAAAATGACGATTTCCGGCTTCGTAGGATACATGAATTCCACATCCTGGAACTCCAAGCGTCCAGCGATTTGAGCTGGTTTCAGGCCCACGTGATCTTCGCTCTCCACTTTAGGCTTTCGATCGATGATGGCGAAGACAGGAAGAATGGAGTAGCGCCGTTTGAGGATGAGTGGGGCCAAGCCGAAGGCCTCGATCATCACAAACGTCACGAACGAGAAGACAAGGTATCCTCGGAGGGGACGAGGAAAGTCCGCTTCCTGGAATTGGGCATGACGCTCCAGAAGCCTTGCGCTGTACCAGAGAACCATGGCGTTGGAGGCGAACAAGAAGAACTGCGATACCCCGAAGACCAGGCCGCTCACTTGGCCTCGAACGAAGCTGCGCCACAGAGGCACTTTCATTTGTTGCTTGAAGAGATGCAGCACCTTCCTCTCGGCGTTGAACGCGAAGATATTGTGAATGTTTGCAACCGCCTCCTCCAGCACTCGACGAGCCTTGCTGTGCCCTTCACGGATGTCTCCAGAGAACCCCATCATCCATAATTGCTGCAGCGGTCAGAGTTCCAAACAACAGAGTCAAATTTCAAAACGTCTTCTGCATGACGACACCGGATCCACGAACGAAAAAACCGAGTGATGATCATGAGACGACGAGAGGAATGAAACGAGGACTCTGAGAGTATAAGCAGAATTGGTCATAGGACAAGGAACAGGGAAATGGAGCTGATACCTGGGTCACCGCTGCAAATGTCAGAGGAAGGAATGTAGCCAGTCCGACTACTGCAAGGCGCCAATCCATCAACATCCCCACCAGAAGTACCACCAAAATGGAGGTAGCGTCCTGTATTAGCACTGACAGTCTGTTGCTGAATGCGGCTCGAACATAAGTGGCGTCATTTGCAAGCCGCATAGACAGCACATCGATGCTGTTTTCCTCCTTATCAAACCAACCGACTTCGTTCCGCAGAATTGCTGGTACATCCGTGACATAAACGGTGTTAGATCGCAAACAGGTGCTGACCCTCCAGCATTGGCCTTGGAGTACCATGGCGTGCGGCAAAGGTTTACTACTCAGGAAGTTCTTCCGACGGCTGAATTTATAATCTTTGCGAAACCAGTTATCACATGATTACTTTTCCTCACAAGAAAGAAGGAACACATTCATTATCCATGATCCACAGACTGATAGGGATCGTGTTCGTGAAGACGAATGTAGGCACTCTCAACTGGCGTCTCTCCTGATTGTTCTCCCACAGACAATAAGAGATAAACAAGCCATTCAACGAATGCAGATCTAGCAGAAATATATGGCTTTGTAAGATCAAAACCAAGGCAATCTTAAACCTCAGAACAGTCAACCTCTAGCATCAGCAAAGCACCAGGTGAGGAATTAACATTCGAGCTTTTGACATGAGGACAGTCTCAGTTCCAAAGACCACATGACTTTGACGAAAGATACAAGGGAAGGGCACAATTCAGACGTCATGATATGAAACGTACCTGAAAACATCAACCGGCGCACCCTCTCTGTCATCTTCTCACCCATGATGCCGAAGTAAAAGTGTTGGAGGAAGTTTACAACCACCGTCACAATCCCCATGCCCATAATGATCAAGCACCACTTGCTCACTTGTTTCTTCAATTCGTCCCCTTCGGCGTTGTAGTAAGTATGTACAAGTTCGGAAAGGATGAAACCGAAAAGAGGATTGAAAGAACCGAAGAGCGCTGCCCCTAAGCTGCCTAAAAGAGCACAAAACCACTCTGGAGAGCTGAGCTTGGCAAGCCTCATGAGAGACGGCTTTTCTGAGAGAAATACCTCCGGTGGTTCATGTTTCTCCTCAGTTTCAACAAGCTCCGATATTGTCCTCGTGTAGTTCTTTGAGTGTGATCGTTCTCGTCGGGGGTCAGAAGTCAACAATGGGGAAACAGGTGATTCTGGATCAGACATATTGGACGATTGCCGCTGATGAGGAGGGCGAACTTCCAAGGGAGGAAGAGATGGCACCTCAAGATTCTTGAGTGATCCTTCGAATGATGTCTTGCTCGGCAGTGCTTCAAACGAAGTTTTCGGAGAGTGAGACTCCTGAGTTTGAGTTGATGGCTGAGCCTCAAGGTTAAGACTTTGAAGAGCTGGTGCATCAGGAATTTCGTGCCATCTGATAGCGGGGGCACTAAGGCCCATATGCTTGTCAAAAGAATCCGATGAAAAGTCACTGCTGTCATGCTTTTTGCCCGGAGGTGGACTCGGATTTGGAGGAGATTCGATCAACTTGGCAAAGTCCGGTAATCTGACACCGTTTTGTCTCTTGAGAGAAGGCGACTTGCACAGTGGGGGAGTAGCAGATCGGGGTGCTGTCGACGGAGGGGACAACTGATCTGATACTGGGAATGGAGAGACTTCAAATCTTCGGGACCTGCAAGAATGAGACTGAATAAGCAACAACTTCTTTCTGGTAAAAAATTGCACAAAATTTGCTCCACTCTTCTTCGTATGTCCTACCCTGGCGCCGAAAATTTTCAAAAAAAATCTCCCTCGATCATACTTCAAACTCAATTTTTTTGAGAGCAATAAAAGTTAATCAGAAACCCAACCACTGAAGTGTTAAGACAGGCTCTTACAAAATTCCCAATAACTAAAATGAAGATTTGTTAGTTCGATCCCTAGTTCCAGAATAAAATCACTTTGTCTGAAGATCATTCAGGGCTAGCTTCTCCACGCGAAAGGCTAAGAATCTCATCAGTGAAAAAATGAGGATAAAAAAAAAAAAAAACTCTGGTGAAGACGCTATCTTTGCTTCAATCGAGACGGTGAGTACCTTCTCGCCGGTTTGGCCGTCTCCTGAAACCGAATGAGGTCTGCGTAGGATCCATCAACTCTAATCAACTCGTCGTGCGTTCCATGCTCCACCAGCAGACCCTCTTGAAGAACTGCGATAACATCTGCATTACGAATACTGGCGAGCCGATGAGCTATCACCACTGTGGACCTCCCTAACATGAGAATGTCAAGAGCTTCCTGGACACTCCTTTCAGCATCTGCATCAAGATTACTTGTGGCCTCATCAAGAAGAAGGATAGGTGGATTCTTCAGCACAGCTCTTGCTATTGCAAGTTTCAGCATTTTTTCTTCGGAGAGAACCAGGCCACCATAACCAACCTGCATTCCACCAACTATGACTTAAAACCAACTTGATAGTAACCTGACTTGCAATATGAGAATAAGTAATGTGCTAACCTGTAAAATTCTGAGAAATTTTCTATACAGGAGGGTATACTGCCAAGACAGATTGCTGCTGTGAGGCACCTCAGTAAACCTATAACTGAATCGAAAGCTTAGCAAATGATGCTAAGAAAAGTAAAACGATTTCAGCTTTTTACATTTCCCGCTTATCAATGCATTCATTCAGCTTGTACCTGTGTGTCATATCCTTCAGGAAGTGAGCTGATGAACGTGTGCGCATGTGCCATCTTCGCTGCCTCTTCGATCTCATCAATACTCGCAATCCGACCGTACAGAATGTTGTCTCGAATGCTGGAGGCAAGCAGAGCAGCTTCTTGACTTACAAGGCCAATTTGGCTTCTCAGCCAGTCAGCTTTCAGGCCCTTGATATTCTCCCCATCCAGTAGAACTTCACCTGAAGGCATGATGAATGAAGATTAGTATGACAGGAGAAGTTGACCCATGATTATTCGTGATGTCATTCTGGCTTCTATCTCCCTTCGCCAATTCAAGATCTCAAAAAGAGAATCGGTGTTTAGGATCAAGTAAATACTTTGGTCAAGGAAAGATACAAACACCACAACTGACAACTAGCATTCAAGTAGCAGAAAGTGAGGAAAAAACTTTGAATGGAGTCTAAAGTCCGAAACAACCTCCAAACCTGTGCTATCAGCCTAGCTGAAAGTATATCCAAAACACTTAGATTGACGAAACAAACCTAATTGGAGATAATAGGAAGACAAATATTCGCTATAGTTACACATTCTTGCTCGGAGTTTTAAAATTTCCCAGATATGTCTATAGAGAATTGTAGTAAATTTCCAGGAAACGTAAGTTTTCCAGGCAGCAAAGATTTTAGAATGCCCGCACCTAAAGTTGGATCGTAGAAGCGCTCGATCAATGAGATAACACTGCTCTTGCCTGAACCATTACTCCCAACAAGGGCAACAGTCTTCCTTGCAGGTATAGTGAGATACAGCCCACTTAAGATGGGTATATCGGGGCTGGAAGGATAGCTGAAATATACATTTCTTAACTCTATGGTTCCTTGAACATCTGCAAGGATTTTTGCTTCCGGTGGCGGCGCAGGTGGTGGCATAATTCGACTAATCATGTCAAATAGCCTATGAGCAGCAATGCGGCCTTGGTCAAAAGCTTGGAAGTTGGTAGCTGCCTGATTCAGACCTCTGCATCACCACACAAGGCTTCAATATTGCGCTTGCTAACACTTACTAGTAAAACAAACTTGACGCGATACATTTTCCCTCGTGAGCTCTATCTTTAGCGTTTGTCACATACTTTTGGCCTTTGAGGTTCTATGACCTCCATTCAATCATCATACGACATTACATAACTAGACCAATAGACGAAAACAGCATGGCTTTAAGTTTGAACTCAATTTTTAACTGGAAACATATGCTTACAGTCCACTCAAAATAATCGCAAAAACTGCTGCAATAATTTCGCCGCCCGTCACGCCATGCTTCCTGATAAGAAATCTCCCAACCCAAAACTGTAGAGAGCAGGAGCACAGAGCAATTCCGTAGATAAACCCGAGTCCCACCCCTTGGACAAGGCTAATCAAGACGCCATATCTCAAGGTAGCTTGCAATGCGTTTGCATAAGAATATTTCACAGTAGTCTCGTTTGCGAAGGAGTATACAGTTCGGACATAGGATATTGCCTGCAGTCAGAATGAAATGAACCAACAGATTACTAGTGCCCCTCGTCTGCATTTTCTAGTAAACAGTTCCCGTACATGGTTTTTGGTTGACAGAAACAATACATAGTATCTCAGACCTACAAAGCGATAAAATACCCCAGAACAAACAGTCCAGATTAGAGAAAGAAGATTACCTGCTCTGCAATAGCAGCTGCTTCGGCATAAGCCTCCTGTACCATCTCAGCTAATCGATTGAGAAAGAGGTTGGAGATGCCTCCAGCAGCAACAATAAATGGCGCGGTGCCTAACGTTAACAGCGCAATCTGCCAGCAGTTGACAAACCCCACAGCAAAACCAGAGATACAGGTTGCCATATTGTGTACATAGTTCCCGACCTGACGGCAATAAACAGTAATGTCAGGTTTGACCAGATTCTTCCAAAATTTTAAAAGAAGAATCACAATATGTTTGTATATTTCACAAGAATCATTTACTCGATGTGCTAACTTACTGACGGGCTATAGACAGCTTATTTCACTCACATATCTTGCTTCCTCTGGGCAAGATAACCATTACGTGAGGTAAAATACCTAGCACCTTCTAGAGCACAGGATATGTGACTTATATCCTGTTCAGTCAAACGATGCATCTTGCTTTTCATTATGGCAGAATGACGAGAAAAACAAAAATAATGTACAAATATCTTTATCCAACATCACTTGCAAATAAATGCAGTTCTTCAATGACCCGTGTTTTTAAGACAGAACACAAAACTTAAAGCAGAAGAAAGACTGTAAAGATTTGAAATACACTTTCAAATGATGTAAAGGGAAATATACTGTTTATAAAATACATTTGAAGGTCTAATCATGGACATGATCGGCTGGTTCCCTGGAATACAGAAAATTTGAACAGGATAGATTCACAAAAAAACATGCACATTGAAGTTTCTTCAAGGAAAAGGAAGTAGAAGGTCTTGACAATTTCAAAGTTGTAGATATAAGCAAGTTTCTGCAAGTAAAGTCTTCACAGATATGAACCATCATCATTCTTACCTTCTCGCTTAGCACATATTGTACAAGTAGAGCGTCATTTGAAACCTGGCTGACTATACTCCCTCTACTGCCATACGTGTCAAAAAATGCCATGTCTTGTTTCAGCAGAATCTGAACATACTTTGATCGGATCACGGCAGCCTGCCGCTCTCCTGTGTATATCCAACAACAAATTTCTGCAAAACAGATAAAAGCAGCTTATTCAGTTTGCACAACACAACTAGCAATTCCTATGAAGACCAGAGGAATATCGAGTTAAAAGCAGACATGAAAAGCAGATATCTACACTAAAAAAAATCTAAAACGATCTACATTTAGTCGTAACCAACTGTGCCCAGACCAATTTGACATGCTAGTCGTTTCACCACTAATATGTTCGCTAATGAATGCTAGTAAAGCGAAAATCCGCCGACATACCTATCCAGCCAGCCAAAAGAACCCCTCCGGAAATGTACACGATGTAAAGAGCATACTGCACGGACATGTGACGTAAATCAATAAGTCGATGGATTGAACCGAGAACAATAAGGTCAATTAAAGGTACAATGCAAGAATGTGGATAAATCAAAACTCCAACGGATGTGTGAGAAAAAAAAAATTCAATAGAAGACTGTCAAGTCCAGTTTTCGCAGATGTAAGAAAAGGTCAAATCCCCACAAGTAGGAAGGAAACTTGTGTATCTCGAAAGACTCCAAGGAAGCACTCCGTGAAGGAAAGATATGCATATCTCTAGTTCAATGCAACCCTGGTACTTAGTTCTGTTGTAGATCCCATGTGAGTATCGGGATAATGTCTTCAGAGAGGAAGGAAAACATCAGATTCCATGATAATTTGTTCTGGGATAAACAATCCTTTACTAAATACTTTGTAAGATTCCTGTGACCTATTTTATAACATATTCTCAGTCAGCTGAATGTGACGGCAAGGATACACACTTCACTTTTAGGATCGACCAGATTTGATCGGAGATTAGTACTGGCTGCTTTCAAAAATTTATTCGGGAGCCCAATCCTGATGATGTTTTGTTTCATTCTTTACTTGAAGTGAACACTTGAAGTACATGTAGAAAATAGTAAGATGTGTGACTGACTTTGCTTCCAGATCACACTGGCCGGCGGCGAGTTTAGGAGTCTGAAAGTGGATTCTTTCTAGACGTCTAACTAGAACAGTTTGTATACCGAGAGAAAGGATGGCACAAACCCATACCTTAGAGCACTCATCGTTAAGATAGGCAACTGCGCTTCCGCCTTCAAAGTCTTGACGATAAGTGCCAAACAAATTGATAATTTTGCCAAAAAAGTGAAGAAAAAGAGGTAATGCCACGCCGTGCGCTACCGCCGCCGCGAAACCGAGGGCCATGAGCAGCCAATCCAGCGGCGTGGCATATGCAAACAGCTTCAAGAATGGAACAGCAGCTTGTGGTTGCTCGACACCGTCCAGTTCTTCACCTTGAGGTTCCTCATCTAGCTGTATTTGTTCCGATCCAAAGTCTAAGTAAGGTGACGGCGATTCTGGTGGTTCTGATACTTCAGACACGGGAGTTAGAGGTTGCACGTGCGGAGGTGACCACCCGAACAAGCCCCTCGAGATCATTGTGACGTCCTAGTCCTCTCCCGAGCACTACCCGCAGCTGCTGTTCTTTCGGTTGCTTTCAGTGCGTAACAGATGATAACCGAATCCTACAGAATCGATTATCGGGTCCCATCTTTCTAAACCACGACTCCAGGTTCGCAGTCTGTAATTGCACATTACAGATTTTGTATTTCCTCAGGAACTTAGCCCTCAAGCTCTCCTAGCTCTGCCTTCGCTAATCCACTTCACAGGTTTTCTCTTCGTAGAGGCTCGCCAATCCTTAGACTCAGCCCTCTTTTGACCCGGTCAACCTGCTCTTGTTCGTCTGTTGCAGCGATGGGTTCAGCTCGGCCGCAGATATTAGAAGCAGAACTCATGACCTCAGCTGCCAACTAATGCGTACGAGGTGGAGAACGTAATGCTGGGACTGTTGTTTCGGAGGACTGCAAACCGTCTTAAGTAACATTTCACCCTACATTTCCTAGCACCAGCGGGAGGTAGTCAGCGCCGTAATCTCTCGCAACACATCATCGATAATACATGAAGTGGGCACTGAGTTCAGACGGTGTTGTCCCATGTCTCTATCAGCATTTCTTCCTGTTCCCGCTACTCTGCAAATCATTTTCTCTTATCGATGTACACACACGACGCGATGCTCATGCCTGGAGTAGCGAATTTCTAAATGCGCAGCTCTCCGACACGACTTCTGCCCACTTGTTCAGCTCACTCCACTTCAGCGTCGCTTCGCTTCATACCAGAACGGACTTCACTCGGTACCTGTACTCATCCTCGTCCTCCGTGGGTCCTACTCGTGCTCTATTCCGTTCACGAAGACTACTCTCGGCACACTCAGCAGCTGGTAGACTCCAAAGAGGCAACGAGCGCAGTCTCCTTCAGCTCGCACTGTCTACTTCGGAGCATTGCGCCTCGGAGACGACACAGAAGTGTTGCAGTGAGCTTGTGCGCTGAATTTGTACTCTGTACATGACGACTAGTATTCCTTGAGCTCAAGAGGCGCATCCTTGTACTGTATACGGTTGTTGACAAAGGTTGGCACGCTTGAAATCCCTTGCGCTCATTTCTCGAGAGGCTACTACCACCTCGGTCAAACCACCGCTCTCTCAGCTCTAACACTCGACCCACCCTAACACACCTGGTCGGCAAAAAGCATATAAAACTCTGGCGATGAGATCAACTCCTCCTGCACGACTCTCGTTTCCTCTCTCTCCTCTCCACCTCGTCCTCCCCCTCACAACAGGAGAGGCCCTCTTCTACAGCACATGCTCTCCCGGTCCCCCCCTCACTACAGACCGACCACTCAGAGCAGCAGCGCAGTCCAACTTTTCAGCACAATATCGTCTCTCTCTCTCTCTCTCTCTCAGAGAGCTCGACGAAGCCTTGCGAAGTAGCTGTAAGCACCCACAGAGGATAGGTGAGGAGGGGGAGGGCCTCTCTCTCTCTCTCTCTCTCTCTCTCTTTCTCTTCTGTCTGGGAACTCGGACCTCCGAAAAGAGCTCGGGGAGGGAGCGATTTCCCGACAAAATCTCTTAGCTCTTAAAAACAGAACAAAACAAAAGTAAACAAAGCGAGCGAGCGAGGAACAATGGCCCGTCCTTCATCCGCGCTAAGCGATGGCTCCCATAGGCAGGGGATCTTCGCCTTCTCCTCCTCGCTTTCTGCTAATGATCTCCAGCGAGCACCAGAGCACAGCACAGCCTGCCTGCCTCTCTGCCTCTCTGCCTGCCTGGCCGCAGATCTCCCGCAATCTCGCCCCCTGTCCGCCTTTCGTAGCCTCGGCCTCGGCTGCAGCTTTCGGACCCCTGCGCGCTCCCCCTTTCGCACCAGCGCTGCTGCCAGAGCCTTCAATGCGCCACCGGGCGAACCCGGTCCGCCCGAGCCAGCCAGCTGCGCGCGGTAACCAGCGTCCCAACCGGCCATTACCGCGCTGCCCGGCGGTAGAAACCTAGATTCCCCGCCCCGCTCCTGCTGCCCTCCTCCTCCTCCTCCTGCTCCGGAGCCCGCCCGTACCCGAGGCCTCATCATCTTCTCCTGCGACGCCCACCGCATTCCCTTGCGCCCGCACCCGCACCCGCGCCAGCGCCCGGCCTCGCTGCCAGGGACGGGGCTGCTGCTTTTTCGGTGCAGCGCTCAGTGCCGCTCGGCCCCGTGTAATTAGACCTCTCCCCATACGCATACGCCAACGCCTTTGTGCCAGGCATCCTCGTGGGCAATCATCCTTCCAGTCGAATCGATCTTTTCCGTTCCTCCCATCCCACGCCGCGTGGCGCTCCTCGACGGAACTTCTGCCATCATCTGTCAGGCCTCTGCGGCCCGCGCCACCATCCATCCATCCATCCATCCGCACATCCATCCATCTCCGCCTCTCGCCCTCGGTGCCGTAACCAGGCGCTTCATGAGAATATTACTTTCCTTTAAATTATCCATTTCCTTCCCTTTCTCTCACCCCTGTCCCCCTGTCCTGTCCTGTCCATCCATAAATTCTCCCGTCCGGCCCTGGCGTCGATTTCTCCCACGTAAACCGCGGCTCCGGCCTTCGGCCGCGAAGATATTTTTACACCTCCCCTCCCTTTTGGGAACCCCCTCCGCTTCTCCTGCGAGGTGCTGGATTCTTCATCCATCCATCCGTCCATCCAATTATGGATATACCTCGCGTCCCGACTGCCCCTTTCGGAGAGCGGCCCGTCGGATAAAGAAGTTGGTTACAGCAGGAGAAATCATCACGGGCGACGGGACGTATGATTCAAGGTGGGGTGGGAGGGGGAGGACAATAAATATGCCGAGCCAATTGGGCTGCGCTCCATCATCACGGATAATCGCCCGTTTACCGCCGCTGTCGGGAATATTCCCCACAAACATCAGCAGGCAGCGCACTGTAATGCCCCAATTTGCTCTAAACTGCCGAATTTATCGAACTCCGACGTCCCTCGGACCGATCCGTCCGTCCGACAATCCGTCCGTCCGTCGGCCCCCGCCCCGCTCCCGCTCCCGATTCCGATCATCCGGTGCCAGTGAACGGCGATCAAGAGATCAAATATCGACGCTGTCAACTCGGAGAAGACAAAATCCCCATCGCTCGTTGCCGCCCCGGTCAAAAAAAAGCGTCGGGATTCCCCCCGGGACAGTTTAATATCATCCGGGTCCTTGTGATCCGATTCCCCAGTCAATCGCAAAACCTAACGAATAAACAACTCGCACCTTCTTTGACCTCCCCGGTCAAAAGCGGGGAGAAAGTAAGAGAAGGTCGAAAGAAAGATCGAAACCTCGTCTGCGATCGAAGCAAAGGCTCCTCCTCTTTCCTCCTCTTCGAATCCGGCCGCCTCTCCTTCCTTTCGTCCATGTACGGAGACTCTCGATGACGCTTTCATGCACATGCACCTCCCACCGCGACCCCATCTACTTCGCAGTCGCTCGAAGGCTCCACCTTCACCATGTCCATCCGCCGTCGTGGTTACTTGAACTGAACCGTGGTAGTAAAGTAAAGACGAGGTCCTCTTTGGCGAGTACAGTACTTTAAACGGCTCCCTACTCTAGAGAGCAGAGCAGAGCAGGGCAGGGCAGGGCAGAGTAGTAGAGTAGGGGGGAGAGGAGAGAGTAGAGAGAATCCAGAGAGCGCTCGTGGCGCAACACGTAGGCCAGAATATCCTGCCGTCGTTCGCTCTTATCCGGAAATCGGAATTTTTGTTTGAAGGAAACTCGTTTGTTCCGTAGCTCATCGGGCACCTCGAGAATGCGCTACGCGAGCACGATCGGATATGGCCTTCAATTCCCGGCCCAGCGGCACCGACTGGCACCGAGGCCGGGGCGGGCAGGGCAGGAAGGGCAGGGGAGGGGAGGGGAGGGGCGGGCAGATTGAGTGGGGTGGATCGACCAGGTTATGATTTGTACGGGGCTGACGGAGAAACTGCAAGGGTAACAAGAACCACGTCATAAAATATTGCAGCGGGTCGTTGATACAGTACCGCCGGGAATAGCATTATCATACTGCTAATAATACGGTCGCGACATGTGACTCCCGGTCGACCGAGGCACGAGAGACCCCGCGGGTCGAGGGAGGCCCCACCACGGCCCCGTCGGACTAACCACCGTTTATAAGTAGTAGCAGCGAGCAGTGGCCCGAGTCTTTGCCGCTGCCATTTTTAGACGCCCGCCATTCGAACCGACCGACGCCATGCAGCGCCCTCCTTGTGCACCGAGCTCCCCAACGGCTTTGCGCTGTCTCGGACCTCCGCCGGTCGCGGCTCCCGCCTCGCGAAAAAGTCCCCGGCGACCAATATCCGTTCGCCCCATCCCCTCTGGACTGGTTCCGGCCTTCCCGTAGCTATGGTGGACTTTGACTCCTGCAAAGCCGCCCTACGACGAAGTCGGTCTACTCCGTGACTCGGTCCCTCCCTCCCTCCCTCCCTCCCTTGCCTTCCCGGACCCGGATTCGGTGACCGGGTGACCCACAGCGATGGATATAGAGCACCGGTGATCGCCCGCCGTCCTCTGCCTCGGGCGACAACAGCCGCACCCCACGAAAGACGGTGGTGCTACGAGTGCCTTCGAGCAGGAGCAGGAGCAGGGGCAGCAGCGGACGTTGTGTCGGGTCACGAGCGAGCGAGGGGTTCGGGGGTTTAGGGGTTTAGGGGATTGGGGGATTGGGGGATTCGCCTGGAGAAGATTCTGCGGATGTGGGGGATTTCATGGCGGAAAGGAGAGGAGTGCGATTCCGAATGGATTAGTTTGTGAAGCCGGCGTCGCTGCGGTTCACTGCGGAGGTGTGGCCAATTCGACGAGTTTGTGTTGCGGTCGAGGGATCGGGAGAGGGCGCAATGTGGAAGGCAGGTGCTCTCGCTCGCGCGTTCTTATCACGGCCTCGCGCTTCCCTGTCTTCGCGATGGTCCGCGACGTCCAATCCTGACGCCATCGTCGGCGTGTCGCGACAGGTAGGAAGCCGATTTCGCATTCGAGGGATGCAATGCGCGAGGTGGTTTGCCAGAGTTGTCGTGCCGTCCGTGTCGCGCGAGAGAGAGAGAGAGAGAGAGAGAGAGAGAGAGAGAGAGAGAGAGAGAGAGAGAGAGAGAGAGAGAGAGAGAGAGAGAGAGAGAGAGAGAGAGAGAGAGAGAGAGGCTTCCGAGGGCGAGGGTCCGATGGCTCATGACCTAGTCCGTGAATTTCGTGCTCCGGATCTGTGGCTAGTGACAGGATTGATGCTTGCAATTGATCGTGCCTATAGGTCACTCTTCTGACAGTCCTCTCGTCTCGGTCTTTGCATTCTCCGTCCAGTCAGGGTTTAGCCACTTTTACGAGTGACTCTTCCACCGAAGAAGATCATAGTCATGCGAATGTAGTATCGATCAGTCCTCAAGCGGAAGAGGAGGTAGTTATCGCTATTGGAGGTAATGTCGGCGATCGCGTGCAAAACTTCAATAGAGCACTGGAGATGCTGAGAACTGCAGGAATTCGGGTAACAGGCCATGCTTCGTTGTATGAAAGTGCAGCTGCTTACATCACAGATCAACCCTCTTTTCTGAATTCTGCCGTCAAAGCCAGGACACGGCTGGATCCACACTCCTTGTTGCGAGAGCTGAAACGAATAGAATCCGAATTGGGGAGGATTCAAGGCGGAGTGCGTTATGGTCCGAGACCCATCGACCTCGACATTTTGTACTATGGAGCCATCACTGTCACAACGGAGTCGCTAGAAATTCCACATCCGCGGATTGCAGAACGCCCGTTCGTCTTAGCTCCTTTGGTAGATCTTCTAGACCCTGAAACTGTGGAAGTCAGTCCGGGAAGCTGGACCAAGCATCCGTCAGTGGAGGGTGGTGCGATTCAAAATGCCTGGAAGGGTACTTTTGGTGGAGAGACTTGTGTGGGCAAAGAGGGACTCAAGAGGGTGTTGCCCTTGGGCAGGACCTTGTGGGATTGGAGTCAAAGAACGCACGTAATGGGAATATTGAATATAACTCCGGACAGCTTCAGTGATGGGGGATCCTTCTTGGGAGTAGACTCTGCAGTTGAACAGGTCAGGAAGATGGTGTCCGAGGGGGCAGATTTCATCGATCTAGGAGCTCAATCCACTCGTCCTGGAGCCAGGAGATTGACAACAGAGGAGGAGATGGATCGTCTCCTTCCTGTTCTAGATGCACTAGCAAAATCCCCAGGGCTCGATGGAGTTTGTCTCTCCGTCGACACTTTTGACTCAAGAGTTGCTGCTGAAGCCGTCTCCAGAGGAGTTCATATTGTCAATGATGTTTCCGGAGGGTAAATTCTTTCACCACTTCCTACGCTCTTGCTGACGAGTTTCACAATTTCAAAAGTTTGCATCTGATTATGCCTAATGCGAACCAATCATGGCCTGATTCTAGTTTGTTTAGCTCCTTTCGATTTCCCCACCGATGCCTTAACTAGAATGTGCTTGCATTGGAAACCTTATCTCGAACGGAAGTTCAGTCCGTTTCACCGACAATTTTGTAAAGAATGTGTCCAAAAATTATTGCTGGACGGTCATTGTCGTAGGTGGCATTGTTTGATGTGGGCTGATTGTGAATGTTCGGAACCGGCAGGTTTTGTCCGCCTCCTGTTAGTTTAAAAAATCCGAATTGCGTCATTTGTACAGTTGGAGTTTCGGTGTCTTGTTGAGATCTCGTATTACACAACACAAACAAAGGGCCCTGTCGTTGACATACGTGCTGTCGTTGCAGAACGCTGGATCCTGCAATGTGGAACACGGTAGCAAAGCTAGGGGTTCCTTACATATGCATGCACATGCGAGGGGATCCTCTCACAATGCAGAACAAGCTGAACACACAGTACTCGAACGTTTGCTCTGATGTTGCTGCTGAACTTGCGTCGAGCATCAAGTTGGCAGAACTTGCTGGCATACCGTCTTGGCGATTGATCACAGATCCGGGTCTTGGGTTTGCCAAAACTGTGGAGCAAAATGTAGAATTGATCAGGCATCTGCCAGCGTTTCGGGAACAGCTCTCATGGAGAAACAAAGCTGCCTCTAATGCGCCACTCTTAATGGGTCCTTCAAGGAAAGGGTTTTTGGGCAAACTTTGTGGCATTCCGAAAGCAGAAGACCGAGACTTCGCCACCGCTGCTGCAGTTGCGATCGCAATTTCCGGTGGCGCCAATATCATTAGAGCTCACAATGTAAGGGCTGCCCACGATGCAATCAAGTTTTCTGATGCAGTTTATAAAGTGACATCATGACATGAGTTGGACCTTCATGATACAGATTTCTATTCTGTTCCATTTTTCTACATTTTTTCTTTTTTCTACGTTCTTCATATTCAGACAGTCAATCTCAAGTATCAGAACCGGAACTTGTCCCTCTGTGTTCATGGATGCCATTGAGCAATGTATATGGAGTATGTATACCAACGAATCGTACCAAATTGAAGTTGATTCGTCCGACATACCCTCGTGTGCAAAATAATCAGATTGATGCGGTCAATCTGATCATTTACACCGGATCGAGGACGTGTAGGACTTTCAAGGGTAGCTTTTCTGCCATGCAGGTGTTTTTACTGCGTGATCAAACACTTCAGTGTCGAGAAAAAAGTTTGTAACATAAGTCCAATTTCACTATTTACTTCGCAAGTAGTTTTGGACGGTCTGAATGTCAGATTCAGCTGGACATTCATTAGCAAGGTCCATGAGGCTGCCCTGGGCTTTCGTCGCAACAGAACAGAAAACGAAACCCCGAAAACGAGGCATGCTCACTTCACGGAGCTGCTGATCACTTCTGCCTTGTCACATATTGCAGGACCCGCTGACTGAATCCGACTCGATGGATAATTCTTGCAAACCGCTCGCAGCACAGGGTAGAAGTCGTCAGGACCTCGGAACACGTGGCATGGATATGACTTCAACACTCCCCAGTCCAGAAACCGACATCCGGAGCCTCAGTGAGGAAACTGTCCAGGGCTATATATTACCGAGTCAATGCCCCGGAAAGAGTAACCGCAGAGCTGTCTTCATCTTTCCTAATCCTGAGTTTCTCGTCTTGCTCGACGACATGCCTCACGGTCGTTCTCATCTCATATTCCCAACTGCTTTGACGCATCTGCTTCTGTCCTTCTCACTTTACCCCAGAGGTACGTGTGGTACGGTTGAACTGGCATATGAGACACCCCGAGGCCGCAATCTTTTCGAGCTGGATGAGCGAGTTGACACTGGGACTCATGACAAGGTAAATGTGAGCACCGGCGATGGCAGTTGTCCCGATCGTCATGTGAAGGCCCTCGATGGGCGGAGTTAAATCCTGAGCTGGCGCCGGGCAGGCTTTTGCGTCAGGGACTCATTTTCTTCGGCTCAGGCATATCTTGGAAATGCGCTGTTGCTGTGAAGCTTTCACAAAGTCCAAGCACTGCCTGCCTCGGGGAGACTTGGGCTGCTCTTCGTCCCACTCGCTCCTGTCCAAACACGGGACCTCGGACTCGAACGCTGTGGTGTCAGCCAGTGTTGGGATGGTCAAACGATAAGTCCCCACCCAGAGACGCTTCTGCGACTCGAAGACTTCCAAATGAGGAGAGGGACCGTAACCGAGCAGACCGGATCTTCTGGTGGCCAGTACTGCGAAGGACGATGACGTACGGAGGCCTGATGCTAGACTCTAGATCGGAGGGGGGATTCCATGGGAAACTCTCTGGAGCTCTCCCCGAATGCTCCTGCTGGGGTGCCGGATCCAACATGAATCCCATCTGCGAAGGTCGAGCGAAGTGCCATCGCTCTCGTTGCCGTGTGGGATCGACTCCAAGCGACCAGCCCGGCTAGACAAGGATGGCCTACAGACGCTGACATCGGGAGGCAATGGCCGGGAGGATCGTTAGGCAGGCCTGGCATGTGTAACGGAGTGGCATGCAGGCGATGAGCTTCTTGCAGCGGAGCGAATGAAGGCCCTCGCTCCCTCGACCGAAGTACGAGCCTCGGCCCTGGGAACTCCAGGCGCTCAGAGTCAAACAATCATCACTTCATGTGTCTGCCAAGCGTTAACAAGATGTCTGCATGTGTTCACTGTCTCACCTGGATTGTGCAGCCTTTGACGCTAGATCGGCCATAGGCCCAAAGCGCGTGAATTTGCTCGACCTGCGTCACGAGCGTCTTTCGTTCTGCGCGCCGCAGTCACTTTCGAACGCAGCTAGATTTGCGCCCGGCTGCCGCCGACCATCGGTCTGTAACGGCGGTTGCTGCAGGATCGAGGTGAAGACGTAAGCTCGGAGGATTTGTCAATGTTACCGAGTCGGTTTGCTGCAGTCCTTCCTCTCGTGTCCGATAACAAGCTTCAGCCCTCGTCTTCAGCTCGGCAGTATAAGCCATATCATACGACGCTGCGTCACACCTCCGACAGTAGAGCTTCATCCGTCTACTCTCAGCCTTGAAACTCGATTGTCCACGAGTTGAGCTTGAACTTCCCTGTCGAGAGCTTTCGCACAGTTGCTTTGGCCACGATGACGTACTTTGCTCGTGCCTTCCACATCTTTTCCTGCGAGAGTTCTGCAATTAGTTGCCCGACTCCGCCTGACATCCCACTTCCGGGATTGGAGCGAGTCACGTGTTCATCAGGTGCCCTATTAGACCCTTACAGAAGCAGCTATCAAGGAGATTCTCCACGTCAAAGATTTCAGGTTTGGTGGTTATGAGAGGATCGTTTCCATCGTATGCAGACGTAGTCGTAAGCAAATCAAAAATCGAGTTGAGTTAGATGAGCCCAGACTGTAGTTCTTCGAAAGATCCCTTTGTACTTCCGGCTTCAGTTTAAAAGAATCACGCTTTTGCAGCTATCCGCACTGGACGAGAGAGCTGTTGTGTAGTCGACGTGCGACGTACATGAAAAGGATTGTTGCGTGAACGAAACCAGAAAGACCCAAATCTCTGGATTCTGTGACATGTGTGTTGTAACCTTGTTTGCAACAATTCTCAATAAAACTCCATTTCGGAGTTTATTTCTACCCTTTGCGCTTTTCTGAGTTATTTAGCCTTAAAAGCACGACAGTGACCCGGAATAAGCTGAACACTGAACTAGTTTCTTCATGCCCAGGGGTAGTGAAATAAGAAGGAAGCATCGCGTAATACTTCCCGCCATACTAGCATCCACATATCCTTAACATACCGGAGCGAACATTGCGCAGATAAGGTAGACGCATCCATCAGAAAGTGTGTTAAGAGAGTCTAAGAATTCTGCACAAGATTTCTAGCGGATGCTTCCCACATACACAAGAGAGGGTCAGCTGAAAATATTTGCACCAATTCCTCGGAATAGTAAGGACATTTGCACCAGTGATACATGATAGGTCACAATTTGTCGCCAACGTTAGTCAATGACAGAAGTTCTAATGTACACTTGCCACGAAACCGTTGGTAATGAGGACCAAAGAAGCCAAACACATTATTGAAGTTCTGGCTAACATTCCCTTGGAGCAGACAAAGACTACTCAGTATCAAAGTTGAAGCAAGGAAGTAATATGACAATTCCTTGGCTATAATAACATCCTGTGATTGAAACTTTCTCTTCAGATTAGAACATACGAACATCTCTAATTGTTCTCTTAAGAAGACAATCAACAGCACCGCAAAGGAGGTACACTGCTAATCAATTTGTCGACGAGGACAACTGCATGACAAATATTCAAAAGGGCAGATTGTCCTTGCTCGATTGAAACCACTGGGTGAGAGTTGGTCCTTGGGTCCCGTAAACGAAAGCCATAAGAGATTGTTGCTGAAGGCGAGCATTTGTAACGCATGCGAACCATCAAACTGTTGCAACTTTACAATCATGAAGCGCTTGATGCCTCTTTCATTACAATTTCTTTCTCTGCAGGCGAGTCGGACACGGGGTAGTACTTATAATGAAGCTCCCCTACGTCGTCACCGGACATCTTCTTCCAACCATTTGGTCCAACATAGTACACTGCGCTCGGAAAGGACACAAACAGAAGTAAGAAGAGATATCATTAAGCTCATAAAAACACGCTTATTACAAGTCCGATTCGGAAACTGCTGCGTTATAGCTATAAATGCACGAGGATAACTATTAATTAATTAATATTAATTAATTTATTAATAATGCCAGATTAAAAATAAAAAATTGGTTACAGTTTTCCTTATGGTCCTGGACGAGATTGTTGCGAGTCGAGAGGACCATTCATGACGATCTTGTCAAGGGAGTTCAGCCATAAAAACGACAGATACTTACCACTCGCTACACCACCACTAGCTCCATCACGAAACGTCGCATGGTAAATAGAGCGTCGAGCAAGCTCCACTGCTTCATCAATGGTCATATCCCAGTGAAATCTGGACATGCGGCAAATAGAAGCCAGAATGTCAATCTCCACAAAAGCGAAAACAATACGAGCCAAGAATTTTTGATTAAATTGGCTAAGTTCAGTAACATGGAACATATACCGGGACAATGCAACCGGTTTCACACTGTTTTGTCTTTCGTTCGCGCATTATTTTCCTTTCTCATGGCTCACGATGGCTTTGAGACGCACGTTTGACTTCTAATTGAGTACTGATCACGCTGACTCTTCTTATTGATAAGACACATAGATCCTTCAGAAAAAATGCCTTAACACTAATCTCCCTTTGTCCAATGGGGCACTTAATCTCGGTCTGTTAGCTACTGCATTCTGAGGAAAGTTTAAACGACTGCACACCGTTTTGAGAACTGATGTCTCTTGAGCTTCTCCTTCAACTACAATTATCCTAAAAAGTCAATTTGTTCTCTACCAGTAAGTGCTAGCTCTATCAGTTAGTATCCGTAATAGCCTGATAAATACACCCCGTGCCCTAACTGAGCGCTCATAGTGCGTAGAAAATTTAAGTATACGGAAGACACTGTGAGAGAAGTCGGAAAACGAGAGACTACTTGAGAAAGAAAAGGCTCTCTCTTTTGTTGAGATGTTTCCCTACGGTTGAAATTAGTTCAGACTTTCCAGGTATCAACCAGGAAACCCCTTACTCATCAACCTGAAGGTTCTAAAAACCCAGGTGCACACAAAGTGATGTACCTAAGGAAGAGAAGAATACTCAAACTATTAATTTGCAAAGAAGACTAGTCGAAGAGGAGGTAAAATTTCTTTAAAAAAATGGGACAACTGGAAATGGGTAGTAAACTTCAAAAATTCAAGAAAACAGCATACGCTCTTGAAAAAGGTTCAACCATCAAATTAAAAAACGTGTAAACGGTATACACGATTGAAACATATATGAGAATAACAAACGTGCCAAATATCAAATTTACAAGCAGAATATGAAAATTCTATTGAATTGGTTCATTGGCATTTACTGTGACATGTCCCTACAAAACACTACCGGAAAACACCAAAACTGTAAGAAGTTCAGAACAGAGTTGAGAAGTTGTAAAGGCATACCCTGTATCCAAAACACCATAAGCGTACGTTGATCCTGATCCAACGGAAAACCGCCTTCCCTTGACTCTACCTCCTTCACTGTCCACATAGTAAAGGCCTGGGCCCTGCCAGGTCCAGAAGAGCTAATTAGTAATTAGCTACGGACAATCTCGTTTATCTTTTGCGATGCATGGTATACATGGAGACAGAGGAGATGGATGGAAGAGGAATGCAGCTTACAGTCTCATCCCAGCCAGCGATCATAGTACCCATGGATAGACCCATTCCTCGGTATGAGTATAAAGTATTAGCAAGTAATTTGGATGCGCCCGTCACGGAAATTCTTCGCTTGTTTCCAAGTTCATGTAGGCGGCACTGTCAGCAACCAAGAGTACAATAGAATCAGATATTTACTCCCACTGCTATTCATGTCATGACGGAACACATGAACACCGACTGAGGTACAAGAAGAGTAGATGGAAACAGAGCGTGAAGGTCCAAAGGCTTTCTGCCTTATAACCAAACGCCTGGTAGTTTCACTGTACAAGTGTGTATGAACACTATTGAGCAGAATGCTATGCTATGAAGGATGACCATTTGCGTACCAACGAAAAGGCATTCACGGCAAAATTCACAAATCCATAAAAACAGCAGAAGAAAGTATTTACAGCACGAATCCAAACCAAGGCAATAGTTCGTACCCGTGTGCCAAGATTTCTTTGCCAAAATTGACAATCTGCAGCACCTCCTGCCATAGTTCCTAGAAGATAAGGGTTTATCTCCAAAATTTTCTTAACGTTCTGAGAAGCTGAAACAGACCAGGTGATGGCTCAATCAGCGGAGAGACAATACAACCTTGTACTTGACATCCTCAGCTGACACAGAAGAAGATGAGGGCAGGCTAGTTCGGGAGACCAAAAATGCGCATAGGTGACGAGCTAACGCAAAAGCGACGGAAGTAGCAGTAAAATAATTGTCTTGTTTTGTACTATCAATGACAGGCCAATGGATATAAAATATTGACCAAGCGGGGAATTTTTATAAATCTATACAACCGAGACATCTAGCACAACGTCAATTTTTCCATTTGATCAATTGAACACTCATTCCAGCTATTGAGTTTACTGTAATTCCAATCTTGAACTCGAGGTACTTAGATCCTGTAGTGCTAACAAGTATTGTAAATAAAAATTGAAATCCACAATTAGGGGATTCCCGACTAATTTATTTATACCTTCTAACGTGGAACACTAGGCAAATAAACTATAAAAATGGATCATGGACTCTAATCTGTAAGTTGACACTGGAAACAAATTTAGCTTTTAAACCTATATATAGAAGCTAGAGGGTGGAAAACGCACAAATGTAATTTCCCATGCTTGCTCGTGAATCAGCTGCAACAATAACGCCTTCCTTAAAAACGAAGGCCAAGGTGGTAGTTCCATGAAGAGGCTTCACCATGTCCACAGCTGCTTTCTCGAACCCATCCAACTATCAACATCAAACAAACCCAGATACAAGTTTATGATCGAAATACATGAACGGAGACTGCATATAACCGACATCATATTCGATAAACATAAAAAAATGACTTCTCTAAAAAGCATGTTCCGGGTCGAGGATCACATGGACTTATACCTAAACTCAAAACTGTCACCTCGGTGGTTCATTTGTTGACAGACAAAACTGTTCTTGAATGACGCAGAAAACTGCTAAGCGTCCACCTTTCGGAAATGGAGCCCTACTATGCTGAATTGCGAAATCACACTACACAGATTGCAAGTCTGAGGCATCAAACATTCCGAACAGATGTAACGAGAGGAAAACAAAGAGAAAAGTTAGGTCGCTGGATAAAAAAAACTCACATCGGCGACGGCGGGCAAGTCGAACGAAGGAGCAGAGCCGATTGGCTGGCATGGCAAATCGAAACCGGCATCGGCTTTGGGACGGTGCAAAGTGACGGGATCCAATCCGCTAAAATCGAGTCTCATCTTGGACAGCTGATTCTTCTCAGCGCAGTGTCACTTGCTCGACAGATCGGGTCACTTTCGATGCAGTGCAGCCAGAGCAGGGCAGAGAAGAGCAGCAAAGCAAATCGGGGCCTCGGGCGCAACGCTGTGCAAGAATGACCGCCGGGCTGTTCGCAACGTCTGTCCCCTCTGCCCTCCCGCTCCCTTTGCCACTTCCTCGTCTCCCTTCACGACAAAATAGCACTGCACATCGTTCAAACCCATAAGCTGCAACCTTCGACTCTAAGTCATCTGTGTATTATTATTCCATGTATATCCTTTTTCAAGTCAACTAATCATCCTCTATTTATCACTATCAGCCCAAAGAAGTTCCATCACGTTGCTTGTGAGACTATCTTTCGGTTTACATCAGTTTTGCTATGTCATTGCTCTGTTCTTTTTAATTTAATCATTATCTACTTGTATAATAGATTCTAAGCACTTTGAATAAATTTCATATTTCCGATGCCTCTAAGGTATGAGAAATATGTATCCCATGTTGCATATTGCATTCTTCACTTGCTAAAGAGATACCATATAGATGTAATTTTCGTGCGCATTAATCTTTACACATTCCAATAAATAAAGGCTAGCTAACCATGATGTTGTTGGGGATATTGTGTTCAGTATGGCACGTGGAAGATATACTTTTCAAGGGGAATGATTGATGATTTACTTTGAATTTAACTAAGTTAGATATATATTTCGTTTAGTAAAATCACGTTAGTATTGCAAACCTCGGCTTCTACACTTCACATTGTTTTTTACGGAATGATTACCATCTTCCTAGATGGGCAGCTAATGAGCCATAAGAGCCAAGGTTTTGTAGGAAAATAATTACAAAGATTTCCTTTCATTATTCTCTAACCTTCGAGTTATATAAACCTACGCATGCCTTCTTTGACAGTTTGGTGTAAGAAAGTGTATGAGAGTCTACTAAGTTATGCAGTAAGGGATAAATATATTTTAGTCCATGTGTTTCAATTCTTATCTAAAACCAGATGCTAGTGCTATACATATGAAAGTAAGTCCATTAAGAGACTTACCTAACTTAATTGTTCGTTTGACCTATATAGTCTATATATTTTATGCAGAATCTCAAATTTTTTCTTTTCCGATACTATGAGTTATTATGACCTTCAATTTGTCAGTCCTCGTCGCCACCATCCAGCTTGAAGTAGTCTTCTCGTACTTCTTTCTATTTATTTTTAATCTTTTATATATATATACTGATTATGTACCCAAAAAAATCTGTACTTACCTGGACGCGTCTCAAAATTACAGTGTTTGGTGTTTCAGATTAAGGTAATACGACTAAAGTCTAAGGCTCAAATCGGCTCTTGGAAAGTCGACAAAAAAAATTGCAAGTTTTCATTTCTATATTCACTTTAGATTCAGTTTCAAGTAATTTACAAACGGACACTTATGATGTGAATTCATTTTATTTGATATGTTTGCTTTCAATACATACTCTGCTAACTTATAGTTTTTAAGTATATATATGTATGTATATTGCACTTTTTCACTAACACTAAAGTTTGACAATACAAAACTTTCCTAAAAAAATAATGGAAACATATGTTTCACAGTTTTTGATAGATTTTCGGAATGTTCTTTGCTATCTTATATTAGTGCTACAATTAACGATGAGTTAATACTAGTCATTCCATTCATACTTCTATTTTAGCCAAAATATCTAAACTGAAATGATGTCATATTTATGCTATAAATTCAATAAAAAAATGAAAAAGGTGCATGTGACAAATCTGCTATCATCTTTGTTTCTAATTAAAATGTGTATCAATACAAAATATAACAACTTCAAATTTATAATCTGAAAAATCTGTATTCACCAAAATAAACACATTTTTCTCAATACTAATCTTTTAAATCGTCACCTGGATTTAACATATTCTATCACATAAGCATTTTTCTATATCTTTTAAAAAAATGCATGTTTAAAATGTTATATACACAATATCTCATATAATTGATATCAAATGTATTGGTGTATGTGGAAAGGAATCTAGAAAAAACATTCAGATTATATGGAATCTATACATAACTATAGTTGTTGTTAAGCATAATGATGTTAAGATTAAATACGTGTTATACACATTTACACTTCAAAATTATATGATACTAAACAATTTATAGAATATAATACAATCTTGGTATTTGATGAACCAGAGATACGTTGTGAATCTCAGATATTATGTTAAAATCTTTAATTCAAATGCGATATTGAGTTTTTATAATGAGATGTGACTTGAGAAGACAAATGATGTTTTTTATCATTCTAGACTCTGAACAAACTTTATATACATTCATTTTTACATTATATTTAGTTTTTATTGTTTGATACCTCGTTAGGTATATGTATCGACTGATGATCTAGATATGTCTAGGGTTTGAAATAGTCAATCATAATGATTCAAAATTTCCATACATAGTTATCATTTCAACTTACTTCTTTGACAAATCAAATTTTATTATTTTATACAAATATCTTCTCTTCTTTTTAGCATATCACGATCCATATCCATGAACATATTGCTCATTAATTCAAGATGTATTCAATGTGTGTGCTGTTTTCTATAAGACTATTTTCACACTGGTCGAGTGTTACAAAAATATTTTCTGTTGAAAGAATTGAAATACATGTAAATTTTTTCTAAAATATACGATTTATGAAAAAAACTTAGGTTGTAATATGATTAGAGTAGAAAGTTAAAAATTCCTAAATTTTAGATATTTATTAAGTATTCTTCTAATATTTATTGAAATTGAAGTATTCTGTATACTGTTGATAAACATTCACCGTTATCTCATTTCAAACACTAACTTGCATTCTTCTATCATTTAGATGAAAAGTATCAATTCAATACGGAAATTTAGAATATATATTCAGCTGAAACATATACGATAGACAGAGCTCGTGTGCTTATTTTGAAAAATCATCATACATTGTATGTTCAGAGTAAGGAAACCTTGAATGATCACTATACATGCGTTTATCTTCCATAATCGGAAAACAGTTCCGATCACCTCAATTAAAATACCTCTGATGAGAAAAACATGATCCTAATTTTGTATATAAGATCGTTTGCCCGAAAAAAAATCGCTGTGCTTGTTATCTCACAATATTCCAGATGAGGATTCGAAATACTGCCCTAGTCTTACTTTGCAAATCCTGACGAACACATCATTGTCTTTCAGTATAACTTTGTTTAGTACCAACGTTAAAATCTATAACTGAATAATGAGAAGGTTGGAGCAAAAGGTACTCGAAGCTGCTACAAAGGAATGTACGAAACGAATGAAGCACTCACTCACTCATTCACGGATTGCATTGTAAAGAGCCAAAGGGGAAAATTATAAAGACATTCACCCGCAAGAGAAAGGCTAAATTGGGTTTCACGAAGGAGAAAACCCAAAGCGCAGTAGTCCGGAGAAGGAGAAGGCAAGAAAGAACATTAATGCTCGTGATGACACGAGTACCAAATTTTAAGCGCTCGCAAAATGGGCGAGGACCGAATGGAAAGATTAAGGAGCATCGGGGCCATCGTAACTGGAAGGGAGGGCGATCAGACATTGCGCTCGGAAGAGGAAGAACGTAAAAGATCACGGACTGGCGTAGTGAGTCGCGAGTGTGTTGGGTAACGGGCGGGCTTGGCAGGACAGACAGACAGACAGACAGGCACATGCCGATGACATCCAGGGCCGCGCCCGCCGTCGGAGCAGCACGGAGAAGAGAGACGGTGACGGAGGAGGAGGAGGAAGAGCGACGAGAACGCGCAGGCCGAATGCTGCCTCCGCGTTTTGTCGACAAAAGTTCTCAGAGGCGCTAATTCCGGGCTTCGATTGGACTGGACAGTGGCAAAATTCGACTGGATTCTCCGAAGCGAGTGCTTCGATTTGCGGACGAGAGAATAGGGTACTTTGTGGGCTGCAAACGATGCGCCGGGGGTGAGCGGAGCAGGGCGTACAGGGGGTGGGGGGCATGTGTCTGCCTTCTGGCGGGCGGATGGAGATTGTCGTTGCGAGGGTATGGCGGGAGATTCTAGACTGCCAGTGGAGATTTGGGAGATTGAAGGAGTTTGAACGTCGGAAGGGGCATTTTTGATACGACAAGTGCGTGAGCAGGGCTGGGCAAAATATTGTAGCTGCCGGGAGGGATGCGGAGCAGGGAGAAAGCGAAATGGTGGATGGATGGTGAACCTTGGAAGGTGCGCATGCAGACGTTGAGAGTTTGCATCGAGGGATTTATGCGTTCGAGAGTTGCACATTATTCTTTGAAGATGCATTTACGATGTTCTTGTTTCTCATTACCCACCAGCTCTCGAAGTTCAGATGCTCGTCGAATTCTTTGGTTGCATTTTTTGCTTATGTGGCCGATCGTCTGAAGTTTGAAATCGTGGGGAGCAATTCTGCATTGTGTTTGACTCTCTGTCAACGGCCGTACACACTTTCACATGTGCAATGATCTTTGGAAATCTGATTTAAAGAGTCCTTCTTGCCGAAGCACCCTCGCAATGTGAAAGTCCACATATGTGATGTATAGAAAAAACCTACACTTGTACGATTGCGAGTCCAATCTGAGCTGTCCAATGTTGTGTTGATTTTTATTTGTACTGGTTTATTCAGACTTCATCACCCCTCGTCTTGTAATGGACAATGCAACCATTTGCTGCCGAGGTTTGAAGCGTGGATGTTCAACAAGGCATCTGACTGCGTCAAGGCTGCAGAGATAAATAATAGGTCGCAGGCTTATGCATTAGATGGTCCTCTGCTGGGTCCGCTTTTCTTCTCACCGGGAGTACTGGCACATGGTACGGTTGTGATGTTTGAAATTGGCAGGCCTTCTCGTCTACGCAGTGAGCAGTGTGCACTCCAGTTCGCTGGACAACAACTTACTCAAGATACTTTGACGAGCTATTAGGGCTCGGAAGACCTTCTCAAGTAGCATAGAGGTAGATACACAATGGTGGAGGCGCAACGTGCTTTGCTCGATGAGCTCATGGGCACTGGTATGTTTCTTGTAAATTGACCTGGAACGTTTGTGAGAGGAAGTTCTTGGAGAGGTTTTCCATGCGAACCGTGTCGTTGTATGTGCTACTAATTAGGCTCAACTTTCATGAATGATTTTGAAGAAATAAACAGAGTGGAATAGGAAATCAGAATCTGTCCTCAGTCTATCAAGTTGTTCGATAATACATGCGTAGACGATGATCTCAAGATTTTAGAAGGCACCGACTTTCTTGTATATTGCATTGTGTGTTATTTTCTTTGCGATCCATGTATTTGTGTCCACACCATAAATATGGTTAGAAAAATATTAAACAGAGGAATAACCAAGAGTTTCAGCGTTCAATCTGGAATTTGTGGAACCTTTGCATATTTGGGAGACAGGACAAGTGGAACAAAGGGTTTCTTATGTTTGAACGTAAAAGCATCGGTCACTGGCACAAAAACTATGGTTCCATTTCCCGTAAAATGATCTGCTAAATTGTTTGATGCTGTCCAAATATCATGGGTTCTTGTTGAGAGTGGTATAATTTTGCATTTCCTTGTATTATCCACCTCCAAGATAGTTATCAAGAGACTTTGTGGAAGCTAGCGAAGTCCAAACTTTGTTAAGGACCTTCTCGTGTCTCTCCGTCTTGATCAACTCCTCCCTTGTCTTGTTTGTGAGATTATGCTGGGCTTGTTTTGACTCCATAAAACTTTTGGTTCTACAGCTCGAAACCTCACAGCAGAGGAAAAGAAAGCGCATAGGGAGGTGCGGTGGGATGATAAGGAAGTGTGCGGGTGTTATCTTGTACGATTTTGTCCGCATGATTTATTTGTTAACACCAAGAGCGATCTTGGTACGCAAAGACCTTTCACGGCTACCAATCCTTGCAATTCGATTTGTTGTGGAGCTCGATGGCTCTGAACATACTCTTCTGAAGAATATCAGGAGGAATATATGTTTCCGTGTATCTTCCATCTTAGATTTTCAATTTTTGAATGTGCTATGTGTCAGTTCAGATCGTTATTCTGACAACTGACAAACTTTCCTGGCAGGTCCATGTTCTAAGATTCATGATTTAAAGTTGAAAGAAAGGTGAGATCCTTTATACCATTAGTTTAGTTCCTCTGTCAGAAGTTCAAGGTGATGCTTATAAGCTCAGAGATCAATACTGGTTGTGTTTAGTCTAACCCCATTGCATGTCTTGTTTGTTTGGGATCAGTTATGAGCAGTCATCGCGACATGATTTGTACGTGCCCAGATTTGAAGCTGAACTGGCTCAGTTTTGTGAAAAGCTGGTGAGTTCATTCTCAGTCCCTCGACTAGTGATGGATGTTGATGTATTTCTCAAGAGTTCATATCAGAGTTCATTTCATCTCCACAAAGAGTATCAAAACTAATCAAAACTTATTTTTTGGATCAGGTTCAAGATCTCGACCGGAAAGTTAGAAGAGGGCGAGAGCGGTTAGCCCAAGACGTTGATCTTGCCTCCCTGGTTCCGATATCTGTTGAGAAAACAGAGCAGCTAGCAACGATCGAGGAAAAGATTAAGAAGCTTTTGGAGCAAAGTGAAAACCTCGGTGAAGAGGGGAAGGTTGATGAAGCACAAGCTCTTATGAAGAAGGTATTGTGAAGTGCAGGAACATGTGCATTGGTGCGATAGTATTGTAAAGACGCTGGTTGTATCTTCTCTAATATTGTTGTTTGTACTTATTATACTAAACTACAATTTGAACGTTCGTGATACAGGTGGATCTCCTTAACGCTGAGAAAGCAGTTGTTATGCAACAGGCATCTAGTGAGCGAGGTTTGATTTTATCTCAAGAGAAGAAAATGGCGTTGTGCGAGATATGTGGATCTTTCCTCGTAGCCAATGATGCCACTGAAAGGACACAATCACACATGACTGGAAAGCAGCACGTTGGGTTTGGGATGGTTCGAGAGTACTTGGTACAGTACAAGGTTTGTCACAGAAGGCACTCTAATTGAATCTTTTCAGTATTCCTGACATGTTTATCCCCACCATAAGAATCGGGTAGGAAGGATTTATCACCTCATTTCTGCTTTCTGTAGATCTGTTAAGCTGCTTTTCTTGTGTTGAAAATCAAATCTTTTAATACCATCTACTAGCGAAACTGATAACATTTTGTTGTACTTAAATCTTATTGGACTCTACATCTTATCCAGGAACGGAAAGAGAAAGCTAGAGAGGAGGAAAGGTTGAGTCGCGAAAAGGAGTTAGACGACAAAAGGAAGCAAAGGGAGAAGGAGAAGGAACTAGAGAGGCTTAAAGAGAATGGGAAAGACAAAGAGAGGGAAAGGGAGAAGGAGAGGGAAAAGGAAAAGGAGAAAGAACGGGAGAAAGATCGTGAGCAGAGACAACGGGGCAGAGATAGAGACAGAGATAGGGAACAGAGAGTTGACAGGTTCAGAGAAAGAGACAGGGATCGTTACCGAGAAAGAGGTCGTTCGGGGAGAGACAGAGAACTGCGGGATAGAGATTGGGATCGAGATAGGGAGCGTGAACGGGACAGCGGCAGAGATCGACTCGAGCGTGAGCAGTGGCATTCTCGATCTCGGTCACCTGGCTTGGCTGGATCTCGGTCCCCTGTTCGGCACCACAGTAGGCGAAGATCGCGATCTCCAGATCACCGAGCATAGGAAAGAGAGTAATTGGTGGTTAGTAGTTTTCTGCCATTGTTTTCTAGGCAGTTATCCCAATAATGTTCATGACCTAGGTTGCTTCTCGTCTTATCATAGAAGTCTTGTAGAACAGTTAGGAATAGTGGTATGGAATCACTTCAAAAGGATTTTTGCATATCAAGGAATCTACTTTTTGATAGGTTTAGTCGTAGATGTATTGGCTCCAGCTTCTAGGAACGAAGTCCTATTGACGGTCAGTGAAAGCGGTAACCTTGTGATTGAAGTTAGTTTGCTTAGGCAGCAGTCTTCTTTTCGTTTTGTCCAGCTCGTTTTTTGCTGCCTTCATGTCAAATACAAGTATGAGAATACTAAGTTGTAGGCATTCACTACACTCAATATCCGCTACGCTACCTGAACTAGCTATATTCTTGTCTTTTAGTAGATTTTTTGTCTTTTTCCGGTGACTAATGTGCCATTTTTGAAACTTCGGAGTGGTGACTGCACTTACGTTGTCCGTTTGCTGTGCATGTTGGTCTGCTGTCCTAGGCTGTTAACCGGTTATAGGAAAGGTCCCCCAGGGTATTTTTGTTTGCATGTGTCCATCACGAACCGAAACCAAAGCACAAAACACCAAACTGGAAATTATGATAAGATTTGTGATGAGTTTTTTCCAGGAGTGGTCACCTTTGTTGGATGGATATCACCTTCACCCCTCTTCATCTTTTCTAAGACTGCAAGCACATGGAAGACGCACTGCCAAAGAGGTAACCAGTTTTCATGATAGAAAGCCGTGCAGAAGTTGTCGACGGCTTCATTTATTTTGAGTTGGTAATGCCTAAAAAGGTAGATCTTCGCTGAATCAGTCAGAATATTGCTCATCTATGCTCTTGAAACTTGCTGCGCCTTCTTTTGTGGGATTATGAGACGGTCACTGACGTCTTCACTTATGATGTCATACTTCCTTCGAGGCAGAACAAAGAATCAAGAGTTTCAGATTTCGGGATATGTCAGTGTCTGCCGCTTGAACTTTAATTTCCTTGGCGAGGACTGAAACATCGCAGGATCTCGGAAGGTATTACTAGGCGTCGATGTATTCTATTTTCTCAGTCTTGTGATGTTAACTAAACTTTAGAAGGGTTATACGCAGCCGTAATTCGGCATTCAGCTCACGTTTTACAGACAGCTGGACCACATCAGTTCGACTGTGTATTCGAAGGCATTTTGCATCAAGTAGACGCTGAACGAGTCTAGCCATCGCGAAACTTGGAGCTGTAAAACCGCGAAAGAGAAGCTCACTAAGCGGGAATAGTATGAAGCAGATGCTGGTCAAACTTGACTGTGCGTCACCTCTTAGGCAGCTTATATTTCCTTTGGTTAAAGTCCTCCGGTTACTGTTGTAACAAGGTGGATAGGCGTTCCATGCGTATACTTGAGTGTTCGGCATTAGGTGAAGTGTGTCGTTGAGACAATTCCTAACATCTGTCTTCTAAGGTGGGTCAATACAACTGAACCCTCTATCAGGAGGATGTCTAAACTTACAATCGTGGCTAGATATACGAATCCTTTCTGAACCCCCCAACAGCCCTGTGCAAATCGCATTTTTGAGAGGATATTAGGTCTTTCAAAAGGGTTTTCGCAGTGGTCAGGTGCAAAATTGGAGCCTTTTGGGAATTCTTTTGGTATGCTGGAAAATTTATGCTTTCCAAATACAGATTACACGACTTAACCCAACTTCATGAACACATGGAAACGAAGTTGACAATCTCTCTGATTTTTTTTTTTTGGAAGCAACCCATGGTCTAAGCACCACTCCTCAACACGAATTTCAGGATGATTCACTTCAACTTCCCAGAATGAAGTTTCCAGAAGGATTGTGAGATTGACACTGTGGGATGCCAGTGATGAAGAGAGTGCAAGATTCATATTGTTGAGTCGAGGACACCGTACAATGGTCTCTTCTGTCAGACTTTTAAACCATCTAAAACGGCAGCACCAAAGCTGGCCTCATGAAGGTGGGAGCTTTGTAAATCGCATTTAGTCCCGATACAGCTTTGAGAAGCTCTTTACATGAGTTCCTATTTACGTGGGCTGAAGACCATTCGCCGTAGCTAGCTAAAATCCCTTTGTCTGCTGATTCTCACGTCGACGTTGCACTGCTCGCGACTGGGAGCTCGGATGATTGCAAATGTCAGAAGTTCCTTGGTATTATATGTTTTGGAAGGTTAATTTCTTCTGAAAACTTGCAAGAGGACATGTACTCAAGTTGAAGTATCTTCAGTGCTATTGCAGCTCACTTCCTTCTGTAGCCATCTGCTAGTGCGCGTTGTCACTCACTATCAAAATTGGATTGCAGTCGGATTTTCCCTAGAGCTCCATTATCGGAATTCTGGGACTGAGTGTCTGTATCAGAATGTAATCTGCTGCTCAAAAAAATAACAACATCCCGTCGAGGAACGCTGGTGGTTTGCTAGCTCTGCAATTAAAACTGAACAAATACTGTGCACAAGCTCCTGTTGCCTCTCACGACAATCTTCACTCAAGACATAATGAAGAAACAAAAATTTGTTTACAATTACACTCCGAGAAAAAGTGTCAACTCATGAGCACGTCAATAAACGCCGCAGTAAATAGAAGGCATACTCCACATTTGTGAGAAGTCTTCTCAAGAAGTCTACCTCTACCCCCAGGCCATGCTCTAAATATACCACCACCGATGGAACAAAAGAGGTGGCATTCAGATGGCATTCTTTTAGTTAATCGACGATAGAAAGGAGGCGACATTGAATTATGCATTCTTTGCATTCGAATACACACTTTTTGGTCTGAAACCCAGGTGAAAGCGTGGGTAGCGTATGTTCAATTGAAAAGAAAGAAGAATTATTTATCTATTAATAATCATGGCTGATGTTCGCAGCCCGGGGAATTTGTATCTAGGCTGTAAAAGTATCCAGTCTATCTTCGCACCACATTTGGTTAAATTCCGTGGCCAAGGGAGAAGAAGGAAATATTAAGAAACTGAAAGCGAAAGCGAATGCAAGATCTACGGAAACAGAAACTTAGAGGAGAAAATGTTTAGAGTTCGCGTCGCTCACGAAGTAACGCGACGCGACCGCGGCAGTGCGTCGCACGACGGAGCTGCTGAGTCGCAGCTGGGAGCTGCAGTGAGACGCAGTGACAACAGAGGGAGGACTTCTTCGTTTTCTTCCCCACTTCTGCACACAGGACCTGTACCGTCGATCCGGCAAGATCGGGGCCGTCAGATCTAGGTTTGCGGATGTCATCATAATTGTTGGAGGAGTCAGAGTCCCGTCCTCTGAGAATTGCTGTGTTACGAGGATCGGGCGTTCGACCTCTTCTCTCTCTCGCTGTCTCGTTCCTCTCCCTTTCCAGCCTTCGTCTTCACGATCGAGAGTCTGCGCTTGCTGCAACAATGACGGTCAAGAGGCGAAACGGAGGACGTAACAAACATGGCCGAGGCCATGTTAACCCCATCAGATGCTCCAATTGCGGTCGTTGCGTCCCCAAGGTACGTCAATTTCCTCCTTACAAGTTATTGGACACTTTAGGGTTTCATCGGCTTCCCACAGTGGTTTCTTTCCGGTAGCCAATGTTGTGAGATTTAGGTTTCCGACTTCGAGATGTCTAGTCCATCGTCGGAAGGCGATTTTATCACTGAGAAACACGTTCGTTGACAGGACAAGGCCGTAAAGAGATTTTTGGTCCGCAACATTGTGGAACAAGCAGCTGTTCGTGATGTCCAAGAGGCCTGCGTCTACGATGGTATGGGCGAAAATTTCTATCTCTAATCACTGAAATTCACTTCCTCGGCTTCCCGTTGCCTTAATATTGATTCGCCAAACATTAAAGTATACTGTCAACACTGTCAACGAAATCCTAATCCTTTGGAAAAATTTGTAGTGAAAATTGCAAGTCTTGTCCCATTGAAGTCTTCGGGAAGGCTGCTATGAAGAGATCACACACTGAAATAAGCGTTTGATTTGCAGGATACACTCTGCCCAAGCTGTACGCCAAGATGCAGTACTGTGTATCATGTGCCATCCACTCGCACGTAGTCCGAGTGCGATCTCGCGAGGCACGCCGAATCCGCGAGCCTCCCCAGAGATTCCGCCGCAAGGTATTACACGATTCAACCTTGCTGCATATCTATTTCTACCTATTGTTCTTTTATCTTTGCAGACTCTTATTCCACTGCGCTTCTGTTGGATGATCAGGAGGACGCTCCCGCACGACCTGCACCCGGTGCCCGCCCTGCAGGACAAACCGGCCCTGGTCCACGATAGATGCTTTTGCGCTTGGAGGGTAGATATAGCATCACTTTTTTGGGCTATCGCTCTTACCAGCTCGAAGAGCATCACAGAAATCGGTAGCAAGCATATACTCGAGGTTTCCCTGAATTACACAGTGGACTTTGAGAAAATTCTTGCTGATCCCATTTATTGTATCGAGGGTGCACAGAAGGGACATCAAGGAATACAAGTTTTGACGCTCACTGGCTGATACCAAAAAACTGGTGTACAATGACGCCAATTACCCACTATGGAATTTCGTGTTTCAGATATCCCCACCGACTTTGTAGTAGTACATTTGGGTGTCTTGTCCGATTTACGGGTATTACAGTAACTTTTCCGCTCGTCATCATTCTCTTGGTTTTTCGTGTTTGTGAAATGATTATCTACATGGAAGACAGATGCAAATGGACGTTGTCATTTTTCCGATTTGGCCACGACAGGATGTGTCTTAGCTGTACGGATTTCTGTTAGAGATTTTGCTGCATGATACCTTGTAATTTCCATAAGGCAGATCGATGCGGAGAGCTCTGTTCTGGGATGTCGTGGATCGACACGCTGGGTTCTTGACATTCCTTACACTTCATTTCGCACGAGTTTTGATATCCCGTTACAGTTCTTCCTTATGAAGGACCCAGCGTTAGGTCTCAAGGTGAAGTGTCAAGGTCTCGTGTTTAGGTAGTTGTTGTGGACGAACTTAAGTTCCTGGCTAGGAAGTTCTTGGTTAGCCACATGCTGCGTATAGTTTCGAGGTCCTGATCTTCAAGCTCCTGAGTGAACGAGTAGAAGAGGGAATTTAGGTGTCGGTGTACGTACTATGAGTACAGATGAGTACAGATTCCAAAAGAACCAACTCAATCCCATACGCGATACAATTAGCATTGTCAGCGACATTGCCAGATGAACGCAGGAAATACAGTGCCGCACTGTCCCACTGGGTCAAAAGTGGAGAGAAGAGGATGTTCTCCATTAACCTGCAGCGTCTATTTTGCTCAGTTGACTTCACTCCCAGGATTGCATGATTCTACAAGATGGGATATCATGTCGCCTGCCTGCTTCTGCTTTGCGCTCTGGGTAACTACAGGTTTTACCAGCATCTCTGCTTCATGTGGCTTCATCTCTTCAGAGCCGGGAAGCAGGTACGTGGAGCTCGGTAGAAGCTCCTAAGTGGTCCGTGTATGCACCGAGTAGAAATAACTTCATATTGTCGATGGAGTGTGAATTTCACGCTGAACAGCAGTACAGTTCAGCAGCTCAGTTTGCAGAGCATCAGGAAGAGGTGACTAAGTGGATCATTAAATCCATCTAGATAAAAGCCTTATGGTTTCAGTTCATTAGTAGAGAAGGAGAATTAGTGATGACGTAGGTCTTTGAGGTAATGTGCTTTAGTGCGGTGCAGTGCTTTAGAAGTGTCTGCATGTCTCAGTCTGATAGACCATTAGCATAGAAGGAGAATCAGTGATGACGTAGGTCTTTGAGTTAATGTGCTTTAGTGCGGTGCAGTGCTCTAGAAATGTTGTATGTCTCAGTCTGAAAAACCATGCTATCCTGTGAGCATCACGTTGTCCATTGCCACAAGGGACGATTGACATCTGCCTGTCATGTTATTTATGACGTGCTACATCGGAAGGTTTGATGGAAGTTACATGGTCTTGAGAATCGCTTGTCATATTTGCAGTCTGGGAGAAGGGCAGGTGGGATTATTCGTTGACGGAACTGACATGATACACACCCAATATTATCTTTCGAAGTGTACTGAAGATGGGAAGAGGCGCAGGTAGTCATGTCACAAAATAATATCTACTGGAACTAGCAGTTTTGCATTAGTAATTCGCTACGCACTGAGACAACAGTGGATCAAGTAAACACTTAGCAAAATATCATTTCAGGAAAGTCCAAACCATTAGAATATAACTTGCATCACCAATGTGTGGGAAACAGTGAAAATAGGGAAATATTGCGTCTATCGACATGAACAATAGGTGTGAGTAAAATTATGCCACTCTGCATCTTTGTAATAAAGTCACGGGTGAAATTTCGTCGAATGAAATACATGATCATTGTAGAAAGAGTAAGATATTTGTCTGACAATATACCCCACTAACTAGATATGCTTAAATAGCTGACAAGAAACGAGATAAACTGATGCGCTCATTGAAACTCAAAGTATAAAAGAACTAAAACTCAAATAATAGAGAATGTTGAAGTTTGATAATTGATGTTATTCTATCGAAAATATATTCAGTTCATTAAACCATTATTAAATTATTATATTCTTGCTTCATATTTAATGCACCACATTTTCATAAGAATATCTAAAACAATATATCTACAAAAAAATAAATCCATATTAGAATACTTTCTGAAATACATTATGTTCCCAACAGAATTTAATTATCACAATATGATAAATATATTCTTGACAGAATCACATTTAGATAGATTGTGAATATCATGTGAAACACCTGACTGAAAAAAAATTGACATATCGGTTAAATATGTTCTTGATGTGATCCATCAAGTAAATATATTGTGAAACATTTAATTGAAAATTGGCAATAATAATATAGCGATAGCATATGAAAAGAACACATATCTATCAACCTGCACAAGTGAAAATGAAAGCTTGCTACAACTTGAAAACACCATGCATGTCGCAAAAGATAAGTTAGCCACGACACGCGAAACCGGAAGAATTGCATACTGGCACATATCTGCATGTTGCTTTGCAGGTATACTTCAGAAGATATTAATCATGGCACTTTAAAAGGTGGGCAAACTAATACATATCAAATATGATAAATATGTGACGGAAGGAAATTGAATTTGAATTGAATTGAATCCGAAACTTTGAATTTATAACATGAAAATGAATTGTATAAGTAAGAATTGTACTTTAGCAACGCCCATTGAGAATCATTGATGTTTACATGTCAAGGTTAGTTTCACTCTTGAGACTTTAAACTTAATTGACAAGATAGGTACAAAGAATACACATAACACGAACACAATTGAACATGTATAAATCTGGATTGATCTCAAAACCCTTTGGAAGTAAAGGTGAATACAATAGAGACATCAAATTATGTATACTGAAAATAATGTATAAAACAGTCAACTTCATCTTGCATTTTAAAGATACATATCCAGAAAATTAATTTTATTGATTAGATGAGTAATTTCATTTTGTATAAAATTTTTAATTTTTAGAAAGTTTTGATTTTAAAATTTAAATTGATTGGCGTAATATAGCAATTAACTTATCATCATGATCTTCAGTTACATCCACATTATTTATGTGTTTTAATCATTTTCAAACATTTAAAAAATTTTGTTACATGTGTTATTTTATAAATATCAAAGGTTTACTTATAGTAGTCATTAGTTTTAGTTTGCATAGCGTATAAGTACTCATTCCAACATATAGAAACCCTTTGTTCAAACTACATAAAACCTAAAACATGAATTATCACGTGAGGTTTTTCTGTTTTTTTTTCTCTAAAATTCATCAATTTTTTTTACAATATGATGTTTTCAATTTGAATATGACATTTAGCATTTAACTAATTTTATACTCAGGAAAAAATCATGTATTTCAAAAATAGTGGATCCTTTCTTTCACATTAACAACTTGAAGAACAATTTCGGTGATTGAGTTTTTCACAAACTTTTCATTCATTTGCATGGAGTTATCGAAAGTTACTTGTTTGTTAGAATTACGTAGTCTTAGAGTACGTATAATATATCAGTTAGTTTAGTATGTGGTCGATTAGCTGTCACCTTAGTCTAAAAGTGAGAACCTAAGGGAATCAGGATATAAGAAGTGTAGCCGTTGTGGTGATTAGATGTAACGCAACACTATAAGACAAGATACCTTGTACTAAATGTATTCGTTCACTTCACTAATAATTTAGTGAGCCTGATTAAGATAAGCGCCTTGCCAACATGGTATACAAAGTGTAAGTTTTCTTTTTTCACAACCTCAACCAGCGAATGCCTTGACGTCGGTCTCCCGCTTTGTGTATTTTTATTTTTATTTTCCGTTAGCCGCCATGGATCCTTCGAAGGAAGCGAAGGAGGTAGAGCCCACAAAGATGTTTGATGGAGTCGACATCTCTTGGGCTGCGCAAATGCGAGCAATCTTGCGCAAGAAGAAATGCTCGGTAGTAATCTACAAGTCAACGCATTTCCCCAAATTGTTATCCCCATAGACATACAGGAGGTATCAACTGCTCATGCAAATACCGTAGCCGCCAAGACCGCACGCTAACCAAAGAATGAAGAAACTCATGAGCTTATCAATTCTCTCCTCGAGCAACAATTCTCTCCTCGAGCAACAAGACGATGCTATCTATTACATACTGATGAATGTTAGAGAGCACATTATCCACCACATTTTTGCCATTACTTATCTTCATCTACGAAGCCACAACCATGGACGAGACAGAGAATATGATCGTGAACACGAGACAAAAAAAATAGAGGAATCAAGATTGTTCAATATCCTACCGTTGACAACACAATGATCAAAATTATAGTGATGGAATCACAAGTACAATTTTTCTGACAATTATCGAGTTCAATTTGCTGTGAAGCGATACTCTAACAGTTCCTTCAATTGTCACAGCGTTCCGATCGAGAGTAGAGGCGTGACGACAACCACGACAACCACTCCTCTCCTTCCAGTCTAAAGCCATGTCATTGTAACGACTGTGGGGAGCATGGTCATTGATCATATGAATGTCGTAATTACAATTTCAAGAAGTAGTTTAAGATACTTCAGGTTTTCAACAACACGTTAAAGAATTCTAAGTGCTCGAAGTCCAACAACGTTGAATTCTACCTTGCTAGTAGAGAAGAACATCGTAAAGTTAGCTTTCAAGAGGCTAACACTTTTGACTATGATTTGATTATGCATGTAATGATGATGCTCCTATTCTTTTATCCGCATTTCTGAGTTAGGTAGAGGAAAAGAAATCTTGGTATTACGACATTGTAGCTTTGTTGCATTTAACCGGTCATAGTTCTTTGCTTTGTCATATTGAGAAACAAAGTGAACATCTTTCAATTAGGACCGCGGATAATCAAGTCTTTCATGTTTATGAAAAAGTCTCTCTATCGTTAAGCAATAATAAGGCTTGCGATGTTTTTTATGTTCTCGGTGTTAAGCAAAATCTACTTTCGGTAGGTCGACTCACCGATTTGGATCATATAACATATAAATATCTAAAAACTGCGATGTATTCGATAAAGAAAATCCACGTAGGATTCTCCTTCAAGGAGAGCGAAACGCATGCAATAGTCTCTACATGGTTTTCCAACCAAACTGTTTGCATGTGTATTCCTCCAAAACGTCACCTCCTACATGTCTACTCAGATCTATTGATGTTTGAAATATTGAAGGCACTGAAATGGATTTGCAAACGTATCTTGTCATGCAAGTAGAGCTTTGGCACCAATGCATGGGACATGCAAACTATACGAAAATTTATATGATGGTGGCCAAAGTATTGGCCGTAGACATCACTCAAATTTGTCACATCAAGTCTCTTTGTACAACATGTCTCAAGTCCAAAATAGGTAGGGACTGACTGCCTGAACACTCTCACACGCAGACCACGCAACCACTACAACTGATGCATTCCAAACTCTATAGAGTATTCATTGTGAATTATTAATAAAAAAATGTTATATCTTGATCTTCACCGATTATTCACTAGGTACACCTAGATCTACTTTCTGAAAATGAAGTACGAGACTGTGCAACAGTTTAAAGAATTCAAGATCTTGGTGTATAATAATCACATGACAACTATTGTTGCTCTACAAACAAATGGTGCAAAAAATATCTCTCAAATGCATAGCATAACTTTCGTTTGCAATCAGGTATTAAACACGATCTCAGCTATGCTTATAACCCACAACAAAATGACATTTCTGAGCGTACAATAGAACGGTCTTTGAAATGGTCTGTAGTTTGTTATTATGTGCTCAGTTGTCTAAGCCTATCTAGGAAAAGACTGCTAAAACAAGAGTTTATATACTAAATCGACTTTCTACTAAAGCCGTCCATATGTCCATTTCATTTCAATGGTT